AAGGCTCAGCTTCAGAAAACAGTCATATCATTTGCAGTTGACGGAAAGGGGCAAAATGGCCGCCACCTGAGATGGCTAAAAATGAATCAGAATGCCATATTTTGGCTATTTGGTAGAACGTATTACTGTCAAGAAAACTCGGGGGTTGACTTCCCCTTTAATGAAGTATCAAATGAGTGTATATTCCACCAATAACTTGCTGAATTATTTTCGTGATGTGAAAAGGTGACACGAAGAAAATGGGATGCCCAATGAAGCTGAAGACAGCATACATTCATGTGTCATCCACTGGGTTATCTTCAAGTCTTCCCCTCATCATAAATGAAACAATATTCTCCTTTAATCTGCTGACCACGTGATGGATTTAGTGCTACGTGAGCCCTTTACGCTTCAACAGAGGGATTTGAACCTCGTAAGGACCAACATAAAGGCCATCTGCTTGTCTCATTAGCGCTGATGTTGCAGCATTTGCGCCTCCAGAGGATGAAAATCTGTCATGGAAGATGGTTGAACGATGTATATACTGATTTTTTTTTTTTTTTTTTTTTTTTTTAGATGTCCGTGTGTTTCTCCTGGGTTAAGATAAAAGCTTCATGCCTCTGAAAGTGTGACCTTGGGGAATGCAAAAAAAAAAAAAAAGTCTCGGCGCAAAGCACCCTTGGAGCCTGTTTGAATTGAACATGAATTGCCTGTGGTTTGGTTTTCTGCCTGTCTCTTTGTCATGCACAGTAATTTGCCCAAGTAGTATAAGAGAAGACAAATTATGCATTTTTTTACACAATTTAATACAGCTCCCAGGTGTCCTAATAAAAGCCTCTAAATAGTTTTCCCTTCTGAACACACAAAGGATACATAATTAAAGCTCATTTTACATCCACTTGGAACACTGGTGGAAACCACTGACTGCTCATACCCCCCCCCCCCAGACCCATGCACTGCGGAGCCGACGCTAGGGCGTTGCGATGAGGTGAGCGACTACTCGTTCCGAAGCAGCTCAGAGTCTGAAGAACAAAGTGAGCCACTCTAAAACTCATGAGCTTAATTTGCTTTATAAACAAGTTTGTAGCTCAATTTATTCATTCATCAAATCAATACTACCCATCAAAATCAGCTGAAATGACATTGAGTCATTGCAGCCCCCCACAAAATATAATGGAAAAAATCGGACTTTAACGAATACAAACATAATTTCAAAAACCGCAAAGAAATGAAATGGTTTTGTGCAATAATATGTTGGGATAAGCTGAGTCACCACAACTAATTGTGACGTGCAGTGTGTGTCTTTAAGGGGTGTGGCCTAGTACGTGACATCAGGATCATGGGTGGTTAGTCGTCTGGATATGAGTTTCACCTTACTGTCGCTCTTTTAGCCGCGTTCTTTTGGAAGTTGTCTGTTTGTAATGTCTACCAAATAAGTGCATTGGTGAGTGTGGCTCACTTTTTTTTTTCCCTTAATGAGAATGGCAGCATATCTGAACCTCACTCGAATCTAATTTTCTCTCGTGATAATGATGTGGGCTGACCCTGAGCGTTGAGATTAAAGTCATTTTTATAGTTCCAGAGCGTGTGTGTGTGTGTGGGGGGGGGGGGGCATCCATAAAGACAATAAAAGCTTTTCGACACTGTGTCTTTGAGATGCATGGATACATTACCAAACACATAGACAACTTCAAGTATGCTGCTAATGCTAATCTGTGCATCCAACAAAACTCGATTCAGTTCTGTACGTTTGGCTTTGACATAATAATAAAAGGGGCGACTGCCCGTGGCAGATATGGATGTTTCGGCGTGATCGTCTTTCATACAGTGTAGTCGGCTGCCTGTGTAGTTCACACAATTCACTGGATAGTTTAGAACAGTGCGCAGACCTCTTGGGACCCATTAGCATTAAAGCAAATGAATGCTTATTAAAAGTGGCTCAGGATGTAGTTTAAATGGTCACTGGAGTGCAGCAGAGCTGTTGTGGATTTCCAATTTCTTCTTTTTTTCTTTTCAGTCTCGCCACATGACAACATTGGGCTGCAAATTCACTGCAAGAAGCGGCACTTTTTCACTTTATTTCCCCAGTCAACAGCAAACCGCATCACTTGATGACAACTTTAATAATCTGAGATACAATGTGAAATGAACTCAATATGAAAACAAAAGATAAGACGTAATCATTGCTATGGATTGGAATGAATATTTGTATACAGCTGTGCCCGCTTCAAGCAAGTTCAGATAGTACACGGCGAGCTAGAAAAACACACAAAAGACAAGAGAGAAAGGATTGATTTGCACCAATGCGACAAATATTTCACAACTGAATTCCTCCATTATCGTCTGTCTCCGACACAACTCATCTTCTGATTACTCCACTCTGGATTGCATTATACTCGAAGTGAAGCATGGCGCATCGCTTAAATAAGTCACTTTCACTTCTGCTCTGTTTGGCTGAGTGCTCTGCAATATGCAAAAAAAAAAAAAAAAAAAAAAAAGTCATCCGGGTAAGATTGGTTTGAGTGTGCAGTCACTGCTGTCACCAGCAGGGGGGGAAAGGGGGCCACGCACAGACCACTTAACCGTTTTTTTTCCCCCTCTCCCCCTGTACATCTTCCCTCCTCCTATTTTCCAGCGATGGAATGAGGAGGGAGGGATGTGACTTCGCTGGGAGGCCAGACAATTAGTGGCCGCTGAAGGAAGACAAGCTGACAAAGAGTCTCCATTTGTTGGCGTCAACACAAAATGAAGACCTCAATCAAAGGGGGGTTCGCATGTATTTAATTTTTCACATCTTAACTGACTTTTTTATAATGTGACAAACGCAATATATTAAGAGGCAAAAAAACTCACTGTTTGCTAACTTCTGTTTTTGGACCTGATTTAGGAAAGAAATAGCTGGGCTAAATGATTTGTTCACTGTAACAGATTGTAAGCACTGTTGGTGGGCGTCTTGCTTTTTCTAAAATCCCAAATAGTGCCCGCTTAATTGCATGTTCACTCGCGAACAGATTGTGTGCGCTGTTGGCAACTAGTGGAAAAGTGGTGCAGACATCAATATTTAAAAGAGGAATTGGCGCTTTAGGTAGCCTTGATGGGTTTCACGATTAAAAAATTCCAAAGCAAAATGGAAGTTTGAAGTGATGGAATTAGAAGCGTTAGTGGAAGAGTCAAATGAGCGCATTACCGAGGTACGGTTATGTTGTGTAAGCCAGCAGACGCATAAAAGTCCAAGTGGCAATTGGATATACCGTATTTTCCGCACTAAAAGGTGCACCTAAAAGCCTTCCATTTTCTTAAAAGCTCACAGCGCGCCTTAAAATCCGATGCACCTTGTGTATGGTCATTACGGTAATATTTCGACCCCAAAATGGCTCCTTGCTCGAGACATGCAGAGTTCAAACTTAAGGCGATTGGTTTACGCAGTTGAACAAGGAAATAGCGCAGCGGCAAGAGAGTTCAACGTTAACGAGTCAATGTTATAACTTGCTGTTGGTTAAGTGAACTGTGTCGCTGCTTTACTAAATACGTTTTACCGACATCTGATCGTTCTGTTGGTGTTTCCTTGAGCGTTGCTCCATCTAGTGGATGCATTGTAGATTGCGTCTTATAATACGGTGCGCCCAACGTATGAAAACAATTACACAATAGGCCATTCATTGAAGGTGCGCCTCATAATCCAGTGCACCTTTTAGTGTGGAAAATACGGTACAGCATCTGCTCATTGTGTTTAAAACATGGGACAGCATACATGAAAAAGTCCTCCAGGAGATGCCAAAATTAATAATCACACTCTGCTTAAATGACCCAGACGCAACTCACAGGTGAAATGGCATGACGTCTGCCGTACTTAGATCAATGTTGTGTGTGTGTGTGTATGTGTGTCTACAATGTCAAGACAGGACCCTAGATGCTGGGCAAAGAAGACCAGCATATAACAGCACCATTTCTTAGTCATTCGTGCAGCATTGTAACTCCAAGTCTTCAATTTCTGCAAAAAACATATCCCAGAATGTAATGTTCAGAATGTGACAGAACACTCAGAAAGTAGGTAGCACTTTAGCCTGGGTACCAGTGAATCTGCACATTAGTATAAGTGAACATTTATCATCCTTCAAGTAATATTGATAGATTTGAAGGATGTTTTTCCTGCTTCCCCCCAAAAATATTTCCTAATCCCTGTTTTTTTTTCTTTTGTCCTTTCTTTCAGGCCACTGAAGATGATGACAGTCCCTCAGTTGTGGATAATAGTGCAAGCAATATGATTCAATAACAGCAGTGGACAATCTGTGTGAGTGATATATATACAAATACACCACCGTTCAAAAATTTGGGGTCACTTAGAATGTGTGTGTATTTTTTTTTTAAATTGAAGATAAAATAAAATTAATTAGAAGTTTAAAAAAAAGTTTTCTTTCAAAAGCAAGCAGATTCTAAATAACCCCAAACTTTTGAAGGACAAGGTTGTCATGGAAACCATGGGATATTCCAAATATGTTGTGAACACTTTCTAGCGTGCAAGCAAATCAGAGTCGAGGTAGGTAATTGCTTTTTTTTCCCCCTGTTTCTCATTTGAATTTGAAATATTTCCATCCATCCACCTTCCAAACCGCTTATCCTCACAAGCGTCACGGGCATGCTGGAGCCAATCCCAGCTGTCCTCAGGCAGTAGGCAGGGTACGCCCTGAACTGGTTGCCAGCCAATTGCAGGGCACACATAGACGAACAACCATTTGTGCTCACAATCACACCTAGGGACAATTTCGAGTGTTCCATTATAGCCATGGAATTTTTTGGAATGTGGGGTGAAACCAGAGTACCCGAACAAAAGCCACACAGGCACGGGGAAAACATGCAAACTCCCCACAGTAAGGCCGGAGCCGTAATCGAACCCTGGACCTCTGCAGTGTGAGGCCGATGTGCTAACCAATTGATCACTGTGCTGACCATTTACAGACTAAAAATGGACAAACTGAACAAAATGGACAAAATTGGTTTACGGTGGTGTCACAGCAATGGACCACTATAATGTCTTGAAGACCTTAAAAATATTCTGTTGTGATGTATGTCTATTATTACACCATTTTGGTCTTTGCATGGGAATAGGCAGACTTGCAACGAGTGTCGTTTGTACACCTCAGTTTGTGCTGAAAGAAGGGGTGGCAAGAGAGAGCGAGCGAGCGAGCAACCGAGAAAGGGGGAGGATGGTGAGGGAGTGAGTTTCATGCAAGGGAGGGGACAGACATTCTCCAAGCAGGGGAGCACAGCCTCAGTCTGGCCAGCAAGGAGGAGAAGCAGCATCGGCAACATCATTGCTGTCTGCCTCCCCCAGTTACTACCATCACTACCACTATTACCACAACCAATCTGCATCCAGCTTTCGGACTATACACAACCCAGGCGAACAAAAGAGGAGGTTAGAGAGGATTTTTTTTTTTTTTTTTTTTTTTGGCAAAGGGTGAGAAAGTGAAGCATGCAGGAGGACAGGCGTGGAGGCGCGGCTGCGGGATGCGTGCTGTCTGACGGGCGCCCAGTGACCATGATGCCACTGCCGTGAGAGGCTCCCGTGAGCTGCGCACCCAAGCCGCCCTTTTCCCCTCCCTCTCCTCTCCCCTCCTTTCCTTTCCTATCCTCTCCTCTCCTCCCCTCACCTCACCAGCATCGCCGAACGGCACTCATTTGAACGCGGGGACACGGAAACACCACCACCATCGCCACCGGCGTTTGCTGCACAGCAACTTGACATAAACAGGTATATTTTTTTAGTGTGTGTGTGTGAGAGACTTCTCCATGCATGCATGTGAATGAATGGACTTCACCCCATTTGTTGTAACCACCACCATCCATCCACCCATTGTCTCTCTGTGGCCCTGTCATCACAACCGCGACACGCTGCTTGACCGGAATGCGGTGGGATCATATAGATTGCGCTCAGTTTATTTCAAGAACAAGAAAAATGATGTACAAGCCTCGCATCCTCTCCTTTGTGGATGCAAATGACAAGCGCTCCTCCTGCGCCTTAAAAAATGGGGGAGGCATTGTAATGTTTTTTGGGGTTTGATTTATCAGGGAAATGCACAGGTTTTAAACACAGGCAACATGAGCTGAAGATTGTAACCCCCCCCTCCCGCCATCACTGTGGTGTGCTCCTCTCCCTCTCTCGCTCCGTCGGGTGGTACAGAAAGCAATCATGCACATGTGTGTGCATGCATGTGCGAGATGCTGCGCACACGCCCACATTCATCCACACTCCACCGTAATCCGCGATCATGTGCTCCAAGAGACATGACGTAACACACATGCATATAGAGTATCTACAATGTGTTGAACAAAAAACCCCCACCCCCATCCGAAAATATGATGACCCCGATCTGGCAATTGGGAGAAATGGGTTAGCAAGAGAGTGGCACACATATTGAAAGGCTGTGACAAATGGGAGTGTGTGAGAGTGCTCTGCTGATCAGATGCCCCTCTAGGGAAATGGAGCAAAAGGGTCCCTGGATACTCGTGATGATGGCCTCGGGCTTGCTCACGGGAGTAGGTGTGGCTGTGGTGGCTCCCATCCTTGTTTTATTTCCTCTGGAGTTTTCTCAGAGTGGAGGGGCACTCGGCCCACAGGAATTCTTCACACACACACGCGCACACACACACACACACACACACACACACACACACACACAAATGCTGCAAAAATTTAAATAATTCAGGCATACAAGATTATTATCGCAAAAAACTATCCAACTTTAGCTGCTTTGTCTGTGATATCTCCGCAATAAACTTTCGCAACGCTTGTTCGCAACACTTGTTTTAACGTTACACAACTTGGCAATCGTCTGCTTTCCGCGACGTGAAGGCCGATCTCACCAATCTCGTGTCGTGAGAACGGAAATCTAATGACGCGAGATTACTGAACGCGAGATCAAAACAACAATGGCGGCGATTATAAAACCGCGATCGTTGCTGGAAAAAATATTTACCATAGTTTGTTTTGACTGAGAAATTTCCTTGCGTCCCAAAAACGCACATTATTTGGAACGGTGCGTCCCGCGGGAAAATTGTGCGTCTAGGACGCGGGACGCAGAGGTAACGGGATGGCTGATGTCAGTAGTACCACCCAATGACAGCTGTGAGACAATGTGCAAAGTATCAAGCAGCGCGAAAGTGATCAGAGGTAGAATGCAATACTACGACAGTTGTGCAGTTGGTGCAGATAATTGTTGCACCATTTTAAAGTGACCAGTAGCAGTATTTGTAGAACATCTTTTAGGAAGCAATTGTACAGAGTCCTTGAGCGCTTTTAAGTGTCTGGTGCTGCGGAATATAGATCAGTGACAATGGTTCAAGTAAGTACAGATCTACAATGATTATTGCGGTAATGCTGTTCGACGGGGGGGTGCACATTTGCAAAGAGCCACTATAGATTTGGGTAACTGTTTGGGTGGGTCCAGGAGGAATTAAACTGGCTAAATTAACCTGTTGCGGCTTTGTGCAAATACCATCCATTTGCATTCTGGACATATAGGTGTGTGTAAAAAAAAAAAAAAAAAAAAAAAAAATCTCAATCTCTGGGGCTCACATTTTCCAAATCTCCAGTAACACCAAAAAAAGTCACTAGATTTGTTGCTCGTCTTGTTAAAAAAAAAAAAAAAAAAAAGTAATTACTTTGTGTGGGAGCCGGGAGGTGGAGCGTTTGTCACACACGGACTAACAATCGGGTCGCGTCCAAATTTTCATCATCCACAAGTGGAGATCCTCTTGCAGTTCCTTATAAATGTACTTGCATGCGTGCATCGATACCCTGCATGAACTCCGGTGAGTCAGTTTATGCTTCTGCCATGGAGGCTGTGCACCTTTCCTGCACTGAATATAAAGGGTAGGAGAGGAGCCACTTCCATTGGCTGGGGAGCAAGTCAGCATTGCTCACTCCCACAATGGCGGAAACGCCGTTTCTAAATGCACACATATAAGAAAATACCAAAAGAAAAAAAAACTAGTGATGGCCATGAAAATAAGGCCCAATACATACTCTTTGGAGCAGGTACTTTTTAGTAAATTTTAGATGGTGTTAGTGTTTTCTCTTATCAAGGCGGACATTTAACTACATGCTCGAATATGGGGAATATTAACAATTAATCCATTGCGTTATTAATATTTTGGAAAATATTCAGAGAGGCTGGAGGAATCTTTCTCGAAAGGGACTCCCGTTTCTCATGCCAGTGTTCCCGTGCAATATGTGGAATAATCAAGGCTGTTAGTTGCTCATGTGTAATGGAGCTCAGCGTCACCAACTTTCCCTTTGAAATTTTATAGTTGGGTCTCTTAAGTGCCTGCTCACCCATCCAATGTGAAATTAAACAACTGAGTAAATATTTTGTTATCTGCCTGTGTATGAAAATGTGAGACAAAACCAAACATTATAACTACCCCCCACCCAGAGTTTCTCCATGATTGGGCAGCGACCCCCCCCCCCCAGATCTGCTGTCATCAAGCGACGGACGGTCGTCATTAAAATAGCCAGTGGTGGCTTTTCACATGTTGTTCATCTGCACTCTGGATGTGAAGGTGTGAACATAACTTCGATCACACCAGAAAAATTGTGAGAAAAGAGGTGTCATAAAAGTCACTAAATATAGCACTGAAGTTGGCAAAACTGAGGAGCTAATGAGTATTCTTCAGTCACTGTTCAACCTCAAGTTGGTCTCCTTTTAAAATTAAATTAGTTGAGACTCATCAACAGCAGGCGGCACGTCCACCTCACAGTGCAGAGGTCATGGATTCAATTACGGGCCCAAGCCTTCCTGTGTGGCGGTCGCATATTGTCCCCTGTGCCGGTGTGGGTTTTCTCCGGGTACTCCGGTTTCCTCCCACATTCCAAACACATGCACCTTAGGTTAATTGATCACTCTAAATTGTCCTTAGGTGTGATTGCGAGTGTGACTGGTTGGTTGTTGGTTATGTGTCCCGCAATTGGCTGGCAATCAGTTCAGGGTGTAACCCGCCAGCTGCCCAAAGACGGCTGGGATAGGCTCCAGCACGCTTGCGATCCTCGTGAGGATAAAGTGGTTCAGATAATGGACGGATGGATGAATCAACGGTACCTCAGCTCGTTGCAGCCATGTCGCGCATGCCAATTTGCCTCAGTCGCTATTCAATCAATTCCACACACAGACAGCATTCTTAACCATCAATAAATCCATGCAGTTATTATTATGCCTGTCCCTATTGCTTTCAATGGCCGCAATGATATGGTGGACAATGCGCCGTCTCCATACTAAATGACAAACGTCTGCTTCTTCACCTCCCAATATTGAACCGGCAGTGATTTATATCCCCTCGGATGCAACATTAGAAGCTCTCATAAGCCACTCATGTTATGCTACGGAGAGAATGACCAAGAGGGCAATCAGCTGAGCTGTAGGCACTGTAAGATCATTTCACATGTCCTAGGTATTATGGCTGGGAATGAATAATCTTTGCATTTGCAGCTGGTCCGCTGGATGTGGCGGTCAAACTGATAAAATGCAAATGGGGCGCAAAAGGTGATATAGTCATCCGTCATCCCTTCCGCCTAATTCCTGCATCATTACACCCTAACGGGACAATTCAGGCGATACCTCACGGATATTATCGAATCATTTGTGTGGCAACGCGAGCTCGGGTAGGAGGCTGAATGCTTCATTTGTCAAGTCCTAACATGCACGTGTCAAGATGTTGGCTTGGTGGAGCCTTGCGAGGCGGCGCACTAATTGTTAATAAGCACTCATTTAAGACGACTGCTCTTTTACTGTGATTTGTTCAGACAGCAAGCGGACACGGAAAGTGCTTTATGTTCCAGAACTGAGACGTGTGGTACTGTATTTCACTCATAAAGTGGCCTTGGGTGTGTTTGTTGACGCAACTGTAGATGAGGGGAGGTGGAGAAGGCACGGCTATTATATCGTGTTCATTAGTGTGGCAAGTGACCTGAAGCCTACCTAACCTGGATGACCATTAACATTCACATTATTAGTATGGACAAGACTTGGCTGATTGGATCAGCAGATATTTTGCATTTTTATGCAAAATTGGTCCTGGGTTGTAATCTCATAATTTGTTGATCGATCAATGATGCAGAACTTTCAAAATACGACACACGTTTCAATAGATTGGAAAGATAGGTCCACCCCGCGTGCCTTTTATCCGCAGACAATGCTGATCACACGTTTAGCCAACGCTACTGAGTGCATCCAACAGTACTGCAGCTCTGCGTAGCTTTTGGCTTTAATATGATTGCTGTGTACTCTGGCCGAAAGGAACGTGGCCGCAAGCCAAACTTGTTGTGGGGGCGGTATTATTCTAATTAGTCTGACTGATATCACAGGGACTAAACGGCTCTCAAACAGACATATTTTCTGCCATATGCAGCTCACAAAAGATTTTACTTTGGTGTGTAATTTCACACATGGTGGCAGGCAAGAAGCCCAACAACAAAGGAGTTCACATTTTCATCCTTTGGGCTTTGTCTTCCCTCGCTAAAAAAGTATCCCATGTGGGATGAGAACTGAAATTACAAACTATGAGTTTTCGACTTTAATGGAGGACAGGTGAAGAAGAGTCGACAGGTGCCAGTCATAGCATGGCAACTCACGGCTGCATCACCAATGTTCCACATGATTGGAGTACTATTACTAGTCGGTAATAGTAAGACCATGACAACTGCTTTTGCAGGCAAAAATCGCTGTTTTCTGACGCCACTTTGTCTCATAGACTACAATTTAATGGGAGAGATTTTGCTAAATTCTCATTAATGGTTCTTGAGAGGAAAATAGTGTCCTGTTATGAACATCTTAAATTAAAGTGTAAAATCGTATTAATCTTTCAATGTATTTGATGTTTTTATCCGAAAACACGATTATCTGATCGAACCTTCAGTAGCGACAATCAGCCTGATCTTCTGACACACCTCACATGTATGTTGAGTTGGCCAGCTGGACTTGCTGATTTAGGTCACATACGTCGCCGTGTTTTAAAAGCACCCAGCCATTAGCGGCGTGGCTTATCCCCGGTTGGGTAGCAGAGGGACTGGAGTTTTTCCCAGGAGACATCGGAAAGAGAGGGGATTGTTCATAGCTGAACATGTGATCTATTGATTTTTTTTTTTTTTTCAATCTTCCATTCATGACTGAATCCACTGACGACAGCAAACTATTCACTTTGTTAACCTCAACTCACCTCATTTCACTCATTACTTCTCCCCATCTTACAGTGGCTCCTGTATCCTCCCTTTGCTGCTCATTGCATTGTGTTATTCAAGTGTGCGGATCATATTCAATTATTTCACTCATTTCTCTGCGCAAGCCACAAGACAGGAAACCACTGGACAGGAAAGTGCTGATTTTAGATTGTCAGATTAGACAGTTTTCCCTTTCCAATTAAGTGGCTCATCTCAAGAATGTATCATGATAGTTTCCTGATTATATTATCAAAATGATTCCGGATCATCAGTCATTTATTCATGACATCTTTTATAACAGGCCTTATAGGGCATGTCTATGGTAAATTCACTTTTAAAAGCTTGTACAAAAATAGTTTGGTCTCTGGAGTGCCTGCACAACAATCAAGAGTAAAACTAAACAAAGAGCTAAATCCTTAGTTATCCGTTTCTGAAAATGTGTAAGTGAGTAAGATGTTATGCATTTCCACCCGACTGTTAACGAAATGCCATTTGTTGGTCGTTTCGACAAGTAGAAATTAAAAATGAAATCATATTCAAAAAGTGGAGTTAACTACCCGTGAATTCACTCCTTCGCCAATTATTGGGGTGACCTTAACCTTTGGTAGTGAGTCCTTTGTTGAAAATGTGCTTATTTGCTGTTCATGGCCTTTTTTTAATGGCCCACGAGTATATGCATAATGGCAACATACATGCAAGCATGCTTGTCGTTCTGGTGCATTTTTTTCTACAGTAAACCAAATCTTCTGAAAGTCATATATTTTGAAGAGCAATGTTGTAAGATGAGTTTCAAATGATCAAGTATTTTGGAATCCTAGTTTTGGGGTACATATTTAAGTCATGCGCCTATGCACTATATACTTGCAGTGAGCTGCTGCCCCCACGAGTGCTTTTTCATCCACACTCTAACTTAAGGTACCCTAAGTCCGAGAAAACAGCCCTCGTGTAAAGTACAATAACATTCTTCATTTTTGAGATATTTTGATGAAACCATGATGCATTATTTAAACACATGGGAGCTGTTTTAAAATGCGTGTGTGTGGTGGGAGGGCGGCTGAAGGGGGGGATACTATACTACAGTAGTTTGTATTTATTCATTTCAAGTTGCAGGGGGTATGAAGAGCCCATATTAAAGTATAATGTGATTCTCTGCATCACTCCCCTTAACGTCAACCCACCAGCCAGGGATTTAAACACAGAATTAACAGTATTGACTTAGTTTTTAGGCACCTTGGAGAGGGGAACAATGCCACTGAAGCGCAATCATATTTTGAGCGAGTAAATGTGTTTCGACTCACAGCTCTTGTATTTAATTTTTTTTTTTTTTTTTAAACGAAACAAGAGCGTGTGAAACAGACGGTTGGCGGTATTTGTGTCTAAACAGGAAACGCAACTGAGGAAGGTGTCAACAACACTCACAGACAAGGGGTTGTTTGGAGGATAATTGGCAATCAACCTGTGCCGCCCTTCGGAAATGAGAATGTGTTTGCCTTTTTGGTACTCCGTGAGCTGGTCAGGTGATTAGTGTTTCAGATGGTTTTATTATTGGATTACGATGAACGTGATAGCAAGGCACAACAGTAAAGTTGCAGCTGGGCAGTTAAACAGTTAGCCAAAACTGGCAATAAAGCTGTGTAAGGCTGATGGGGAAATGTAGAGTAGTGTGATAATTCGCTCATGGAGGCTTGCTACGAGGCATGACGTTTATAGAAATCTCCACCCGAGATGCGCAACAATTACTCAATTCTGTTCCAATGACCCAAAACATAGGCCATATAATATGAATCATATTAAACAGAAAGTCAGATTTACTATATTTACTATATATTTACTAGATTTATTATAACTGCCTCAAAATTGTAAGCCTAATTTTGTTTTCCCAATCAAACAGCCCAGAGGAAATACTTTGCAAAAGTAGTCAAAGCCTTACAAGTCAAAAACTCCAAGGTGTTTCTGTTGAAGCTGGCTGATACAAAAATGTTAGTGTGGAAGGTGGAAGAGTTCTATATCTCCAGGCCTCTCTGAATTAATACAGCGATAATGAAGTAAAACAAAAACTCAGACGCCCTGATCCAATAAAAAGAAAAAACAATGTATGGGAGACGTCAATCAAGTGCTATCTGTGCCCACACTGTCTCCAGAGGAGGTCAGTCAGTAGAAGTTGTGTAGGCGGCCTTGAACAACAGGGCTAGTCATGTTTAGAACTGAAAAAGCGGTCCCGGAGGAATGATGTTAATGGGTTAACTTGACATGGGCCAACTCGAAAGGTGGCCCGCACAACCCTTAGCTGCATGCTGACGAACCGAATCCGACAGCATTATTACATCACTTCTTGGTCTGTGTGGCAATGTCGGGGCATATCAAATCTTTATTTCCATGCAAGGTGTATAAAAGTTGAGTTTCTTTTTGGCTGCAAATGGGTTTTCCCTAATCAACATACACAACACCCATATAGATGACCAATATTCTTCAGCCATACATTTTCTTTGCCGTTTGCTTTAATTCGGGTTGCAAATGAGCTGGAGCCTACCCCAGCTGATTTAGGAACACCCCGGATTTGGAAGGAACAAGCTATTTTGTTCTTGCTCATTCCCTGCAATTGCTCTAAATATTTCATTCATACAGTGGAAGCTCAAAAGTCCAATATCCAGATGAAATTTCGACAAATCCTAATTTGAGCTCTTTTCTATTAATTCATTCATTTATTCAATATACACGCCAAGATTTAGTGTCGACAAGCTGACAGCGTCCTATTGTAATGATTGACATTGAGATTGCCCAATGATCTCATGAATAAAGACTACTTGCTGATGATGGTCCAGTGAGTTGCGACTCAAACACAAAAACAAGCGCCAGTGAAGCTTGAGAACGCATGCTGACTGACTAGCAAGGGTTGATGTTTTGCTGGTTAAATGTGCAGAAGGTGACTGCTTATGATTGCTCAAAGGAGTAATTTAAATACAACAGAAACTACATAAATGCATAAATACAAGAAAAACATAACCATACACACCCAAACCCAAAATACATGCTGATCTTCTTTATGAAAGCCAAACAGTGAGGCTGTGTTTTACAACTCATTTGACGTTTGCAGGTCTTTGTGGGCTTGAGGCTGTGGTAGACTGTCGTATCAACACTGTAAATCCCAGGACTAATATGAAGCAGCTGCCAAAACCTCTGGATGGCAAGCATTGCTCTTTCGACTCAGATGACCGGTTTCTCTCATTGGGAACAAACGTCTCCAGCAGCTACTCCAGACTGTTTAAATTTTCAAGACGATGCCTTTGCACACGTACAGTCTGCTGCACCCGTGTATTATCACCACATGATTGATTCAAATACAAAGCCATACACATCAGGACTTTACACGTGAAACAAATGGCAGCACAGATCATTGACTTTCAATGTTTAATTAGCTCATATGTCATACTTGTGATTGCAATCAATAAATGGAAAGCGCCGCCATGTATCTGACAACACCATTCGTCTTCTGTTGGAACGTGATTTGAGAAAATTAATATTTTGCCATCCATCACTGGGTGACATCATTTTTTGCCATTATTTCATTCATCATTCATTTTTTCCACTGAGAAATTGTATTTTTGCTCGTACAGTATGGCTGTATCAACGATTCATCGATATTGCAGAGTAAAACAATTTAACGATTTTCTTTTTCACCTTGCAGGGGGATTTCCTTTCCTGGATTTAAACAATATCAAGGTTGCTTCACCATTTGCTTCTGGTGACAAGTGGACTGCTCTCCACACAAACACGCCGACAATCCTGACTGTGCCAGTGCTGTCACCTTCTCTTGTTCATGCTACAGAGTCTTCAGGGTTGCCATCCATGGTTTCTACCCTCATCAAGATTATATCATCTTACATTGAAAAGATTTGCAAAGGAATGTTTACAAAGAAATTGGCAAACCAAATCAAGAAGAAAGAGAGAAGTAAAAATAAAGAGCCAACAAAATTGACCACTGACCTACAAGCACACCATCCAACTTTGTCAAACACAGTGAAGACCACTGTTAAAAAGATCTCTAAATGCTCCTCAGCACGTAACGTATCGCTGGAAGACGACGACGGGAAGAACGACTGCTCGTCCCTGTCACCCACTTTCAGTTATCGCGTAGCCATCGCAAATGGACTCCCTAAAACCGCCCCTTTTTTGAATAACAACAATGAGAGCATATTTCCAGAGGTTCTTTCAATCGACAGTAGCTATTCCGACACACTGAGCGACGCAAAGCCTATCCGGAGGCTGGATGAGCATAAATCGCACACAATGCCAGTAAGACGGAACCGGAAGAGCCTCATCAGTTTGGCTCCCTCTGACGGGAGCTCTGAGGGCGAACGAGTGGAACGCTCAAGTCTGCAAACGCTCCGGCTGGGAGCTCTTCGCAAACTGAGGAAATGGAAAAAGAGTCAGGAATGTGTCTCCTCGGACTCCGAGGTGAGCAACTGGAGGAAGACACTTGGCATCCGGAGCAAGTCCTTGGACCGGGCGGGACGGCAGCAGAAAAGCTCAACTCTGGAACCTGGTTCCTCTTCCACGGGATGCATCAGTCAGACACAGGATGTCATGGAGATGATCTTCAAGGAACTTCAGGGGATCAGCCAGATAGAGACGGAACTGTCCGAGCTCCGTGGCCATGTCAACGCCCTGAAGAGCTCAATTGATGAGATCTCCAGCAGTGTGGAAGTCGTTCAGAGCGAGATTGAGCAACTTCGCTCTGGATTTGTCCAGTCAAGAAGGGAAACACGTGACATCCATGATTACATAAAACAAATTAGCCACCAGGCCAATAATTCTACTCTGCGCTTCCTTAATGTCCCCGAAGAAAGATCAGAAAAAACAGAACATCTTATATATAAATTACTAAAAGACAAAATGGGTCTCACTGATGCCCATAAAACAATTAAAATTGAACTTGCTCATAGATTAGGACAACAGCGAGAATGTTCTAACGCAAAACCTCGTCCCATTATAGTTATATTTGCAACACCCCAAGACAGAGATTTAGTCTTGAAAAAATGCTATAAACTTAAAGGTACTGGGATTACAGTTTCCACGGACAGCTTAACTCGGGACGGGAAAGAGCGAAAGGACAAGTCAATGTCCTCCTCACAAACTTATGAAAGTATGGATATTAAGGTGTCAGGGAAAGATAAAGTAGTAGAGAGTGATGATTGGGATTCTATGGACAGTGACAAGGAATTAGATGAGCTAAGCAGAAACAAATATGCAATGGTGATTTCAAAGCCTGCTCACAAGAGCAAATCGGAGAAAAAACGATCCCATGACCACAGCCGGTCAGGGGAGGAGGCAAGCTACTCAGGTGCAGTTCATTATGCCGATGACACATACTATGACCCCGACAAGCATGGGAAGGCTTACTATTCTGATGTGACCTCCGGCTGGCTCTCTCAAAGTGACTATTCCACGCCCAAACTCAGCCGTTCTGAATCGGACTGCTCAAAACTTTGTCAGTCGTACTCGGAGGACTTTTCAGAAAGCCAGTACTTTACACGGGCCAACGGCTGCTCCTTGTTATCCTCCTCAGATCAAGAACTGTGGCAGAGGAAACAAGAGGACATGGCCTCCTCTTGGTACGCTAGCCCCAGTCACCCACTCAGCCATGAGAATCGACCTTATGAACAAAATGAGATTGAGACAACTGAGACTGTTGACAGTGGTGTCAGCAATGGACTTGTTTGCATGTCTGGGGACAGAAGCCACTACAGTGGCTCCCAACTTTCTCTGCAAGCTGACCTGTCACCTTGGAAAGATTGGCATCATATAGAGCAAGGTGCCGATTCAGGTTTGGAAGCGTCCATAGAGGTTAGCAGTCCATTTGACCCATCCACCATCCCGGGTTTTCCAGAGAATATCACTAAATGCCAAGAAGTTGATTTACAATTTGAAGGTGAGGAGGAGTTCATGATGCTTGACAGAGTACTTGCTCTGCCGCCAATAACCACTCACATTATTACACCCGTTGTGGAGCGTGAGTCTACCAAAGCACATGTGCGCCAGTCTAAAGGGAATTCCAAGGCGGTAGCAAAAGAAAATACGAAAGTATTATCTAAAGACCCCTCCAAAGCTACAGCTAAAATGACAAATAAACAAATTAAAATTGGATTGAAAGATGAACCACCCAAAATACAAGAAAAGGAAACTATAAACGTTTCTGCAAAGATTTCATCTAAAATTACATCAAATGCTACTCCGCAAGAGCCGCTGAAACAGAAGAAATCCATAGCTGAAGAGATCACTGAATCCTTCCCTAAAGATAGCCCGAAACCTACAGCTAAATATTCCACAAAGCCTGCCATTGAAGATGTTGCTAAAGTAGCGCCGAAGGTCATTTGCGGTGAGACAGTTAAAGCGAGCAGAGCAGCCCCAAAAGTTTCCCAGGCGATGATATCAAAACAAAGTCCAAGAGAGTCACCAAAAGAGAGCCCTAGAATCACCCCAATAATGAGCCCAGCTTCAACTCCCAAAGAGTCACCGAAAGAATCCCCTAAACAGTCCCCGATGGTCAGTGTGAAAGAACCCCTACAAGACACACAGAAACTTGCTGCTAAGGAAGTTACCAAAGAAGCTACAAAGGTACCCACAAAAGGGGTACCTATAGTACAGAATAAGGAGAGCAACAACAACAATAAAGTACCACCCAAAAAGGATTCTGGCATCCCAATCAAAGAAACACCAGTATCGAAAGAGATCCCAAAGGTGTCTGTCAAAGAAGCCCCTAAGGCATCTCCAAGTCAATCACCTCAGGTAGTGTTTCCAGATGCCCCAAAAGTAGTTGTTAAAGATGCCCCCAAGGAAGCTTCAAAAGCAGTCCCGAAAGAAAAATTTCCTGAAATCAATGTCAATCACAGCTTTCACCAAACTCAAGGTAAATCTACCACTATGTACCGCAGTCAGAGTGAGATCCGAACAGAAAAGGTCGAGGAAGTGCCTAAGTCATGGAGCAGCAGGCTCAGTATAGACCTCAGCGAGAAGTCTTTTGGTTTTGGCTTTGGGTCTACACTGCAAAGGGCTAAATCAGCTCTGGAGGTTGTATGGAAATCTGGCCCTCAGAATACTCCCGCACCTCCTGAAGAACCCACAAACTCTTCTTCGTCATTCATGGGGCGTTTCCGTACAATCTCCACCTCCAACTCACCATCTGCGGCAGACCCAATTGTTCACAAAGAACCCGTTTACTACAAACCGGAGGAAGAGAAAAAAGATGCAGAGACGGAAGCCGTTGAACAATCTGAGGATGGCGAGACCCATTACGTTGAGGTGATGGAACAGGTTCTGGCTAATTTGGAGAACAGAACTAATGTTAATGAAACTGAAGAGCTTGTGCAGGAATGTGAGCCTTCTCAGGACAATGACGCATTTGAGGATGTCCAGCCTTCTCAGGACAATGATGTTCCTCAAGATTTTGAGACGGCTGAAGATTTCAGCATCACAAGAGACAATGATGCGAGCCAAGAGGCACATGTCCTCGAGTATGACTGCGGCTTGGATGAGCCGTACGATGAGGAGTACAGCGAGGAGTATGAAACCAACGTGACAGAGGACACGGCCGAGTATGACGCCATGGTGGAGTATCTGGATGTCGAGGAACCCGACGAGACAGAGGACAATGACATTACCGAGGATATGGAAGGGGGCGATGAGGATATAGAGGAGATCGAGGAGCTGGTTGAGGAGACCGCCGAGGCATCTGAGAAAGTCGATGAACATGAGGAGGATAAAAGAAAAAGCATGGATGAGGAGAAGCCCGCAGCCACAGAGGCACCACCAAAGAAGCGAATACGACCGACATTTAAAGAGGCTGCTCTGAGGGCGTACCGGAAACAGATGGCTGAACTGGAGCAACAGATCTTGGCGGGAGGTAGGGCTCCTTCACATTGGTTTTCATCATTTTTATATACCTACTTCTGACATCGTGCAGTGAAGACAGAAATCTCCTTATGCTAGCCATTATCATCTTAGATTTCTAATCACCTTTCTATACAATTTGCATAACTTTCATTCGAATTCAAAAAACGGCTTGAAAGCAGTGACCGGTATAACATACAATTAGATGTCTAATTGTTTCGTGCGAGGGATGTGATGAAATGTGATTAAAGCTAAATGGTCCATCATTTCAAATCATCCGATGAGAACACATTTGGCAATCCTGGGCATTGTCGTAGAAGAAGCCACAGTAGTGATGAGGCCCCGGGCTTATTGGATTTAGAGGTACAATATGTCCACATAGTGAATATTTCAAACAGCATCCGTCTTCACAGTATAAGGCAGCGGTGACACAGCCTAGTTCTCGAAAGCACCTGCTTTACATGTTTTCCTCTTCCAACACACCTCATTCAAATGATCAGCAAAGCTTTCTGATGTGCTGATCATTCGAATCAGGTATGTTGGAAGAGGGAAGCTGACTTGACAGGGGCGCTCAAAGACCAGGCTTGGGCATCTCTGGTAGAAGCTAAACGAATTTAGATGTGTAGTAATTATTTTTCCATATAATATATAACAATGGCACCGATGCAATTTATGTCAGTGCATTGTAACTTGTGTTGACTTTTTCGGTTGACAGAGTAGCACCATTTTGGCAATACTGACTCATTGACAGACTGAATCATCCCTCAGTGTTGCATGTCCGAGGTGAGGCATGCAGTAGACTCCGGGCATAGGACTCGTAATAAAAACGTGCAATGGGTGACTGACTTTGGCTCTCTTTTTTTTCCTACCTTATTGGCACACACAGTTTGAGCAGTTTTCTGCTTTTAGTTTGTGTTGTGCAGTCATGCTTTATGCTTGGCTGTCAGAAACCATCAATGGCATGGTCTTTGCTACTTTCCACTGTATTTAAACTGTAACAGTATCACACAAACAGACATGACACGCACAACGGAACATGATCCATCTTGAGGTTATACATCAAATGTTCCTCTCAGGTAAAACACCGTTTCATAATGCCGGTTGACCTCTGAGTTGTGTGGCATCTGAACATTTTTTTCCCAATATGAAATAATGGAAATGCAAACAATCGGTTTTACGGTCAACCTTTTTGACATCACAAAACATGTATTAGCTGTACAGGCAAATTAAAAAGATTATTTATGAATGGCCTTAGAGGTGTAAAATAAAGTTAACCCCTAATAAGTGCAGCGGTAGGTCGGCGTGCCTTCTTGTGCCATGTGATCACATCATCTTTATGCCACTACTTCACAGTGTCGTGCAGAGTATATGCTGATACGTCATAAATCGAGGACCTCCTGTGCACTTCTGAAAGTTCTGCGGACATTCTGAGCCTAACATCCTCTTTGGGCAAGTTTCTAAAGACCCAATGAGAAAGCCCAACCTCTCTCAAAGTTTGCGGAGATTCCCTGGTGAAAATGGCTCGACTGAATCAGTATAATTTAAAATCCGGGGGTATCACCTCTACTATACCAGAGGCTCTTCTCCCCTTGTAACTGCATTTTTCATAGCCACACTTTGCTAAGAAATGATGCACTAAGCATAAAGAGGGTATACCTCCTTCAAACTTCACTAGCAGCAGACCTCTATAAATATTCCAAGCAAGGCTGACCTGGTTACAGAATGCCCTTGGGAGTGTGAATTAGCATCTGAATACAGACACTGCTGTAGTCAGTTGAAGTAGGGGGAGCTGGCAGGAGTGGCAGGGAGCATTGCTGAGACTCCCTTCACAGCTCGCACACAGACCAGCCAGCATGCATCAGAGCGCACTCATGACGAGCACACGCTGGCTTCATGGGATGGAGGCGTAAAGCTTAATGAGGGGTGGAATATGCATGTGTGTGCTTCCAATTATGACCCTCTTTTCACCATCTGTAGTGAGATGTTTCTTTTGTTGGATGCATTTTCGGACATGGACTAGCTTCTGTGAGTAGGAGCAAAAATATATTGTCACACATCTTGGGGTAGATTATTACAGGGGGCATCTGTTTCTGATGGAATTCTGTCCCTAAGATGGCAACTTAACCCTAATGTACATGCATCGGAACAAGGCCTTGATGATCACACAGTTGAAAAAAATCATTTAAACGAGTACGACGGTAATTGAGCATATGTTTTTGTGCTGCGTGACCACATATTTTTGTGCCACTGCTCCAGCTAGTTAATTGCGAGCAACTCGTGATCTCAAAATGCTCTAAGTCAGAACCCCCGAACGGACTGTTCTACAACGGGTGTTCCAAGAAGTTCATTTGCCATGGTTTCATGTTTGGTGTTGTATAGTTCTGGCCTTGAAGGTTTTTTTTTCATACAAATAGCCTGTGTGCAAACTTTACTTTGGAATTTGCAATGGTTAGTGAGAGGCTACATTCCAAGGGTTATGTGGATGCCATTCCTCTAGCTGGCACTTTTCCGTGTCCCTTTTGGGTCGAAACGGCCATCAACAAAGAATTGCTGAATGAGATTGACCAGGAAGTTTTCTGCCATTCCAATGAATTTTTTCGATATTTTCATGCACCAAGTTATCTAGTTGCGGGACACTGTGCCACTGCGACTTTGGCAGAAAATTGGCAAATCTTCTGTCAAGACTCTGATACTGCAATTTTGTGAGATTGCAGTGTAACGGAGACTTCTGAAATTACTCTGGATGGCTAATACTAGTTTCTGCTGAGAACAAGTTACATTTTTGTTTTGGATAAAAAATACACACACACATACATTCTCAGAGAAGTCATCACCTGCAAATGTTTAAAGCTGAGGTAACGTGTAAGTGCAACTCTTAGAGTAGATTAAGTAGATTATTTGTTCCTTCTCTATTATGTTGTGGTGGTCCTTAGGCAGTGCTAGAGTCTCAGCAAAGTAATGAGTGCTGTAACCAACTCACAATTAATGAGTCCCGGATCTTGTAGAAGCTAAAATTACGTGGCCCAGAGAGCTGTGAAGTCCCCAACAAATCTCTCTTTCTGTCACAAGTTCATTCTCATGAAAGTAGTTTAAGGTATTAGAAGTGACAGATCATTTAATTACCTCTGCCAAGGAGGTTTTCTTCAGTGTAGGTATTTTTCGAATGGTGTTTTTTTTCATGGTGTCAGCCTTGCTGTAAGTTTGGCATTCTAATTAAGGCCGTTAATTGTAGCAAACTCAGCTGGAAAGTCAGTCAGACCTCACCCCTTATTGTTTACCAGCCAATGAAATGACAAATATAGAGATTAACAAGACAATTGTTACTTTTGTTTCCTCACCGTGCGCTGTCAGTTAGAAGAAGTGATCGTTTTAATTCTGGGACTGGAGTGATGGGATGACTGAGACATCAGGGAAAAGGTCTTTTGTGTTCCTATATGGCCTAGTAAGGACATGCATCATTCAATCTGAAATCATCAGTTTTGAATTGGGTGTTGAAATATGTAGAGGATACATCTTTTTCTTCCTGTCATTGCACGGGGGATGGCAAGTTGTTTAGCTGCATTTTAAAGTGATACACATGCAGTTATGTTTAGGTATTTGGTAAATGTAAAAAAAATGCCGGGAGGTAGTCAGAAGTCAGCCTCAATATCTCAACCTTCACGTTTTCAGGCAAGTCCCAAGTTACTGTGGCAAAGTAAGTCAACTTGAGTCCCCACTACATTTCAATTGCAACCTATCGCGTATTTGCTCATGCACGTATCTGTAATTGCGTTGGTTTGCTGTACTAACACATTCACAATCACATTTATTGCTTCTCGAACCATTTTCCGTATTGTCTGTTACATTGTCTTGTCAAGTGAATGCATATCCAATATAAAGCTTAGTTTTTTTTGACCAACTTAGCTAAATTGTGAAGTTAACACAGGCTACATGTCTTTGTGGGTTTTGTGTGACGGAAGTGACCTCTGACCTCCTAATCATACTGTAGCCTACTGGTCAGTTACCACGTTGGCATGCCCAACCCACTAAATTACTTTTATTTTTCAAAAACATTTGAAACGACAGAGTTTGAAATCAAAACAGGCAAGCGGAATCCGTCAGCGGGTGCGGCCGAACCGATATAGACTAAAGAACAAAGCTTTTCAACGTAGGTGCAGACGACAATCAAAATCGCGACAGCTGCCTGATTACCACATCTGTGCCTTCTTCCAGAAAGTGCCTCCATCCAGAAATCCCTGCGTGTCACTTTTTGGCATCGCAGCTTGCCACCTCTTTGTGTGGTTTGTCAGTCAAAACGGAGTTTACCCAGTGAAGATAAACAGTCATCTCGTTGAAGACTCTTACAGCATGGACTCCTCGATACGCTTGGGTCGACGGCCCATAAGGCCAAAAGAGTGCTGTTGAGTAGCCCTTGCCAGCACTCATTGGCATACAAAGTGTTAGACTTGGATCAGAAAAAAAAAAAGCCTCACTGAAGTCGGTCCACTCGAAAAGAAACCAACAGGTTGCAGAAAATGTTTTCGCTGATTTGTCATGGCGCTTGCCAAGATCAGTAATTACATTCTCAGATGCTGCACTCTGAAGTCTCGATAGGCAAAGAACATTAATTCACTTTTCATTTGATCCCTCTGACTCATCCGCCACTCGACCCACTGAAGTGTGCTTTTCATTTCAGATGAAATGCACTGTTTGTTACTCTGCGAGCATACCAATTTTAAAATATGCTACAATAGATATTTGCTGATAGGTTTTATTGATGACACTATTTGAGAATGTCATCCTTTGGCATCTCCCTGAAATCTTTTGTCACGACAAAACAGGAGTGAGTTTTCATGTGGCCCGGTATTCTCAGTGTCGTCTTTCTGTGACAGTTTCAGGCTAAGCTTTTTTTGCTACAGCATTTATCCATCCTCAACATGTAGCCAAAATGAAACAGAATACCGGTATTGTTAACATGTGGGACGAAGAGCATTTGTAGCTTAAATACAGGTATGGAGATATGCTCTTCTAAGTGTTAATATGTTATATTCTGTTGTTATGATGTACCTTAATGTATCATCAATCCTTTTCAAATTATAATCAGGCAAAATTGGTGATTGATTGTTCGAGCATTCATTTCAAACAATTTGGTTATTAATATTTGCCAATGTGTCTTTGGTAGCCTGGTAATGAAGTGCTGCCTCCAAAAGTGAAAAAAGTGTCTTTATGGGGGCTTTTGCTTTATACACTGCAATGGATGATGTCTAATGACCAGTTAACATCAGACGAAATCCTTCCAGCTTAACGCTAACATATAAAGAGAAAATCTAGAGACCGGCTAATGGAAATTAGCATTGATGTTATAGTGGTGCTGTGATTGACGAAAACTAAGGAGCAACTATTAGCAGTTCAAGCGGTACTTGTGTTTGCACTGCGTAACCCTGTGAAAAAGACACGAAGAACCTGGAAATAGAAATCTCTACTCAACCAAGTGAGTCAGACTCACTTAGGGCACTGCCCCTTGGTGGTCTCGAACTATTCTGTGGGTCCTTACATTATGGGAATTATAAACCTTGAAACAACTGATACTTTAAGACACACAGCATTACTACACACAGTACATACATTACTCTGAATAATATATTCTCTTTTCTCGATTACTAAAGTTTAGTTGAGAACCTTCTCTGTCTCTTCTTCTTGCTCTTCTTCTATTGCACTGCATGTTTTCCAATTAGACCTCATTGCATGTTGCGGCAAGATCTGTTTCTACACGGAAGGCACGCAACTCTGATTTTGGACTTGAAAGTATACTGTAAAAACTAAAACAAAATGATCGCTCAAAATTCTGCAATATTGTAGCATCATGAACATTGAGCCTCCATATACAAGTGGTTCATTGCATATTATATAATCTGGCATTTTTGTGAGGTGGTGAGTTTTTGAATGTAGCCTGATTCAGGTTTGGGAAATATTGATCTATTTCACAAATCGTGATCTGATCACAACTCTGTCAAAAAATAAATAAATAAATAAAAAATCTATTATTGCACTTTTAATATCCCTCTCCTGTCCTTTGATGCTGGAATTATCAAATCCTCTTGTAAGAAGAGACCTAAAGTGATGAGCATCAGTAAAATCCCTCCCATCAGTTTGAGACAAGGTTAAAGCTCTCCACTACGCTAGAGCCTCGTGGCATGCAGCTATTACTGAATTGGGGGCTTGTTTTTTGATTATGTAATGATTGTTTCCCTTGCTCTGAGGTTTTTTTTTCTTCTTCTTCTCCCCAGTGTGTGCATGCTTCTGCCTGTACGAGTAAATCGGAATACACCAGCATATATTTACTATGTGTCTCTGTTGTGTCCATCCCGGAACGAATGTTGTTGTGTATTTTCCACTATCAGCCAAAAGCAGGCTTTTCTGCTCCAATGAGCGCTGATCTACGCGAGGTGTGATCATGCGTGTCGGCTCAAAGATGCTAAATTTACTGCGATTGTTACTCGAGAAACACTTTTGCCCACAGCACAGGAAGAGACCTCGGGCACTATCTTTGTTATTTTCCTCCCCCCTGAGATTTAAGGCACCTGTGAATTGAGGTTCATCTCGGCCGATTGTAAGACTTTTATCTCGTGCAGCTGTGGTCGAGCGATGGTTCAATCTTGTCAGGCTGCGGCTCATAGTAGCTGAGCTGATTGCTGTCCACGGTGCCTGCAGACACATCTGAGTGCTGCTCCTCTGCTTGGGCGCAGCCACATCCGATGCATTGTGACCACGGCTACAGCAAACCACAAATGTGCACTGGCTAGGTTTTCCACGTTGACAAAAAGGATGAACGCTTCCAAGGCCAAACCGTCAGCAGTGAATTGATTAGGGGAAAAGCAGACTCAAAATGGGACATGGTAAAGAAAGGATTACAATTGCAATTGTACAATTACAATCTTCTCGAAGTAGGATGTGGGCAAGTATCAGAAGGACCGATTTGTCACCATACAACTGTTGTGACTCGACTCATGGCAACGTAGAGCGATTACTCTCTCTCAAACAAGTTGATTTCTTTACATTCTCTTTTATTACAAATTGCTATTTTCTTTATCAAAAACACTAAACAACAACATTGTTCTTTGTTTGGCTGTGTTCAGACTGAGGGCTGTTCTGATTCAACCCAGATTCCACCTCAAATCCATTTTTTTTTTTCTTTTTGCGCTAACTGTCCCCACTGTTTTTAGCAACCACTCAAACCGGATTTGGCCCTGTTCAGACTGGGCCACATTAATGACCCATCTGACAGGTTGCAATAGCAATAATGTCAGAACACAGGCGTCATCCAGTACAGATAGTGTTTGACGGTGGCAACACACTAAATACTTTCATAAATAGACTTGTTTAGACACATCTTGTGTGGCGCTATCTCTCCACAGACCGATAAGGCAATGCATTTCATTTCCGCCTCTGTAATAGGACTGCTGTTGTCAAGTAGAGTGACGTCACAGAGCGTCAAAATCGGATTTTGTCGGGCAGTCTCAAAAAAGCCTTTGTGCCCAGTGCAAGTGTAGCGCAAAGTGAGGTCCAACTGTGTGATCCTGAGGGTTCACGGCCCACTGATGTCACATTTATGAATGCAATAAAGTGACATCCAGTACACACATAAACAGAGTACAGACTACCTGGCTGCCTGTGCCTGGATCAAATCCACCAAAATCACATTACCCCACTAGCACCACAACTTAGACCTGGTGTCACTTGGTCTAAAGCCTAGTTTACTTTCCGTCACCAAATTGTCAGGTGTGCCGGGGTGTGTAGTAGAAAAGGTCGGACCACACAGCAAGGCGTAACGTGTTCTGCCAGATTCCGAAACACTGTAAACTACACTTGCCTCGGTACACAAATGAAGATTTTAACACCGAACCCTAGGTTAATAATTGCATCCTACCTTGTATGGTCACGGCGCTTACACTGTTGTCCAATCACATTGCTCCAATGTTACACTCAAAAGTTGTCACGCGGCATAATACCATGGTGTTATGGAAGGTCGTAGTAATTTATTTGCATCAAACCCCATTGCTTCAATGTTGTCTCCTGCTCACAGGCAATTGGTTCACATTGCTATAAAAAGCCTAATTTATTTTCATTCATCTGCATTTTTTTTTCTAGGTGACTGCATTCCTGGTGGAAAAAAAAAGATTCGCATTTTAATGTTTAGTCATTAATACCGTAAATAGGTGCTAACTTTCAAGTACACTGTGCATCATCTAATATTGTCTGAACAGTCCTCTTGACAGCATGTCAACAGCAAACAAAATTCCCCGGGCTTGTTTTAATTATGGCTGCAATTTAATCACCCTCTTACGAACACCTGTGTGTAGTTTGTACTATGTTCGCTTATGACAGCGCCGCCATCTATCACACGCCGATCAATAGTGGACTAATTACGCCTCTGCGGTCCGGCCTGCACTCTCGCCGGTTCGTCTGCAAAAATTGCTACCCGATACCGAACTGCTCAAGCTCGCCTAACATACAGCACCGTGTCAACATGCCTGTTAAATTGGCTGCATGCGTCGATCAAAGATGCCATGTGTATTGTGTTGCATTGATCCAAGGTATTTAATGTGCATGGTTGGTCATTTAGCTCAGCCCGCCTGTGTCACCAGAACAAATGTATGACAGTATATGCTCCATTCAGAGAGTCCTTGTGTGTGTTGATTGCTTCTATAGGTGCTCCTCAAAGGATTTGGACATGGTAGAAAAGTTAATTTATTTTAAAAAGTAATACTCATACTGTATATGCAGATTAATGAACATATTTTACAGAGGGCCTCTCCATATTAAAAGTAATTTTAATTTTAAATGATTTTATAATTTATTCGTATGGCTAATATGGAGTTATCATCAGTTATCAGCGCAACAAAAAAATCATGAAATATTTCACAAAATCTCAATATTTTGAATTGAAATATTGATAGAAATGATGTTTTCCATGATATTTTAATTTGAGCTGCACCTGTGTGCTTGCAGGATCTGCACACAGCAACAACGTCATTAAGATTTGTTCGCTGGGCATTTTTACCCGGTTTTCATCAATGCCTTTGGGCAAAATGTATGACAGTAAATGAATTGGTTATTTATTTGCTATTTTTGTTACTGTCAGATGCTTGCTGATTGTTGATTGAATTCCCTGTCATTTTTCTCCTTTCAGATTGCAGTGCTTTGGATACTCAGGTTTGAAGTCCCTGGTTATTACCATATAAGTGATGTTGACGCATGTCGGTGTGATTGTGTCAGCACAGTGGAACCAAATGTAAAGTCACAAATTTATCGGTGTATCTGTCAGGTGTGGATGAGAAAATCCCGCATGTGTTAAATAAATAAATAAAAATCCATGTCATCATTCTGTCCCCAGATTTTACTACTCTTGCTCTTTCTTTTTCCATGAGGAATTTTTGTGTGTTATTTTTTTTTGGTCAGTGAACAGGGAGCATTGCACAATAGGCATATCAAGGCCTGAAGCACCAAGAGCGACATCATTTTCAGTCTTGAGCCCACAAATTACATTGATGTGGAATAATTTGGTCCATTTTCGCCTTTGGTGCTTCCCTCCCTTCCTGCTGTGCTCTCCATCTCCCCCTCCTACTCGTCGCCCATCATTTATTTTATCCTGAATTGACTCCCGAATGGGGGAGTGATTTGTTATGAATGAACCATTTCGTGATTGGCCACGTAGCTCAGAACCTGTGGCGTTTTTAACACTGAATTTGTCTTTTTTCTTGTAGCCTCGCAGTATTTTGGACCCCAAACTGCTCGGCTTGCAGTCTGGAGGGTGAGTGCTGTCTCACTTTTTCATCTGATTGGCTCCAACTTTCTGTTCGGGCTGTTTTTTTGTTTTTTTTTACCCTACAAACAGAGGCAGAAAAATGTGACAGGAATCTTTAGTTTCTCTGCCAGGCAACCCCAATTAGTTAAGACAGCATGCCCCCTACAATTTGTGAAATAGGGCAAGCTAAACACAAAGCACTGGAACAGTCAGGCCAATTTCCTTACCTTTGCTGTACACTGTCAACATTTGGGCTTAACGTTGAAATGAATATGAGACTAACGAGCAACATTTCAGTTTTTATTCCAGGGAGTTATGTAGTTGGATGAAACACATTTATGCAACTTATCTGAACGAGCCCATTTTCCATCTGAGCAAAAGTGGAAAGGAACAGGCGGCATTGGTGGGTTCTGTTGCAAAGGTCCGGTGCGCTGTGAACTGTCTATGGGTGAAAAGCAAGCGATTGTAATGATTAGAGACAATGACAACTGTTTCAAACTATAAATAATGAAAAATATCTGAAGTCTCTGGACTGACTTTGGGCAAGAAGCAGGGTGCTCCCTGGACTGATCGCCCACCAATCGCAAGAAACATATGCACGAACAACCATTCTCACTCACTTTATCATGGTACTCCAAGCAAGCACAGAGAAAGCATGCCAACTCCACACAAAAAGACCAAAGATAAATTGTAGACTTTTGACTGTGAGCCAGAAATGCAACCCAGATGCTAAACCAGCTATGTTTGTTACAGAAAAAGAAAAACTAAATTCCAAAATTTTCACAACACCTGACTACTATTTCACCTACAATCCTTCACTATTTGGCCATGTGGAGCATGCCCTTTGCATAGACCCAGCGAGAGTCCAGCCCCCCGACCCCCACCCCCCACCCCAAGGTGAGGCAAGGGTGCGCCCTGCCGCTCGTCAAATCGTGTGTAACTCAGGGGTCATACAGCATGACACAAATGCTTGAGGAGCTCCAGCAGCACAGAGGGAAAACTTGCTGTCGAGGTCATTACAGAGGCTTTGAGTGACAGTTGAGGAGATGCCACCCAGAGCCTCGTGGTGAAGGAACAGTGCTGGTGGGACAGTGGGGTGGTGGGGTGGGGGGGGGGGGAGAAGGATGCGGAGCCGGCTGTGGGGAGTGTGAGAATTCAGAGAGTCGAGAGGACAATGTACACCTAAATGTCACACAGAGACAATAAGTCGGCATCACCCACACATTGGGATACAATTTAAACTCAGATGCGAATCAAAACAGCAGCGCATACCAAAGCATTTGAACTTCTTTAAGATGCATGAAAGTCTGTTCACTTTTGGGCAAGACGCACATGTCATAAATATTGTACATTAGTAGCATTGTTAAGTATCATTCAAAAAATGCTTTGTATAATTAAACGCATTGCCTCAAATATGTGCCTGTATGTGTGCAGCTAAGCCAAAATTAAATATGGCAAGGTAGATATATTGAAAAGCGATCGCTAGCCTCTCAAAGGATCAGTATCTATCAGAAGCTCCCGCTGTTCTTTCTGTTGATACACTGTTAACGGTTGAACAAAGAAGCCATTTTGGGGCTTTCCTGAAAAGTGATTTGGGAGGTATAAGAATTCTCGCAAGCGATATGAACTCCAATGCAGCCTCGAGGACGAAAAGCAGTATCCCAATGGAATGCAATGAAGTCACATCCAAAGGTGGCGCAGGTGAAGGGAGGAGGCATGATCCACAGTGTTCGCTAGTACGCATAAATCAAAAGACCTCCCGCGAGTAATATCTCCCTTCGCATTGGCGTTGTTATGATATTAATACATTTTAAATCTGTCTTCTTCTCTAGGGCCGGCAGTATTCTTTACGGTATTGACAGCATGCCAGATTTACGCCGCAAGAGAACAGTGCCTCTTGTCCGAGACCTGGTGAGTCATCTGCCTCGAACGGAGTTGTATGTGATTTATGTCAAAGCGATCTGAGTGACCTTACGCTGTGTCACGCTGGTGGAACCCCGTGCTGCGTGAGTATCAGATCAAGGAGCGCAATCGAAATGTTGATTTACTGAAGACCTGATTGCATTCTATCTGATCCAAAAAAAAAAAAGTCATGAGAAGATCAAACAAGAAATGCATGGTTGTAAATGAAAACATGTATACCCGCCAGGCATCTTCAGATTTTTTATGATACTGTCGTGTATTGTATTGGAAAGGTGCGACACCTGCAGCAGGTTTTAATGCCCAAATATACAGCTAGGAAGAATTCATTGAGTCAAAAAGATGCGACGGTATGCTCGGTCACCCACAGGGGCATGCATGCATCATCTTTGTGTCATAAAATTAATGGGACCGGTCCTTCTGCTAGTTCGTCATAATCAATGCCACCTTGAACAATAGAAATAAACAACAACGAGAAATCATCTCAAAAGTTAAAATAACATCACAGCATGTTGGGATGTGTCATTATAAGGTATGCGATTGCTTCTCTCATATTCGTTGTGATTGAGAGCACCTTGCACAATAGAAATGAAGAGAAAACACAAATAATCCGCAAAGTCAGAATATTTGCAGTACTTTGCTTAATAAACTGATGAAACCGAAGTGCAAACCTCACTGGATTAGAATATGCTTGCTGTGTAAACTGCTCGCTTGGAGGGTGACAACAGTGACCTACAAACACATTCAAATAGGATGCCTCAACATCTCGTACCCAAATTTGAAGAGAAGCACTCCAGCTAGTGGGTATTACAACTTGATTAATTACCCAAGAGAGAGTGTTTGACATTGTATCCCAGTGATGTTTTGATGTGTCATAACATACCCGAAAGTAACGCCACGGTTCAATTTCGCGGCACGTAGGTCTCACTGCCAATAACGATAAAAAGTGTGTATTCTTGTTTGTCCGTGACCGTCTCTTGTGTATGTATGTTTTTCATCATCATGTACTTTAGCCACTTTACCGTCCCCCCTCCACCCCCAAAAAACAAACAAACATGTAAATACTCTTTTATAGTAAAGTGGTAGGTGCATTTGAATGCTTTGATGACAATGGATGCTGATAAATGTTTATATCACAGTGAACAACGTGAGTTGATGCTGTATTTGTCCATGTCTCTCATGAAATTAATAACCAACATTGTCTGGTAAGTATGGGTTGTTGTCTTAATATTTATTTATTTTTAATATTTGGGGATTTTGCGTGTATATTTTGACATTCCTCCATAGACCCATCACAGCTATGGGTGATATTTTTCAGTGAGTTGTCAGATTTCAGCTTTTTTTTTGGTGAGGTTTTTTTTTTTTTTTTTTTTTAATGATGATTATTATTACTATCACTGTATTTAACTTGAAATGATGACAACTCAACCCAAAAATATATATCCGGGGAGAGACTTCATTGACTCTTGATTTAACTGTGTGAGGCTTTTAAATCATGTAAAAGTGATGCTCACCAAGCCTTTTACACGTGGGATGAAGTCAGCAAAACAATTGGTGCCCGTCCCCCTTATCATGCCTACTCCTTTGTCAATGTCCCCCCGTACCCCCCGATCCCCACCTCCCTCCCATTCGCTGTATGATTGCTTCAGGGCAACAGCAGCAGGGCTCACCCACATAAAAGAATGAAGACGTATAAAAAAATAAAATAAAAAAAAAGAGACAAAAGAAATCAAGAAAAACGATGGAAATTGATTTGAAAAGCAGTGATATCACCACTGATCAGATCCTATCAGTCATTTCGTATTGCCTGCAGCAACCTCAGCATTGCTGGTGCATGTTGATAAAAAAGAAAGAAAAAAAAAACTTACATCAACACTCGCAGTTCATGTAGAGGTTCCCTCCGCCATTTCCCATGGCCGTCCGTAGATCTTTACCATAACTGGCCTGTGCACAGAAGAGGCTGGTGGTAAAGACCGGTTCGCTATTGTCAGCTGTCAGTGTTTGCAGCGTGTGTGTGTGTGTGTGTGTGTGTGTGTGTGACCTGACTTTCTCTACAATGGGTTGCAATTTTCAGAAAATGTTTATTAAAAAAAAATACATGTAATTTGTGTGTGTGTGTGTGTGTGTGTGTGTGTGCGTGCGTGCGTGCGTGCGTGTGTGTGTGTGCGTGTGCGCGCGCATATCTGTGCATCTATATCGGAGGTGGGACAAAATACCAACAGTTTGTTCAGCAGATGTCCCAAAGCACCGGACCGTTGTCTGGTATGGCTATTCGTTACCAGTCACATAGACGTAAAAAAAAAGAAAAAAAAAACATTCAATTTAAAAATTAACTAATACTGTACATTCTTGTTTTGTTTTGTTTTTGTTTTTGCAGCTGAGCACATAGTCCTGATCAGCAATATATGTCAGCGCTGCCATCATGGCAATTAGTTTGTGATCTGGAATTTACTATACATCAGCACCTGTTGACGAATAGTTGCCGATCGGATAATATTCTGTACTGTGCAAAGCAGAAGCGTCCCATGCAAATAGTCCAATGCAACCGTTTCTTGCAACTTAATGAGAACCATCATTTTGCACAATTGAAGGCTAATCACTTCATAAAAGACACAAAAAAAGTACTGTGATATTAATTGGTTGGAATCCTTTGATATTTGTGTGAAATATATTTCAAAAAGCTGGCCATGCATCAGTTCCAAACCTATCATGAAGTATCAGAGTTATGTCTGTTTCTGTCGTAGCTGATTTCCCCTCTAAATAAATTATTCACAACATAATCAGTGTACCGTGAACAGTTGGCAAAATATCACAACTTCCAAGGCGATTCCCACCCCTCGTCTACATTCGTGTTGCCCATTGGTGCTCATCGTGCATTTTTAAATGTCCCAGCAAGTGTGTGTGTGTTGTGTGTGCGTGTGAGTCAGGTTTGTGTAGCACAGTCGGCTTCACCTGAACATGAGTGTGTCCGTCCGTGTGTGTGTTTATGTTTCTACGTGTTTCTGTCAAATGATTGTGCAGAGCATACAGCAGAACATATGAGCAAGTAGCTTCACTAGACAGCGAGCTTTAGAGAAAAGTCAAGCATGACTGCAAACGAGTAACATCTAGTGCATGGGTGGGTTAAAAATAAACAACCCCCCCCACACCCCTCAAAAAAAAAAAAAATCACGCCATGGACTTTAAAATATCTGATGATTAGTTTTCTGCCGAAGAGCTCGAAAACAACAATCAGCAGTCCTGCATGGCAGTTAAGACACTTGTCCGCTCACTATGGAACACAATTACTCTGCTGTTAGTGCTTTCAGTCCTAATTGACTTCCTGCGATGTGTCTAAATTTTTTTTTTGTCTCTCTCTTTCATTCTCACTTCTTGGCCTCCTGGAAACCACAGGCTTTGGTAAGTTTCCTTGTGTCTGCTCAAGTTGACTAACGGTGGAACACAATCCGTTTCAGGACGCTGGTACAGATTGTGGACGTTTTTTTTTTCCCTCCAATGAAACTCTTGTCACTAAAAGATCTGAACACAAGTTAATGCTGGAAAATCAGCAATCATAGTTTTTTGTATTAGTCACAGAGCTGGGTGGTTGACACTCCCGTAGCCTGAGGGAAAATGTTGATATCTGTGATTTTTACATTTTTAAAGAATAAATATACAATTGATATGAATACAAACTAAAAACACCTGAAGTGTACGTAACATTTGATTCTTACTGTCCGTGTCAATCAAAAATCATTATTAGAATGCCACAGCAAGCAGATAAGATGGCCGAGAAGTCATTGTTTATCATGCCATCCGCAGTCACGGGTTCATGAAATAAAATGCAAACGTATACGCACACCCACTCATTATACAAGCCATTGATTGCAGTCTGCAAAATGGTGTCAATGTGGAGGACAAGTGATTGCTAAATGGCTGTTAGGTAGTGAATCAGTGTATGGGATAGAAGTAGATGCTTAGGCCACAAAAGCAAAGCAACTCCAAAGAAAATGGCATTTCTCGAGTAAATTGAGCTCAGCAAAATATTGCTGTTGACTTGGACCAGTTCCAACTTGATTATGAGTGTGATGGGCATTGCTCTGGATCTGTGTGAATTTTATTTTGATAAAGAACGATGCACGCGCACAGACAAGTCTTATAAGGCCACCCTTCCCTTGTGTCACCCAGGTCACCCCACTGAAAAGTTTCTGGCTATGCCGCTGCGTGGAAACTTATTTGTACTTGCTCGTGCAAATTCATCCTCTGCCTGGGATAAATTGCAGAAAATCTCTCAAAAATAGGTCATTGATTTCTCCCTTCTCATCACCTTGTTCCACTTCTGCTCGCAGACCCTCACTGCTCGAAAGGCAGGCATCTCGTTTGCTCTGGTGAACCGCTCCACCCTGAATAACGAGGACTTGGTGAGTGTGCATGGAACGTCTCAGTAAGTTTATAATCTATGGTGACCGTCAAGAAATGTTTCCATGGCAGCAATTCTAACAGAACTGGACAGTATGCCTTTATGAAAACAGGAACATTGGTGTCCGTTTTTTTTTTCTTTTTTTGATACAAAGGATGTTTTCACTACTCTCCTTATTGGGGTCAACAAGGTCTAAAGGCTGCTAACTTGCAATGTATGCATTTACTCCCAAGTACCTTTCCCTCTGATGAATGCTGTGTTTGAATCAAGAGAAATAAATGGCTCCCTCAAATAGATGTTAGCCTTTTCTCAAACAAACAGGTAGTCCTGCTGGGTCTGCATTTACCTTAGTTCATAGATGCCACCGCTCACACGAAGACATTAAATATCGAAATGCTGCGCTCATGAACAGCATCACTGCTGCATGTGAAAACTCTCAATGGAAAATAAATGTGGGATTTTACATCGTATTAAAAACAAATTCAAAGTTTAGTATATCACGAGACTGTAATGTACTCCCTCCACAGTGTTGTGTCTACTCATGTTTGTGTTCCAAGAAGCTATGCAACTAGTTCATTCCGACAAATTTGCACCTCCATCCATCCTTAATCCACACCGCTTATCCCAATGAGGGCCGAGGGCATGCTGAAACATATTCCAGCTGTCTTGGGCAGTAGGAGGAGTACACCCTGAACTGGATGCCAGCCAATCGCAAAACCTGTAACTCTGTTTTTGCCATTTCGCTGCATTTCTCTCAGTTTTCAACTTGTTCAATGGTTGATTGGCACCAAATTGATTTTCCAACTATGACTTTTTTTTTTTTTTAAATTAGGCTTGTTCTCCCTTCTGGCATGTCTGGTCCAAATAATCTCTCAACCTGTTTTTGCCATATATCACAATATGCTCCCGCTGTGTCCAATTTGACAGCGTGCAGCAATAATTAATAAACACCAAGCAACCCTTTGAAGGCTGAGTTACTGTAATAGAGGACAGGCGGAATGTAAAAGTCAATAGCAAGAGACACTTTTGTGGTGACCTCCAAAGCTGTCTCTGTATTAATTGATTGCAATTCGTCTCTCCCAGAGGGAGAGGTGGATTTACAGCAGGCAGGAGTGAGAGGACTTTCTAAGCACAACAACTGGCAGAGCAGTTTTAACTTGGGGCTACATGACAACTGAAGTCCTTGCATTAAATATGGAATGATTTCTCACGATAGACATGAAGTATTTGATTTCCTTATGTCCTATTGCAGATTTATTGGGATTTGGGCTTGCTCTGGAGAACTAAACTAACAGTAGCCCTGCAAATATGAAAACTTGAAAATGCTAAATGTTACCATGTGAACCTGGGTGTTTGGCATGGGTTATTTTGGGACCTCAGTGGATATCTACTATAATGCTGAAACCCACCTTATGCACTTTATGGGATGCTAACAAATAGCAAGATAGCAACATGAGTAAAGAAAGTGCTGAGGTAAATAGGATACTGATTTCACATCCCCTGAATTTATGTACTTTGCCAAATGAAAATTGGTGAAATACTGTTCAGTAGCAGGTTTGCAAACATCTAGCAAGATAGAAACTAAAAGCACTTAGGCAGATCAATAAGAATTTTAAAAACATGCGCTATAGTCAAGTACTATATGTATTTCTAATATGAACGGATCAAATGTAAATATGCTAACAGTCAGTATGCTAACAGACCAGAGTACATCAAGTGCTCAGGTAGCTTTATAGTTGTAGTAGTAGTAGTAGTAGTCAGGTATTCTTACAAATGGAAAATTGCTGGCTGGAAATACTAGCACACAAAGAGTCACTTTGTTCAAATATTGCAACAGCCTGAATGCAAAAAGCCGAAAAGCCAAAAAGGCAAAACAATAAAGCAAGCATTCTAACATTATGCATTTTTGTTTTTTACCCACAGGTACAGATGACGACTGACAGAACCCTTTCTACGATGGAACTTTCCTGTACGACTGAGAGCCTCCACAAGCATTATGCAAGACCGAAATCAAAATGTGGCAGATCAATAAATGAGAACTGCACAATAAATGAGAAGAAATGAGAACTGCTAAAATGCGGACATGCTAACATTTGGTATGAGGACATATACAAAGGGAGAAAGTGTTGATCTTTTCAAGAAGACCCATTGACTAATTAAGGCACAGTGCCTGTTAGTGTTGAAGCGACTATTTCACGATAGGCGGTAGCTTTGTGTGAGATTAAAAGGGTTTTAAGGATGGAAAATCCAGATGGCTGAGTAAAGACATAAAATATTCATTGTGTTTATTAGTGCATCCAGGATGCCCCCTTTTATAATTTGAGACTGTGCATCTTTGTAAGCAAGGGACTTAGAGGGGCATCTGTCGAGAAGTATATTCGGACAGGGGGGCAAACAGAGAGTTGCGTATTTTTGTGGTCGAGTTCCCAGCAAGGCTGCAGATTGTGCGGTCGTGGTAAGTAGGCCGAGCAGATGTCAGAGTTTTATCTGCTGCATTAAGTCCAGGAGAGTGCTTCCCTGTGAGGACTGGAAGAAGGGGCTGGAGGGTGGGTGAATGGGTGGGGTGGGGGGAGCACTGTAGAAACAATCAAATGACGTTAGGGAGTGGATCCGGACCAAAGAGGGTGATGAAAGAAGAATATATAGGGAGCAACGCAGCGAGTAATTTGTCATCGCAGTCCTGCGGCGTTGATGTTAGCTATCGGGCATCCACGTTGAACAAACTGCCCCTCACCACCCAAGTATGAGATGTCTCAACACCTTTCACATTTTGACTGGTGTCCACCACTCTTTTTTACCTTACATGGATGTTTCGAATCAGATGACGAATAAGACATCTGAATCACGTTTCCAGTTGATGTGCTTTTTAGGGCAGAATGGAAACATTATGTGCGCGCCATCTATTTTCCAGCTTTTCAGTTGTGTTGTCAACATCAATACAAAGAACTTTGGTTGTGTTTATCTGCCAAGAATATCTGAACACCTAAAGCTCCCTAATTGTAGCAGTGTGAAGATAAGGATCCAGTCATCTAATTGGTCTAGCATTGATTCCTAAAGCAAAAGAAAATTACAAGAACTATTTTGGATTATTTATCTGTCACTAAATAAAAAGACATGTTTCTATTTGCTCAGAATTTGTCGAGTTGGACGAATCATTTTATGACAACGTCTGGGTGGTTCTGCATTTACCACACTGATAGTGATTTAGTATGCATGCTGATAATGTAATGATTCAATACAGTTAGTATTCAACAAGATAATTACTGAATACAGTAAAGGGCTGTGACTTTTGATAGTCTAAAAGTGCCTGCATTGCATGCTGTTGGACTATGAAACAAACCACTGTATCAGGAGACCACTGATTATCAATACCCAAGAGTCCAAAATTGTTCTTGTCGTGGTGTCTAAACATGGCCGATTGGCCGTAAATGCAAAATGTAATGTCCCAAACTGATTAAGAATACACTTTTGGAAGTTTTTTCCAAACCTACCATGGATGTGTAGAATAAAAATTATGAAAGCCCAATGAAAGACAAAGAGAAAGGCACTTTGAGACCAAATTAAAACCAAGGGAGAAGCAATACGAGACAAGAAACAGACAAATTCAAGAAACAGACAAATTCAAGTCGGGACCAAGTAAATACCAAGACCAAAACAATGTAAGACAATGTAAGGCTAAGACTATGGCCAAGGCAGGTCGAAACCAGGGCAGACCAAGACTTTGAGGACTTGTGAGGCCAATTCAATGTGAGAACGAGTCAAGAACAAGGCAGGTCAAAACTAGGTCGAAACCGAATCAAGGTTAAGGCTTCATGAGTTTGTTTGTAGAAATTAACAAACTGTGATGAACAATATATGAGAGCAGTTTTGGTTTTGAGAATAAAATCCGAGTGCTTAAAGTGTCAGACCAAGAAAAGAACAAGTTGAAATACAATTGATTCAGAGCCTGACCCTAAAGTGTTCTTAAGACCAATCTTTAGACCTGCAACACAAATAGCAACCACTGTGACTTGAACGTCTCATTGGGTTTTGCAAGTGGGTGTTTTGACTGAGCGCCAGACAACACAAACAACAGGTGGTGAAAGGCAAGGCGAAGGGCCAAAGGGGTTTGCAAGATTTTGACTGCGCTGCCGCCTTGCTCTCAGATCGACGTGGCGTCTGTCAAACACTTATGTCTGTGATTTACACCACACAGTCAGGGTTACCTCACAGGGTGACTCACACCAGTGCTCTTCACACTTCGGCTGGCTGGTGTGATACAAAACATTGGTGGGGAATTGTATCATTTTTTTTTTGAGTTTTGTAACAATGAAATTGGAAAGAATAAATGATACACTGACTGAAAAGTAACAAAATACGTCAGGGGTTACCAACAATTGGGTGGGGAATCTCTTTAAACCGTATCACAGCATCAGTGAATAAATCGGAGACATCTGCTCCATCTCGTTGACCTTAGATTAAAAAGGAAAATCTTTCACAGTCCCTCTTAGCATTTCATTAGAGGTCCACTAGGGTTCAGCTCTTTGCATGAGCGACTCAAAGTCTCTTGTGTTGTGCCTTGTTGTCCCGTCATCTGGCATCATTTAATCATCTGGCGGTACGAGAAGGCAATGCGAGCTGCTCTAAAGTTCTTTAACTTTATGAGGGGGTGAGGAGGCCGACACAAGCGGAGATTTATCTAGCCTCTATGGCTCTTGCCTTTCCACCGCTCTCACTCCATCTCAATCTGGATGGATCATTCCCATCTTTCAAACCTTCTTTACGGCTCCCATCTATCGTTCCTTCGGGAATTGGCAGAGCCCACTCATTGTTGATGGCACCACCGTTGCAGTAAAGCATTCTATTTGAGGAGGTTTCTGTCAAAAAGGGGCTGGTCTACTCCAGTATTCAGTGCAGGGAGCCTTCGGTCCGCAAACCAGTCGATTGGAACAAAGCCTTGGGGGCTAAGGATGTTGTTAATCTGAGTTTAATGAGATGTAGGCCTGATTTACTGTCATACAGCGGGCCTTTGCTATCGTTCGAGGGTAATCAGAAAAGGATCAACAAAACTTGCAATGAGTAATGACTGCATGAATTTGAACAAGGGATGCTAACTTTCTTAGAGCTTACCTGGAGGTAATCTGAAACTAAAACTTCCGTAGGTATTCATGGCACAGTGACACTTAGCCAGGGTGTAGGGGGGGGGGGGGCACATTATTGGTGGGCAGAGGAATGCACGCGTCCTGAAAATTTTAATTTGTCCACCAGACTCAAGTCTTTCCATGTACATTTGAATGCCAAGCATTGTTTATTCATTTATTTTAGCAAAGCAGTGCAAGGGCCGTTGGAAGTGAGTGGACCGGTCGTGCTAGTTTTATTTCCGTCCACCATTTTTTTAGTAACCTAACATCGTCAGACCTTTTTGTGCCAAATCCTATGCGTTTTTCATCACAATTGGTTCAATCTATAAATTCGATGGCAATGCTCACATTTCTCGATTTGTCTCTTTTCAGAAACTTCACGTCTTCAAGAAGACCCTCCAGGCCTTGATATACCCGATTTCTTCCACAACACCGCACAACTTTGAGGTGTGGACGGCCACTGCGCCAACTTACTGCCATGAATGCGAGGGGCTCCTGTGGGGCATCGCACGCCAAGGCATGCGCTGCTCTGAGTGTGGCGTCAAATGCCACGAAAAGTGCCAAGACCTGCTCAATGCAGACTGTTTACAGAGTAAGTCTGAAAACTTCCTGACCCGCACTCCATTTTAAGAAATGATTAATCAACAATCAATCGAAAATATACAGATTCCAAATGCACAAAGGCAAAAATTATGGTTCATTTACGTTGCTCGCTCAGGCACTTGCGCACATTATCATCTCCAATCTGTACTGTAATCAGGGTTGTCTCTTTTGTAACAGTGTCAGCTAATAGAAAAAGTGCCGCAGGATGCTTGCTGAAATCCATGCGCACTTAAGTGGATTAGCCACACCTAAACGCAATGCTTTGTAACGGTGTTATACTAGCAGAGCAATATTTTTTTTTCCCCAAACGAAATTGCGATTCATGCTTATCACTGAGATGAGAATAAATCAAATCTTAGATCTTGAAACCTTTTGCCTATACAAGATGATATGGTGTGCAATCAATGGGCTGCCGACCGACCGCATGCTCTGCCTCACGTGCCGACAGGCTGCCAATGAAGGCCATCCAGCTTATCAAGAGACTTCTCGAAAAAATAAAAATATCAAATTTCCTATCCTTGTGAAACGTTGATTGTCATTGTCTCACATTGCCGCAGTCACACACATTTCAACAACTCCATTCAGTTTAAGGCTGATTTCTACCTTTAAACATTTTTTTTTTTCAAATTTGGTCCTTTTCCAGTTTGTCAAAATCTATGTGGTCCAAAAAAGACCGCTGCTATTTATGTATAGGCAACATATTCCGTCAACCGCTCCAATCCAATCTTATTCCCACCATCTTTTTTTTAGGGGCAGTGGAGAAGAGCTCCAAGCACGGAGCGGAGGACAAGACCCAAAACATAATCATGGCCATGAAAGAGCGAATGAAGATCCGAGAGAAGAACCGACCTGAGGTGTTTGAAGTGATCCAAGAGATGTTCGACATTTCCAAGGAGGACTTCGCCAGCCATCTCAAGACAGCCAAGCAAGCTGTGCTGGACGGCACCTCCAAATGGTCTGCTAAAATCAGCATCACTGGTAAGTGATTTTTTTTTTTTTGTATGTGCAGTACAATGTTGTCAATGCAATTGTATGAATGGAATCAAAAACGCCCATCATAAAGATCTCCTCCATTTTTTTTCAACACATTGCTGTTATGCTGAACACAACTGTAGCTGCAGTGAAAACAAAAGCAAGCGGTGGCCCTGCTTCCGGCAAATGTTAAACAAGCCTCAAATCAAAAGCCTCCCTAAGGCACTGATGCGCGAGATTTTTGTGGAGTTCACTCACAGGTTAATCCCACAACTGGATAGGCTCACACAAATTTGCACGGTGAGCTCTGAAATTGACGCCACCAGTGAGCTGTTTGAGATGCCAATCAAAATGTCAAGCGCCTGAGTGGAATTTGACAAGACAGCTGGAGTGCACTTTGATTCTTTTTTTTCTTAAATACGCATACATTTCGGGATCTCTCTCTCTCTCTCTCTCTCTCTCTCTCTCTCTCCATTTCATGGGTTATTTCATGCTTAATACAACCTAACATTTTCTGCTGGTTGTAAAGGGAAATTGATAGTCCATCCCTCGCCGTGAACTTTATCGTCTTTGCCAGCCTTTCGAGTAAAATTCCTCCGAATGGTCTGCTAAAATCATCATCACTTGGTAGTTATTTTTTTTTTTTTGTATGTGCAGTACAATGTTGTCAATGCAATTGTATGAATGGAATCAAAAACGCCCATCATAAAGATCTCCTCCATTTTTTTTCAACACATTGCTGTTATGCTGAACACAACTGTAGCTGCAGTGAAAACAAAAGCAAGCGGTGGCCCTGCTTCCGGCAAATGTTAAACAAGCCTCAAATCAAAAGCCTCCCTAAGGCACTGATGCGCGAGATTTTTGTGGAGTTCACTCACAGGTTAATCCCACAACTGGATAGGCTCACACAAATTTGCACGGTGAGCTCTGAAATTGACGCCACCAGTGAGCTGTTTGAGATGCCAATCAAAATGTCAAGCGCCTGAGTGGAATTTGACAAGACAGCTGGAGTGCACTTTGATTCTTTTTTTTCTTAAATACGCATACATTTCGGGATCTCTCTCTCTCTCTCTCTCTCTCTCTCTCCATTTCATGGGTTATTTCATGCTTAATACAACCTAACATTTTCTGCTGGTTGTAAAGGGAAATTGATAGTCCATCCCTCGCCGTGAACTTTATCGTCTTTGCCAGCCTTTCGAGTAAAATGGAGCGACGACTGAGGCATCCGTTGCGAGCTGGGTGTCTTAGCGCCATTGACAAAAATTCACCATTCACAAAAATGTCACCGAATAGGAAACCATAAACCAAACGCAATCTTTGCCCTTTTTGTTGGCTACACTTGGGCCGGCCCTAGACGGAAAGTTGGCAGGGTAGCCTCATTCGCAGGACTCCAATCCATCTCAATGGTAACTACTATTTGTCAGGCTCGGCTCAGTTACTGCCCATTTTGCAGTTTTGGCTTTGTTAATACAAGAGAGCAAGCAGCAGATGCTGAGAATGTGAGGCACGAATAGAGAGGGCCAATATTGAATTGGGTGAAAAGGAAAGTAAGAAAGTGAAAAGAGAAAGAGAGCGGGCTTTTGGAAAAGACCCAGGGTTGCCTCTTTTGATATCCCGAGGGCCTATTGAATGTTCCTTTTTAGAATGCAGGTATTGAGCGGTTATTTAGTCATCATTCATGAAATGAGCAAGGGCTGGCATGGACGCTACAGCTCCCAGACAGCAACCGGGAGCTGTTCCGCCTCTAGGCTTCTTCATTTAACATCAATGTCCAAATAAAGCCTCGGATCTGCAGTAGAGGATTATGACTTTTCAGCATTATTAGATTCTCAGAGTTCTCCTGCGTGTGCCGTGTGGAGCTGGCTCAGTGGTCGTCTCCCAACCCAGAGGTTGGGGGTTCAATCCCTGGCCAATTACGACTTTGTCGAAATGTCCTCGAGCAAGAGACTGAACCCCCAGCTGCTCCTGATGCGGTGTCATCAGTTGGTAAATGAGGAAACTGTGTAAACGGCTTTGAACACCAAAAGTCGAAAAGCACTATACAAGTGACAGCCCATTTAGCTAGAAGCCATTAGGTGCCATTATTATTTTTTTTAATATGTAACACCTTAAGACAAACTTAGTTGCTCCTAAAATATGCCCTTTGCCACAGAAGACATGTTTTTGTGTCCTCTAGGAGTGAATGGGTCACCGTTGTTTGACCCTCTCGAGTCACACTTCCAATTCCGGTCCGAATTGAGCCGGGGATATACACGTAGCCTGAATTATTTAACTAGTCCCTTGCATTTTTAATGACCCAGTGTCCCCATCACCCCTTTATGGAGCTGAAATATAACTGTCTTACTTCTTGCATTGTCGTCAGCATGTGCGGAAGTATAGGATTCTGAATCACGAGTCCGCTGCCTGGACAGGAGATTAATTATGGATAGACTTAACGCTATGTGCAAAATGAAATGAATATCTATCCTGTCAGTGAAGTCAGAGCTCGTTTTTTTCAGCCTCTGGCTATCCATCGTACATTTGAGATCTGGACTGGTAAAAATTCTGCTGCTTGACGAGTATTCGGAGTAAAACCATATTCATCAAGGACTTTGAAAAGCTTATGGTTCAGCTTCAGTCAATGTGTGATTTGATTAAAGAGGACATCCGATTGAAAGTGGATTTGCGAATTGCTTGCCCAACCATCAAAAGTGAAACTACTCAACCGAGTCAATACTTTTGACATTTTTTAGAGTTGTGATGTTAGAATTATGTTTGCCAACATGCTACACTAAGACTACCGGTATGTCCACACCATGCCCCAGATTGGCTTTTTCTGCCCGTATGTGACCTGTATTGGGTTTTTTTTTTCCGACAGTGTGAATGGATCAAGCCTGATATCCGTTTTCATATTTGGTCCAAGGTCGGATATGTATCGCATTTTATTCAATAGGACAGCAGTCTGAATGGACAGGTCGCATATATCGGACCTGCGCCTCAAAAAAGCCCAATATGCACTCCGTACGGGTGGGGTGGACAGACTGCTTTATACTGACAATTGTCTGTAAATCTGCAAAGCTGTTTTGAGTAACAAAGTCAACTTTATATTTGCCTTTAATTGAATCCCCCTTGAAACATGAAACATGAAATGGGCATTTACGGTGATAGTAGTAATTTAGCTACACAGACGGTTCATTTATTGCGCGCGGCAATGATGTGATGTTATCTTTAGTGATGTTGATGAGGAGATTGAAAAGCCTCGCCTCATTTCCCCACAATATTGTATTTCTACCTTCTTCCGAATGTTCCACTGTAGATATGAGTTGATAAAAACATGAGCCTCTGCACGCAGTTTATCAGGTATCCAAAAAAAAAGGACATTTTGAAATGTCCGCAATAATTCTTGGTCCTTGGCCTTTTGCTCACCTGCAAATATGATGTCTAAAGCAAAAACACATTTTCACAATCATGTCTTGAAATGTTTTCATCAATGTTTCATCAAGTCTGCGCAAGCAAGAACAAACCTCTGACATTGACTGTCGGCTTAGCACCAATCCTTTCGTTCATTTACCTTGCATAAATATCCATTCACTTTTCAGTTTTCTATCATTCTGTGAATTTTTCTCAGAATCGTTCACTTCTTCCTGTTTCAGTCATGAGTGCTCAAGGGCTCCAGGCCAAGGATAAAACTGGCTCCAGCGACCCCTACGTCACCGTCCAGGTGGGAAAGACCAAGCGTCGGACAAAGACCATCTTTGGCAACCTCAATCCAGTGTGGGACGAGAGGTTCTACTTGTAAGTAGCCTACTCTTGAAGAATTCATCCTCTCTCCGACCAGATGGTTCCTGTTGAGGCTCGGTTTTGGGGAAGCGCGGGGGGGGGGTTCAATCCATTATTTAGCATGTAAACCTGTGTTATTAATAGTTTAAGCGGAAGTACAGTTCGGTAGAACGTGCAACACAGCAGTTGCAGCACCACATTGCTGAAACCAGTGCTGTTGCAATTTTACAGTACCATCAATCAGGGTATGCACCAGAGTTTGTATCCCTGCAGTTTTCCCAACCAAATAAATTGTATGTGACATATTATGTTCTTACTCCTCTGCTTCTTCTTCTCCTGCTCTGAAACGGTGTGTAATAATCCCCAGAATTTCTTGACGGCTTTGCTCCCTGCCTCTATTTTCTCTCAGTAATTCCAGAAAAAATAGGAACACTGTAGGAAGACTGTGACATACTGAATAGGTATATTCTTGTCGTTGGCTTTTGGAACGCATTCATCTTCGGTATAAGATACTGTCAACATGAAAGTAAAAATAACATAAAGACTGATACATCGAAAGCATTTTGTTTCTAGTACCAACAAAATAAAAGCAGTACCCCAAAGCACTGCTAGCCGACCTGCTAGCATGGTCAGCTAGCAGGTGGCAACCTAAAGTAGTAGAAAATAGCAATGGGCACGTTTACCTAAATGTGTTATACTCATTACCGAGGTGAAAAGAAGACATAGTCGTCTTCGGCCAAAGCCGTATAAGTCAATCGTCTAATCTGTGTGCACCTGTGGCTATATCAGGCTAATGACTTTCGAGCATCGACCTACGCGCTGTTAACAGCCGATGGTATTGCTAATGTTGCTGCATTAACTGAGCACGTTGCATCAAAGAGGAGCTTGCTCCAGGGCCGCTTACTCCCAGAGACGCTAAATACGGTAGCAACGACAATTAAACTTTCAAACGGTAATAGCAACGGTTTAAAATTTTAATCACCGAAAGTAAGTCAATTCTATTGATATAGCACTTTAGTCACCAAGGGCTTTACATGATTGAAAAACATACAAATATAGATGTAACAAACAGAAAAAAGTTAATATTCAATCGACAGTCAACAGATAAGTCTGACAGGACTACATGTCTTTGAAACTGCTGTTTAAAAATGTCGACAGAAAATGTGAAAAAGCCTGGAGGAGCTGTGCCAAAGGGCAGATCGTTGTCACTACTTATGACAAATGTACTACTGGTATCATCAAAGTCACTGAATAAGTCTGAGATAGCAATGAGCAATTATCCCTCACAATTTGTTGATGGCGGTCCTGTTTTTCAGGCGATATCGCTCATTTCCCACATCAAAATTAAATAATGTTGCCGTAACATAGCAGTTGAAACCCGTCAAACATTGCAGGTTTTGATCAAGCAGTAATGAGCTCAGTAATTACGACCTTACAGTCTGAAAAAAGAGCAACAAGAAAAGCTCATTAAATACGTTTTAACTGAACCGGGATATGTTTTTTAATTTGCAGAATATCATTTAATGTGCATGTAAATACACGGGCAGGGCGGTATGACTCATAGCGTTTGCACAAGGGCCGGTTGTCCTCGGTTGCTCTATGGAAAGCTCCGGTTCCCAAAAGCCCTCCAGCAACTGATATGTTGATAAATCTGCGGCCTCGGAGACGTGCACTATGCATTATGCACTGCAGCCGTCCACTGTATTTGCCTCCGCCGCATCCCATTTGGATGCTGCAAGAATGCTCGAGAATCACGCAGACCTCAGCAGACATCAGGTTATAAATGCACTATTTTTATCCCCTGTGTGCTTCCACACTGAGAAATCTCAAGCATCTTTGCTCCTCATCAACGTATTCTTTTTTTCACCCCCTCGCAAAAGTGCCACGCCGTCTAGTGTTTGTGTCATTTCGGTAATACATGTTAATAAATCGAGGTGAGTTGCGGCAGAATGCGATCGGGCGGCATTAATCAATGCACAACAATCAACATAAAAACAAGCAGGTCTTGCCTCCGACAGCAGATTTATAGTGACAAATCTTGCGTTTGATGCCCCGCGCTTGACAACAATACTGCTTGGTGAACCATTGTTGCGGCGCTTCACTGTGATGAGCGCTTTTGATAGCAGATATGAAGCCAGTAATGTGTGAGCCTGACAGTGTTTATGAATCACTGCACAAGCTCATCTGTCGTCACCTTCGTTGAACGTTTTTACTTGCCGGGGTGCTACGCTCGCGTGAAGGGCTTGGGTTTAATCATTCCTTTGGAGGTTTCCGTGCATCCTGATATAGCTTCTATTCATAGATTTAGCTCGACTACGGCTGGGGCGTTTAAGAAAATATCCTTGAGTTTTACGATCACTGGCAGAATGTTAAATTCGCTTAGGATTCCGGCACATTTTTCAACAACGGACTGCATTTGAAGAAATTGCGTGCCGACATTTGGCATCATTCATCAACGTGACGGCTGCAGTAGAGTCAATCATAATAACTCTTTCGATGAAAACACTTCTTGGCCATCAGTACAATACGATCAAAATGAAAAACAGCAAGTACGGCGATAACTGCACACGACTTTTTGGCTGTGTAACGATATATTCCTAGAGCACGATGCAGCCTAGTGTCTTTGTAATCCCAAAATTGTATATGTACAGTAAACACATCTACTGTAGGCCATACATACAAAACAATCAAAAATAATAAGCCGCAATGATCCATGATGAAAACTCCAATTTATGCAATTTCGGCCTTTTCCACTCGTGCACCGGCTCCACACCTGTAATGAGTTCTCCGGCGGTGGCTGTAATAAAACTTTTTCCTATTACTACGGGGATGTAGATTAATAGAGTGATGCATTACTGCGTGCTTAGCAAAGAGCAAAATCCCAGACGAGCGCAGCTACGAGAATGCAGGGCTGCCCAAAGAAAGGGATGACAGCAGAAATACTGCAGCGAGCGTTCCTGTGGATTTTGCGCCCGAGACGTCATTCGTGCACGACCTAATCTGTTGGTTTTAATTGCAGGGGCGGACACGGTCTGACCTCATCTATAAATTCTCGGCGGCGGCGTTACGGCGTAGCCCCGTTGGACAGAAGCGTCGCTTATTTTACATAATGACGTTTTCGCAAATAGATAATCCTCCTCGGGAACGGCGACGCAGTCATTCTTGTGTAACACACAGCTCCGCTCTGATGATGTTCGCATGCGCTCAGAGAGAGTCATGCAGAGGAAAGGTCATGCAGCGTCTTGGGGGTGACGCTTCCTGCCAGGCAGAGAGCACGACTCGGCACACACACAAATGAGATGCATGCCCGTTCATACAATAATAACAGACTTTTATCTCATGACAGGCAAGAATTGTTCTTGTATTCTGCTTTGAAAAAAGGGGGGTGAGTGGGGGGAGGGGGCTTAAGGAATGTATGTGTCTGTGCTTATCTCCAATTGTGTATTTGACATTAAATCATTCTGCTCGGCTGAGCGCCCCGACCCGATGAGCTGTCAGCCAAACGCAACGCTGTAGAACACGCCGCCACTGATTGCTTTGACCGACGTGCCTATCCTTGCGCAATCCCCAGCGAATGTCACAACGCCACGGATCGCATCAAGGTGCGCGTGTGGGATGAGGACGACGACATCAAGTCGCGGGTGAAGCAGCATTTCAAGCGGGAGTCGGATGACTTCCTGGGCCAGACCATCATCGAGGTCCGCACGCTCAGTGGGGAGATGGATGTTTGGTACAATCTAGGTATGTAGTTTAACCACAAATGACATGCGAGACTGGTTGACAACAAAACGCCTTGAAGCATCTCATGGAACTTCTAAACTGTGGCTTTTAGCACGCAACAGGACCCGATAAAAAAACTGCGCCTAAGCTACCTCAAGCGTCAAATGTCAAAAGCAGTCGATCTCCAAAAGTAGTGGGTCTCCAGGGCCAGCGAGGCCTTCTCGGCTGACCAAAACACTATCAGAAGTACTGACATGCATTCACTTCTTTTTCTCCTCTTGACAGGGCTGCTTATGGCAGCCCTGTGATCGACTGGTTAGCGCATCCGCCTCGCAGTGCAGAGGTGCAGGGTTCAGTTCCGGCTCAGGCCTTCGTGTGTGGAGTTTGCATGTTCTCCCTGTGCCTGTGTGGGTTTTCTCCGGGTACTCCGATTTCCTCCCACTTTCCAAAAACATGCATGGCAGGTTAATGGAACACTTGAAGTTGTCCCTCGGTGTGTGCATGGGCGTGGATGGTTGTTGGTCTCTGTGTGCCCTGCGATTGGCTGGCAACCGGTTCAGGGTTGCCCGAAGACAGCTGGGATAGGCTCCAGCATGCTCCGCGTCCCTTGTGAGGATAAGCGGATCAGAAGATGGATGGATGGTGCTACTTCCAGTACATGTTTGTGAAAGTGTGTATGATATATATATAAATATATATCTTATCTTATGTGGATTTTAGAAGTTTGTCCAGTCAAAATCTTAACTTTGCCTTTACATGTCAATCTAATCCGCCCAGAGTCTTCAGAAGCGCTCGCTGTACAGCACCTTGAAAAAGTATTTGTACCCGTTCAGCTTTCTCCCCATTTTCTTGACCACCTTAATCACAAACTTCAATTTACGATTCCCTGTGATAGACAAACACGAAGCAGCACAAAATTCTGAAGCGGAATGAAAAATTTACACAACTTTCAAAGTTTAAAGCGAATACGAATCTGAAAAGTGTGCCATACAATTCAACTTACTAAATAACATAAAAATGAATAAAGTGAAAGCTTGTCCCTTGCATTTCCCATCCCGATTCGTGGCTGTCGTCATCAGACCACAAAGTTTATGCTCGACAAGCAAATTGATCTCCTCGTCCCGGCCTCCCTTACAAAATCCCATTACACTGTAGCCACAGTGTAACCACGATATCCGCTCCCATCCAATAACCATTATCCTCAAAGATAGCAGGATAAATTTACGGTCGGATCAAGTGTGTTCCAATTGAGGCCATCAATACCGCTCAAGTACCAAAGAACACGCGGGCCCTGTGGTTCCCATTCCGAGTGTTCTGCTATTTCCGCTCTCCCATTGGTTTGAATGGCGGCTTAATAGGAGTGCAGACTGCCGCTCAAGTATTGTTTGTCTCTCTGGCTAAAAGGAAGCAATTTGCGCTAATAGTGACCCCATGGCCGGTGCCGCGGTTCAGAGTCTCTTTAAATACCTGCGATGAATGTTTAAAAGGGCTTTTGCCGAGGTGGGTGATCACCCCATCGCAGCTGCACTCCTCTTGAAGCCTCTTGAGCGCCTCTTCAATGCGAGGCCTCATGCCTTCGCTTTGCCCCTTAATTATTTTTCACTTTGTATAAATTGCCACAGATGGTTGAAATCCACCAACAGACGAACTTGGTATATTTTACTGTGTCAATGCTGCCTTTTACAAAACGCGCAGAAATTGGGGAGATTCGGCTTCCTGGTGAAATTTCAGGAAGGACCTAAAATGCAAAATAACCTTTCCAAGAGAACTTCATTTGACCTCTCAACATGTGAATGCACGTGATCTGCTCCTCAAGAAATGTCCGACTTTTTTGCACAACTTGCTGTTCTCTAACAAGGAACTGAACGGCCACCGGAGACGAACCTGTGTGAGGCAGCATGGTGCCACTGACGAGAATTGCAAATAAGAAAGATTATTATTAAAATCTGGACTTATTTTTGGTGTTGCATGACTTGAGAAAAGCTTCCTAAATGTCCACCGTAACGTTTCATGCCACAGTCATGCATTCCTCGGCTCTACCTAACTTGTTGACCACACAGGACAATTTTTCGTAAAGTGAACAGGCTCAAAATTTACAATTGTTGCCGCTGATGTTTTTCTCATCAGAGCTCGGACTCAAATCTGACCATAATATCGCTATTGTGTATCACGCTTTACATCACAAATTCAGACCAAGACAACAGCACCTCTGGCGGTTCCAGCCAAGTAAAATCAACCAGATATTATTGATTACCCAAAACTGCCATGATGAATGTGAACATTTTCTGGTTCATTATGCACATTTGAGAGTAGGACAGCATTGATGCTTGATAGTACATGATGTCATCCAATCAATGATGCTTGGCATTTTGTTTCGATAATGTGATTCATAGACTTTTGTTGATTTACGGGCACTGCATACTATACGTCATGTTGTTATGATGAATTCAAGGACACATTTTCACCATAGAGGACAGTTCCTGTACTGTAACATTATTCTCTGGGTTCCGGCTTGACATACTTTTCAGTTATGTTTTTGGAAATGGTTTATGAATGTAGTAGCTTTTGCCAATGGAGACAATGAAGAGTGTCCACTATAGGTTCAACAATAAATATATTGTTCTGACTTTTAAGAATATATGCCTTATTATTATTATTATTATTATTATTATTGTTAAGATTTCCTATCAGACCCTCAGTACTTCTCTTTTGTATTCAATAAGTCGGCCCGGTTGTGATTTGCAGATAAGAGGACCGACAAGTCGGCCGTGTCCGGCGCCATCAGGCTCAAAATCAGCGTGGAGATGAAGGGGGAGGAAAACGTGGTGCCACCTCACGGCCAGTACACCTGTTTACACGAGGTAACCTTGTACCAATTCATAGAAATCGAACTAATCTATCTAATCTGTATTAATCAGCGTGTAATGAAGTTCTGTGAGCAGGTATGTCCGCGCCAGAAACATATGCTGTGTGCAGCCGTTTGTTTTTGTAAAATGCTACATCTGTCAGATTTGTAAGGGTTCAGCTTTGTCTCCGGCAATCTAACACGAACTGACACCACTCTCCATCATCGCGCACTCCGTCCCTTCGTATCTCCCGTCCCACTTGCAGAACCTGTTCCACTACTTGACCGAGGGCAAGAACAACGGCGTGGTGAAGATCCCGCAAGTGAAAGGCGAAGAGGCGTGGAAAGTCTACTACGACGACGTGTCCCAGGAGATAGTCGACGAGTTTGCCATGAGATACGGAGTGGAGTCCATCTATCAGGCCATGACGTGAGTACCACCCTGATCTACGGTCCTGTACCTCAGACATCAGTCACTGTCTCATCGGACAGAGTGGGGGGGGGCAGAAAGAGAAGAGGAAGATGAGGAGAAGTACAGTAGTGTCTCCTCAGCATTATCAGAGCTCCGAGGACTATTGAGTTTCCACGTTTGATTGATTTGATGCTGGTGTCGAGCAAAAACTCCTTTGGTCACATTGATTATGGACACAAACACTCTCTCAATCTCCAGATTGAGAATACTTATTCCTTTTCCTTCCTTCCTTTCTACCTTCCTTCCATTCATCCATCCCCCAAAACTCAGAATGAAAATTGAAAACTCAGGTGTCGGAAGTACAGCGGACCCCCTGCTACTTGCAGTGGGAGAGGGCCCAGGTCCAAACATGAACAGCGAATGTGCGAGTAATTAATGCTCCCTTATAATTGAAATCTATCCATTCATTATCTGAAGTGCTTGTCCTCACAAGGGTCGCGGGCATGCTGGAGCCTAATCCCAGCTTTCTTCAGGCAGCAGGCAGGGTAAATAAAGAGCACACATAGACCAACAACCATTCACACTCACAGTGACACCTTGGGATAATTTCGACGGTTCCATGAGCCTGCCATGCATGTTTTTGGAATGTGGGAGGAAACTGGAGTACCTGGAAAAAAATCCACCCAGGCACAGGGAGAAGATGTAAAGAGTCAAGATTCAAACACTGGACCTCTGAACAGGCGGATGTGCTCACCAGTCGGCCACCATGCCTTACTTATAATTGCCACGAAAAAAAAAATCTGGAAAGAAAAATTCAAATAAGCACGTAAAGGGGAAAAAAAGGACACAAAAAAAGACTAAACAAAAACAAATGAGAGATGGTTTCTGCAAATACGGTCCCCCCCACCAAAAATTGCAAAGGTGAATTTGAGGATGCTGAACCGCCAATGAGCAGGAATTCACTAAAATGCAATTCATAACAATTCGCTTGATTTTGTAAAACAATTTGAAACATAAAGGATAAGAGTGGACCAAATATAATCGAAATTTGGTTTCAAGGTTCCTGTAAATCCTGAACCCAAAAGAAAAGGGAGTGGCTGCAGCACCCTACTGGTTGCTTGTTTATTTTTAATTATTTCTTTATTGTTCATTGGTGAACGCAGGGTTTATCAAAGTAAAAGTCCTCTCCCTCCCTTGTTTTTACAAAACAAAAATGTAGCCAATCTTTGCCTCGGCAGTCGCAAACTTTTTTGTTGCATTTTCCAGTTCTTACCAGTTTTGCGAAAATGAGTATTTTCACCATGGCGCTAAATGTAGTAGTTATTAGTGGGAGTGTCGTATTCAACCAATGTTTACCACAGGTTTGTTTCACAATCAAAATTGCAACTTTTCAACGGTGGGAACACAGATCAAGTTACCAAGGCCATCAAACTAGACCTGATGTGTGCGCGTGACCGTCAATTTCAGTTTTTTTTTTTTTTAAATGGTGATGATGATTATGACAGAATTAATAAAGTACGTTTACATAAAGTCCTAGTGATTAACGCTCAAGTTCCCTAGGCATTAAACAGTGTTTATGATGTGCAGTGTGCAGGCTGTTAGTCACAGCTAATAACGTTCCATTTGTTACGACTACATCTCACTAATCGTCGTTTGAATCTGGCTTTTTAAAAGGGCGAGAACACATTGCGGGTTAACACAGCAACCGACTTTATTGAAGTCATCATCTGTGCGTAGAAGGCCACAAAGCTTCAGAGGGTTTTTTTTTGGTGTGTTTTCTATGGAAAATGGTTTTGACGGCAATAAAACTGCACACCTGTATTGCGCCAAATGTACTTGGCCATTTAGCTGATTAATTGGATAATTTATGGATGCCGTTCGACAGGTTAAAAAAAAGTGTTTTGATCACATTTTGCCTATTGAGAGCTGCTCCCGAATGCGACGGATAATTGAGCAGGTACTTTGTAGTACAAGATCTCATTGAATGGCTTGAAAGAGCATTTTTCCCAATGAATTGCTTTAAGTTCAGAACCTGTTTAGGATGTTGTACCTCACCGTAAATTCTTCAAAAACCTCAATCTCCCCCCCATCTTTACTGAACAACCACTTCCTTCCTCTGTCCCCCACATTACATTCGGGGGGCAAATTCAAAGGGGGTGCAGCACAAAATTGGGACTAATGGCTCTGGGGATTGAACTAACCGAGCACCACAGGACTTCAACAGATGCAATCATCAATCACTTTACATGGTTCTCCTTCCTCGCCCCCTCACAACAAGTGCCTCTGGGTAATTTGGTATCTGAAAGCAGACTAATGATGGAGACATTTGGATCAAAACATGTTTGTGTACAGCCTGTTCTTAGAATTTAGTCGGGATGTGAAAACTGCATGTTCTTTTGAACTAATCTACAAGGGAACTGAAGTATGTTTTCAGGGCGCTCTGACTTCAAATTTAGACCTTTTCCCATCGGAAATGAGGCAGTTAGAAAATCTGGAATTTTCTGAAGATGCTACTCCTTACCGCCTGGCAATAGGTTAGGTAACATTTTTAAATTAACCCATTCAGGGACAGCGGTGACAACAGTGGAGAGCTTATCATGTTATGATAACCTACCTAAACCAAAATTATACACCCATTGACCATGTGTCATGCTTTCTAATATTCTCATTAGTGTATGAACATATACAACAACAAAACAATGTGCCCACCACTAATTGTGGAAAATGCGCAGGGGGCTGGGGAGTTGTGTATCCTCACGTTAACGCTAAACAGCCTGATAACTGACTTTAGACATACAGTGGTACCTCTACTTACGAACGTCTCTTCATACGAAATTTTTAAGTTATGAAACGCCTCAACAGGAAAATATTGCCCCTCGTTATGAAAGAAATTTCAAGATACGAAAGGTAAAAATACAGTATGAGCCGCCACTCGCAGCATTGTCATCATTTGCCCCTCGGGCCATGAGGCGTTCCAAATGTGAATCACCCATAAAAGTGTTCACCAGTCGGGAGATCGCTCACGATGCTGATGTTTGCCTTGGACATTTTCAAAGGATTGTTAAAAGCCGACAAAAGCAAAAGTCATTGAATCAGTTCTTTACAATAATCTACTTGTAACATGTATTTGTTACATATTTTGATGCATTTTTATGCTTTAGAAAACATTTATGTCTGAATTTTGGGGGGGCCTTGGAATGGATTAGGGCATTTACCTGCAAAACACGTTTCAACTTACAAAGTTTTGTAGTTCAGAAATTTCCTCCAGAACCAATTCATTTCATCAGGAGAAGTTCCACTGTATTGTGCTTCACAGCCAGGACAGAGTAACGGATCACTCCAGAATGTTGCAATATGTTCTATTTTCGCTTATACGTGTCCATCATGCTTTGCCATCACTGGTACCCTTTTGTGGAAACATCAAATGAGGCAAAAAAAAAAAAAAAAGCTGAGCTGCGGGGATTATTTTGCAACTACAAAGGCACGTTCTCCCAAAACATTTCCGTTGGTATTTAAACTGGACAGATGCGGAAACATTCAACATAGCAGGAGGTTCCCCTTCTTTTTATGCCTTCTTGGTGAGAGCATTAGCAAAGCAAAGCAGCTATTTTCCTTGGTTTTCTCGCTTCAGCAGGGTGCCTCACCTTTGTGCTGCTGTATTCTATTTTGCATTCAAGTAAACTTGTAGATGACTACACATTTACATTTTGATGCGCCTGCAGTGTTGAATAGCACGCGTTTTATGTGCCCTACAAGCAGTGATGCAGATGCTATAGCATTCATATTTTTTGGAATTAGCATACCGTCATTTCTTTGGAAATCTGTGCTGTGGTCACGTTTCAGCAATTCCCTACTGGCCTTATGTATATATGAGTGTGAACTTATTTCATGTTCATAAAAGTATGATGACTCCAATGTTCCATAAATGTTGGTTGGTTACAGTGTTATCTCCTATTTCTATTTCCTTGTATTGGTAGGACAAGAAAATCTCAAATTGTCTGTTTTGTGGCTGAAGTAGAATACTCGGTTTTTCGACAAAAAAACAAGATGAGTGTCTTGAGAAATTAACAAACTATCATCGATCAAAATCAGTTGTAATGCCCATTTCGAGCAGTGGTTAGCATGTCTGCCAAACAGTCGAGAGGTTCCGGGTTTGAATCTCAGGTCCTCTGTGTGGTTTGCAAGTTCTCCCTGTGCTTGCGTGGCTTTTCTCAGGGTACCTTGTAGGCTAAATTCTCGAGACTAAACTGCCCATACTATAGAATGCTTGTTTATCTATACAGCATGATTGGTTGGCGACCAGTACAGGGTGTATTGATGTCATTTCTGATGTGACTAATGACAACAAGTGTGATATAAAATGCAATATAATAACATTATGGTTACTGTAATATGCAAAGTACAAAGCGAGGTTAGCATCTGTTAGAAGCATCAACTTATACTAGAAAATAAATCACTAAATGTGTGGTTATTGTAACATCCCAACAATAAGAAGCTTTGATTTACTCTCCAAGAAACTAGATTTGTTTTATCGCTAACGGAATGGCTATTCCAGTCCACACACCTTTGCTTTACAGCACATGTCTGCATTATTCATTCAGGATCTCTTCAAAAATGAACTCTTTCATCAGAGAGGATTGTTTGGAACATCAATAAAATGGTGATTACTTAAGCATATATTGATTCATGAATGCATGTGCCCGCCAAAGGAATCAGACTTCATTTGTGTCGTCTCAAATCGTCTCTGAGTTTATTGTTCTTAATTGTGCCCACGTCCCACAACCATAATTACGAATAATTACCATTCATTTTCCCTGGCAGGCATTTCTCCTGCCTGTCCGCCAAGTACATGTGTCCCAGTGTGCCGGCGGTGATGAGTAACCTGCTTGCGAACATTAACGCCTACTTCGCTCACACAACCACGACCACCACAACCACCGCCTCTGCTTCGGATCGATTCGCCGCTTCCAATTTTGGGGTAAGTTCTTTAATATAAACCTGGGACCAAGTGAATAAATGTCAACTACTAAGGTAATGCCTACATTCTCCGGTTGGGAGCTCTGTGTGGATGTTTGGCCTCACTGACGTCACATTCTTCTTCAGGCTACAAACTAGTTTTATTTCTGTTAAGCTAAGTCGTGTAGTCCATATTAACTCGGTTGCTTCACAGCGTGAACCCTGATGAATCAACAGGGTTCCAAGCAGATGACAAGTCGCTTAATAGTCACTAATGGAGATGGAGTGTTGCCTTCTGGGCCATTTAAACGACTGGGGATCAAGGATGGTCCCAACCATTCCATTCAACCAGTAGTGGCATCAATGTTTCGATCCAACTCCAAGTCGTGACCTAATCGTGGCTGATTTCTCCTCCCGACAGAGGGAGAAATTTGTGAAATTACTGGATCAGCTGCACAACTCGTTGAGGATCGACCTGTCCAAGTATCGTGTAAGTCTCAACACTGATTGTCACTTTGTCTTAAGCTTGTGGCCACTTGACGTCTTTTTTTTTTTCTTCTTTGTAACAGTGGGCCTCATTCACTAATAAATGCTAACCTGTAAAAAAAACAAAAAACAAATGTTCTTACTCCGTACTAAAACCCTGTCTGATTCACATACAAGCCATGTTGGTCAGTTATTTCACAAGCGGTGTGTGGGCCGCTTATCTTTTTTTGACGGTCATTTATCAACTATTAATTTCTGGCAAGTCGTTCGAGATTTGTAGCCTTGAATTGATGCGATCCGTTTGATAGCTTTTATAGTTGCGTAATCACAGCGTGTATTAGGGCAACTGCCTGTACGCGGACAGCAGTGGATGCACCTGCGTACAAGCCTTTGGACGTAACGAGGGTAAAAGTGATGATGTGTGTCCTTTTCACGGTTATTTATGACATTTATTCTGCCCCCACTAAATGTATTACAGTGCAGTGCCCCTAGTGGTGGACGTAGTTAGAACCACCCAAAAAGTCAGTGGGGTAGCCAATTTGATTCATATGCTATGCAATAAGTTCTGTAAACCATCAGGAACCCTCTGTAAACATCAATGTGGATATGTGTGTAATGAGACAGAATCAAGGTCACCTTAAACCCCCCTCCCTCCAGGTCCCATTATAATAAAGTCAGTCAAAGCACAGACAAACTAACCTTCATAGCAGCGTGTAATCACATTGAAAGAAAACAAAAGCCGGAAGGGATTCATTTGAAAAATCATCTAACGAATGATGAATTACAAGATTCGTTTTTGGCAAATTATCGACAGACAACATAACTGAGTCCAGAAAAGAATGTAAGTGAGCCTGCTGGTCCAATTAGGTAGAACAGCACCAGCATAAAATGTTGGCAAACGCTGTTGTATATTTCCAATGCACTCTGTGTAGTGTGATCTGTTTATTAACTCAATTCCAGATGTGAGAGGTGTGTATTCATGGGAAAACATTTATTTTAAATCATATTACTGGTAGATATGATTGCACAATTTGTGTCGAGTGAAACTGGTAAGAACTAAGGGGGGAAAAAATAAGTAGCATAGGTCCCTGGAGCATAAACATGAACACACACAACATTGTGGAGTGTCTACTGGAACTTAGCTGGAAAGAAAACAAAAAAACGCAACAACAAGGTTATGAGACCCTTGCATATCAGGTGAACAAGCAAGGTCATTGGCGACCTCCAATGGCCGAGCGAGGATGCATGCTACGTAGCGTACAGTTCCTCCATGGAAAAAGGACAGTGCAAAATGAAAAGTGGCTGTGACATTTTCCTCCGGAGGATTCTGTCCAACATCAATTGGCTGTTTTAGCGACATAGATGAACTCTTCATGGTCAGCAGTTTGGTGACTTTCCAACATTTTCTCCTGAGCACAGATGTTCGACTGTATGTGGAGGATTTTCCACTCGAGCTGTTAGCGACACGCCGTGTGCTTTATGACGAGCGCAGGCGCTGTGCCACTCATGTTTTATAACCTCCAGGCAGAACTAGCGAGGTGTGTTATTTACCTCACAGGGTGTTCCTACGCATCGATGTGCGCATCTGTTTGCGCAATAAACTACATTCGTGCGCAGTACAGTCATGCCATCGCAATTAGGACTTGGCCTCGCATCCCCGAAGGTTTTCTTGGCAGCAACGCCACAGGTCCAACAAATCTTCTTGAAACTTTTCCGGATATATCATTCTTTGCCAAAGCGAGAGCTGTATTGATTTTTCGATTGATATACTACTCGAGATTGGGTTGTAGATAAGATCATAGGTCAAATTGATAGCGTGATCATTGTCACTTCTCTACTCTTGGCAATGTTCAAATCTTTTAACGACCAGGGGACCTCCAGGTCTAGGGAGGAACCTCAAGTATCTTGAAGTTAGTGATTTAAGGCCTGATTGTCTCGTTCATGCTTAAATTATGTTGTTTCATGCCCGGCTTGTACACGTGTGAGGTTTACCGATTATCCCCTCCATACTTCTGACATACCCACTTACAGGTCGCCAAACACGGTCTAGTCTAATCCAAGCCATTTTGATGACTGTAGTCATTTGTGATCAGCGCTTTCAAACAAGGAGGAAAAAAACAAAGCTGGTGCTGAATCGTCTTTCACTGATAAATGATGTACTGTTGACGTTGGGCCATCGGCGTAACAGGGAACAGGAGCGACACTGACTTTATGAGCGATAGCCAAACCATGACGACTGCGGTGTTACAGTTCTTGTCAGATCTTCCAAAAAAAAAAAAAAAAAAACATCGTCGATTATCAAAGCAAGAATATGACTTATGTTCCCTGATAACTCTACAGAGATGCCTAATGTTGGTCCCATGATTAATTTTCAGCTTTATTCGTTATTATCTTTAAGAGAAGCACAGCAACATAAATGCTTACTTTCCTAGCCAAGACTGAAAGCTCCAACATTTGATTTCGATCTGACTAGCCTCTGAAACAGGGCAGAATGAAAAGTAAACGGATCCTAGCAAATAGAATTTCATCTCCGATAGTTGGAGTTGGGAGGGCACGTCGGTCCGCCAAAGGTGCTGCACTCCTCTACTCAGGCTGATTGAATTCCTGACATTTAGTACATAAGCCTCTAGAACAATCCCATGAGCGGTAATCTCGTTAGCTCCAACACACACACCCTCACACACATCCATACACATGCGCCCACATGCAGGTACATCATGCCCTTTCACCCCATTGCTCTTTTTTTTCCTCCTCCCCTCTTTGTGTGTGTGCACCTGAGTACCTCACTCGGATACAAAACCTATGTCCAGCCGGTGGCGCCACGCAGTGAACCGACACCAACCCACTCGCGGTGTGTTGATTCGCGAGTGGGTAAGCACTTTGATGGCAGCTGATGCCGGAGCAACAAGCGGAACAACGCGGGGACCGATATAAAACGCAAGGATGGGATGAGAGGTGACGGGATTGGACGGAGAGATGACAGGGGTGGATTGAAAAGCAGGCGTGCTGTGTGCATGTGTGTTTTGAGTAACGTGACTGAATGACTGCAGCTTTTATTTTGCCGTGGCCCTGCTTCTTGGCAGTGATGTTCACACACAACAGAATCAAAGAATATTACCTGCCAACACCACCCTGTGGTGTGCCTCTCACCCACGCACACACAAGTCACATGCACTATTCAATTCTCGCTTTCATTCTCTCTGAGCCGAGCCGGTCGGCCACAATTGGAAAGGAATACAATTCCCACCTGGCTCACCCTGTGAATTTCTCTCCGCTCCCCGAATGACATTCCGTGGGTGATCGAGTTTGCATTTATAAAACAAGAGGCCTTGAGTCAATGTCGACCAAACAGGCCTAATGTACGGTGACATCTTGGGTACCCACATGGTGTCCCTTGTGGGATCTGCAAGGTTCTCTAGTAGGCTGCTTGTTGTTTGGACACGTTGATCTAAAGTCATGCTGTTCAGCAAAAGCCCATTGGGAGTTGTGCCCTTAAATTTGAGTGAGTGCTGTATAAGAGTCATGAAGGAAAAAAATAAAATAAACATGGTTTGCTTGGTTGGTGCAGTGGTTTTATAAACGCTACAAACAACTTCACTTGCACAAATATAATAATGCTAAACTAAACCCATTACAGAGATGTGAGGTAGGGCACCACTCTTGGTCTCACCTTAGAAGTTGCTTTCAGAAATAAAAACACATAATATCGGGAACTAAAATATAAACGCAATACTTTAGCTTGCTCTCATTATTCATGAGCTGAACTTGAATGCCCAAGACGTTTTATACGTACATGCAAGGCCGACGTCTTGTGAGTGGGCTGGCCATGCAGAATTGTTTTTCACCGATTAAAATGATATGTCGGCATTCGACCATCGGCGTAATGTAATAGGGACATATTCCTGTTGGGCAGTTGGTGAGCGTATATGGGTCAGGTGTGGTTTGGTCAGTCAATCAGTGAGTGTTATTTTGTTATTCGGGGTTATTCAAGCACCTCAAAGCTCATTCACAAAACTTGGTCGAGCGATGAAACACGAACCAAGAAAAACCTGAGCCATTTTGATACAGATAGGGACGTGTGTTGATCAAGAATTCATCGTCACTTTTTATCTGCTCGTATGTGGTCAAATTGGGCAATCGGCACACATTTCATAATGTACATTAGCCTTTATAAACTTTGCAATGACAGATGTTCTGTACCGACTGTTGAGTCTTGGTAAAATGTTTGCAGCAACAAAAAATGTGTTTTCACTTAATGGTGCATTATTTAGACGGAGGCGGCTAGATGCACTTTGCTTTTCTGACACGCACCAGCATCCGGACTTGTTACAAATTGTACATCATGTCGACTTCAGGTCAGGAAAAAACTACTATGAATTCAAGACATATTTTATTAAATGCACGCAGCTATCCTCCAGGCAGGAATATGTCTTTGTCTTTTGAGCGCGGCGGAATTTTATTTTTCTGTCCATCATGACAGGAGAGAAATCCATCCTTTGCGGTGCAGAAAGAAGAATGTTTTAAGTCCAAGATGAATTTGCAAATACAGTGAAGCACACATTCTTGTTGCCAACTAATTTCACCTCTGATGAGATTACACATTTTTGTACCAGGATTTTAAACCCATTATTCTACCGATAGGGATTAAGATGACACTGTTGAAGAGATTAACGTAGTTTGCCACTGTGTCATAGTTTATAATACTGAATACTGTATGACACCGGAGAGGTGATAAGAAATCACCTCTATACTTGGGTTTAGAGAACAAAACATGTTTAGATCTCTGGCTGGTTGCTGCGGAATTTGATATGCCTTTGACATCCTAAATAATCCAAAGTAGTGACATGGATGCATGGAGTCACAACACACTAGTACTCAGAGAGAGGCGAGCACACCAGCCAGCACAAAATTGCTCCATCAGCCTGTCCAAAACAAAACAAAACAAACAAACAAAAAAAAAGCATCAGAATGTTATGTATATCATGCTCTGCTAATTTCAGACCTAAAACGAACATGCTTTAAACTGAGTATCTAATCCACGAGTGTCTCTTAAATTCGGTAGTTGTGGAGGCTGTAAGGTCAAAGCCAAGCTGTTGAGTTCAGATTTATGAACAATCGTTCCCGTAGGAAATAATGAAAATGAAATTATTATGTCTCAGGTGAAACTGGTGACATCCTAAAACATGTGGTCACTGGTCAACAATTTGACATTCTTGACAGTCGAACAAGTAACAAAATGAAGTTAAAAAAAACAATGCTCATAAATTACAGCGATAAGCGACACCATAAAAGTCACAAAAAGTGACTACTTTGATGTGCGATGAACTCAGGTCTTTCCATATGTTTCTGTTTCTTGTGATGTTACAGAATTTGAATTCAAAATTGTGTTTTGCCATGAGATAGGGATAGCTACTGAGCCACAGTATTACACTGGCCCCGGGGCAACATGATCTATTACATATGTGCATCGATTAACATCCGCCATTAATGGTTTCATTAACGGTTTGGGAGAAATTATTGGGCTAAATGAATGCTATTTTGCACCTCTTACCGCTCTTATCTTGTTTCTAAGGTGGAATAAAACTCTGATATTTGTCTCAGAAGGATTTCAACACAGCTACTGTACATGCAAAGTACAACACCCCTTCTCGTGAATCACCCCATTTCAGCTATAAAGGGGTCCCAAAAGAAACATAATAAAGCACAGAATTGAACCGCACAGCATTTTAGGAAAAAACATTCTAGGATTATTAAATACAATGCATGCGTTGCTGCCGGCTGTCCCAGCATGGTTATTTCAAGAGCGATGCCAAGATGTCAACATCCAAGGCTACTCTGTAGCGTCTCAAGTCCACGTCTCCAAAGGACTCATGACTTGAATTGTGTGCAAAGGCTGTGTGGATGCGCGCTGATTGTCAGGGGAATATCGGTGTCAGCAGGGAGATAGAGCCTTGTGGTGAATGAGACCAGTGCTGCAACAATGCAATAGCCAAGAGGCTATTATTTTATATGCCTGGACTTGAAGGATACATATTAAAAGAAATGTGCAAGGGACTGGAGGATCGTGTTTGAGAGTCATTGTATGTGTAAAATAATAAGAATAACAAGATATTTAAGTCCACACTAATGCATGTCTTTCTGAACATTTCTCTTTGCCCCTATGGAGTAAAAAATGAGTTATGGTAACTTACAACGGCATGGTTTTAAAAATGTATATAAATAAATAATAACAAAAAGTCGGATTTTGTAGCTGTCGAGGCAGCTCTGCAGCAAACCTCATCAAATGTCAATATCAAATGTCAACCCAAAATATCTGAATTGTGTCAGATGTCTTCGCCCTTGCTCTTATGTCACAATGCTCGGTGGCTACATGTTACCAGCGATATAACCAAAGACGATAAGCAAGAAGGAGCCTTCAACACAGTTAGTATCTGGAAAACCTGGTTATAAAGACAAAAGAAAAAGGGATAGCATTCCATTTTAAAGGAACAACATAACAGGATTTTTCAAAAGGCCAATCTGTGTTATTTTTGGAAAACACAATTTTGGCTAGTGTATCACCCTGTTTGAACAGTCCATAATGTGCCGATAGTGTCACGCTGCGAGGTGGTGGTGGACCCCAAAAAGCACGCACGAGGGAGGAGCAGAGTGAACTTGACGAATTGTATTGAGAAAAACACAGAGAAAACTAAATCCTAAACCAAACAAAGTCCTGAAAACAAAAAGAATCCAAAGTAGCAAACCAAAAACCATGACTGAAGCAAAAACTATCTATAACTGAAACATGACCGGAACAAACATGACAGCAGCAAACAAACACGACAGGTACAACAACCAAACAATGACCTGACACCGAGTGGTCGTGCCGGGAGTCCTTTTAAAGCAATAACGACATAACGACCAACAGGTGTGCAGCTGCAGGGAGAGCCCTACAGTGCCACCTGTTGGTCACAAACCGAAACATGACAGATAGGGCTTGATCCACGAGCTGGACGTCAGATCCGTTTTTGCAGTAAAGCCTGCAGGCTTCGGCTGAGAGTTTTGCTCCAACTCGTACTGTGCGTTGATTTAAAAGGTAGCGGAGGATATAGGGAACTCTCATCGCAAGAGCATTTATTATTATTATATAGGAAACTGGGGGAAAAAATGGTATTAGTGCAAAGCGAGTGAGAGAGGGAAGAGATAATGTAAGTGTGCCAGAATGCTGCGAGGGATTTAAAAGCTCCCCGTTACGCTCCCGTGCACTGCCTGATGGCTTCATGGCGGTGAAATCAAAGTTTTCATCAGAGGAGACCTCCCTAGTCTGCTAAACGATTGGACAGACACTCATTCAGTTATGACTGCTGGGCGTTAATCTGTCATCCATTTTCATATTTCGGGCCTGAATGATATTGAGGTGGGGATGGCTGTTGAAAGTCAGGTTGTTTTTCTCCCCCATCCAGGACAATTTCCCTGCTGGAAACCAAGAGCGTCTCCAAGATCTGAAGTCTACCGTGGATCTTCTGACCAGCATCACCTTTTTCAGGATGAAGGTACCAATCTCTTGTGCAGTGATACCCAACTAATATGCCTGGAAATTAGCCACTTTCACTTAATTGGTCTGAAAATTATTTCTAAGTTCATCTATCAATCCAGTGACGTACAGTGACAGGCAGAACAATGAAATACTCTTCCACGAAATGACAATAGGTATAATTAACCGCCGTAGTGACCCACTGCCATTCATACACCCTTCAACTAGACACGTCTCGATTTCACAATGACTAAGTATCTTTGTGATTAAAGTAAGACAAAGTCGTCACTATTTCAGCTGCCCTCCGTCTCACATTTCCTTCGCCTTGGTCTTGACGTAGCCTGAATGCCACAGAGTACTCTTGGCCTTGACATGACCTGAAAGTCTTAGCCGGTCTCCACACATGTGGTCTTGGCCTTGACTACCTGCATCAATCACTCGGGGTGGTATATGTGGAGGGGCGGGGATGGAGTATGGTAATTCATTTAAAACGAATCAATGGAAACATAAAGATGGATGATGATGAGCACAACGGTAGCTAATTTTTCTCATATGGTGTCACATGTAATGTTTTAGTGCAAAACCTCGACTTACTGAACCACAATACTGCTCACGACCATGGAATCCTCCAAACATTTCATTGTAAACACAAACCCCCATTGATTTTTGTCAAATGAAAATTCAATTTTCCCCACCCCTAGCTCTTCTCAACACTGTTGACCATTCAAAATCAAATGATGCATGTCTCTGTTCCCACCAAGTCCTTGACTGGAGGCTTATACAATGGATCCTCTACAGTCAAGCTTCTGTATTGAAAATGCTTCCTTGCTTTGTTTCCTCACGCCCCATCTCTCTTCAACAGCATGTGTCTCAAAAGGTCCATTCGGCTCCCACTTGGTGGTGGCGGTGCTTGAATGCTGAAGCACAGAAGCATAGCTAAGATGGCATCTGTGAGCGATGGAATGAAAAGTGTCACTTTGGGTCACCGCAGCTTTTGCTCTGCGCGTCACGACCACGCCGAGAATTCCGACACGTGCGCGATCCTCTTTTAAGATGTACTGCGGAGACACACTTTAACGCCGCGCGTCAATTGTATTATGCATAATGGATGTAAGTGGGTTGCCTTTTTCCACCAGGAGGTCATACATAACCACACGGTCCAAACATGGAAGGTGATATCATACAAAGCAAGCAAATTGAGAGTTTGCAGGGAAGGTTGAACTGCATTTTACTACGTTACATCTCTCACTTGACCTTTACACCCCATTAAGATTCCATTTGATTTTTTTTTTTTTTTTTTTTTGGTGACAATAAGTCTTTAAACTGCAACGGCACTCACGTGAATCAAACTCAAACGGAACTTATTATTTTATTATTGTCATAAAATGTGATGTTTTTATTTTTAGAGGACAGCCAAAAAAGCGCAGTTCATTCGGTTTCAACGTGTGGTCTCCCAAAAACACGAGCACAGAAGCAGGTTTTCAGCAGCATCCTAATAAAATGAGGTGTCCAAATGCATTTGTATCAACAGTTTGACAGCGAACAACTAAAAAGGCCAGCGGAAAAGAACATTAATAATTTGTGGGAATTATACACGGACAGCAAGCAGAACACATTTTAAAACGCTAGTCCATCAAGGGATTACAAAAACTACAAATGTGCTGGAACACAAAGATAAACTCATGTCTTCCCTCTTCGGATCGGCAGAGGCCCTGTTATCTAATTGATCTAAATGGGTTGGAAGAGCAACTTTCTTTGAAAACGCATTCAGTTATATGTGTTCACAGACTGGATGCAATATTGTAAATGGTGTATCAGTAAAATGGATGACAAAAGGGCCCGAGTTTAGCAAATTTTTGTCAAGTGTTGCCTCGCAATGCAGTATTGACCATCAAGTGATTTGATTGGTTTATCCCTATTGGCGGCCAAGAGATGCAGGTAATTCGATTAACTCTCGCAAAGGGCTTGGATCTTCACAAGAGTGTGTTTCTTCACTTACATTAATGGGTGTGTGCGTTTGTGTGTGTTTTTGTGCACGTATAGGTCCAAGAGCTCCAGAGTCCGCCCAGAGCGAGCCAGGTGGTTAAGGACTGTGTGAAAGCTTGCCTGGATTCTACGTACAAATACATTTTCGATAACTGTCACGAGCTGTACAATCAGCTGCTGGACCAGGTAAGCTGTGGCAAAGTTGCCATGTACATAGGTCATCTTTATTTCACTGAACCAGGGCAACATGTTGGCCCAGGGGCTGGCACTTCTGCCTCAGAGTTCCGAGATTCGGGGGTACAGATAGAAGCTCGGCCTTCCTTTGCGGAGTTTGCGAGTTCTCTCCATTCTGGCAATGGGTTTTCTTCGTGTGCGCCGGCTCCCTCCCAATATGAATGTTATAGGCTCATTGAAGACTCAAAGCTGCCCATAGGCAAGAGTGGTCATTTGTCTGTGTGTCCTGAAACTGACCGGGGACCAGTCCGGCCTCTTGTCCAAAGTCAACTGGGATGAGCTCCAGCTCATCCATGACTCTAATGATTACAAGCACAAAAGAGAATGGATGGATAAATTGCACATAAAGAGCTCTGTAGTCTGTATTGTTTTATTCCTCAAATCAACAAATCGCTGCAATAAATCAACGTGACAATTTTTTGTTTTAATTCTGAGAAAACTCAGGCCAGTATGAAGACTTTCCAAACCTCGGTTTTTAAATGCTTGAATGAACAGCAAGTTTTATTTAAATTAAACATGCTATTTTCCGACAGAGTAAAACTGTTCCCAGGTGTCTTCATAATATTTCTGCTTCAGGCTTTGGTTAAAATACTCCAAGGATCAAATATCACAGCACACTTATATATATATCACAGCCCTGTTTAAAGCAGCTGGCTTTGGTGGCCTATCCTGTCGCGAGCAAATGAACCACTACTCACCCGCACACACAGATTCAAGGTGTGCCGATGGGAGTGCAAACTTTCCACAACTAAGACCAACCGAATGTCACAGGTTTGCTCAGGTCGCTGCCAAATTGCGGGTGCTCAAACTCAGTGAGAGGGAAGTAATATTTGAATGAGTGTAATTATGACAATAGCGTCACAATCCAAACAGCTTTCTCTGAAGACGTCAGTTCCCCAAAAAAGAAACTGTCATGCCAAATTTTACGGGTGGGTAAGCACTCCAGAGAACCAGCTATTTGTATGCAAGCGATTACAAAGAAGTCGATTTACATAATATGTACCCTTGAAAGCAGTGTATGTTCGAAAGATATACCTTTTTACTTGCGTCAATTACATTTTATGTTGCCCAAATATTGATTCATTCACTCTTGAGCCACACACAACTGTACGTTCTAATTTATTTAATGTCAAGGGTAAACTAACAAATTACACTGTTATAATGAAAGCAATAAAGTAACAGTGAAATTGCTTATATTAGATTAGGTTGACACTGCGTTGATCCTCAAAGGAATTTTACATTACAGTAATACATTACTTACATACACACGTACAATTACGGTACTTCCAGATATTTATTATTCAAAGTGGATTCAGACCCAGCCCTGCCTGGCCAAGCTATATCCCATTTATTCGCCAAACATTGTATTATGCTGTACACTGTCTATTATTGTAATAAAAAAAAATGTAATTTAGAGATGAAATGAAAAACTGGAATTGGGAGCTGAAACACAGATAAACCACATCTCTCAATTCAACGTTTGTCTGTAAAAAGGGGCAAAGAAAAATGATCACAACTGGCTACTGCTTAAAGAGCAGAAATCCGTTTGTGGCAAAAGCATTTGCAGATAAAGCAATAATTCACTAACCTAATAATGAATGCAGATTGAAGCAAACAAATCATGCATGCCATTGACGAACAGACTATAGTTTGCAAACAATATTTGTGGCAACGTAATTGCATTCGTTGGGTTAGATACACGCATGAACGCCCTTGCGTGGTCGTGATTGTTTGGGTTATAGGAACAGCAGCACACTGTATGCTCGTAAAGGCGCCCTCATGCAATCACCATTAATCCTGAAGTACCACTTTAAGATATGATGATGTAGGTAGGCAGATTCGTCGCAAAGACTCATTAGATGACTAATCCTTAAAGGACCTATAGCATCGAGAAGGTACATTTTTTTTTCACTAACAAGATCATTTTATGCAATTTTTTTTCCAATGAAAAGGAAACTGGTATCCAATTTCAATAATATCAGTCCGCTTTGGAGCAATCTGTACATAACTAATCGCCCCTTAGGCTGGTTTACCTCCAAAAAGCGATGGCTGTTATACCGCCACCATCGAACACCCGATAAGTGGTCCCAATTTGGACGTCACCAAAATTGAACAGTGCAAGACTTCACCTATGTTAGCAGCTAAAGGATTAATTTCGCAGATGTGCTTTACTTTATGAGGGCCCAAGCAGGAATTATTATTTTGCTGATGATCATGATGATGATTCAGGCTGTGCCCTCTGACTTTGGCAAGAGGCAGGGTCCACCCTGGACTGGTTGGCAATCCATGGCAGGGCATACATACAGTGCACAAAAAAAACAAAAAAAAAAAACATTCACATCGATGAGCAATTTGGATTCCTCAAAGTACCTAAATGGGAAGACTCTAGAATGTTGGAAGAGGCACACCAAGAAAAAAAACCCCAACAACAAAAGGACAGGGCAAACATGCAAACGCCACACAAGAAAAACAGAAACAGGAGTGGACCCCCAAAATTTGCGACTGTCCTGACTGGATGCTCCACTGTAATAATGAACTGAAATAAATGTATACTTCAATTTGACTTCTTATTTGACAGCTCCTATTACCACAAATGGCAACCTTTCTCTTACGCCACAGTTATCACATTATTTGTCACCCTCAATCTGCAATAAAACGTTTTCAAAGAGCCGAAGGCAAAGCAACAGGCACTGTTTATGCAATATGCAAAAATAACCACCTTTTAAAGTCTTCATGAATATTGCTGGCTTGCCGGGACCACCTGGAGGCTCTTAAATGAGGCAACAGACACTCTGGAAACAGCATGGCTCTGCTGCATTAAGGATTTCCAGGCGTTCTCATTCATTGGCCACGTCTGGGTGGATTATCAGGCAACTCTTTCCGAATTTTATGACTGCCACACCACAGAAGATAATGTCAGTTTTAGGCTATAATCGGAGGCAATCCGCCTCAAAAGTAGAATATTAAGCTTTCCTTCTGTTGAAACAGCCAGAGGTGTTGCAGGCAATTACCACTCCGGTGAGATTGGCACATTTGCTAATTACATCTTTTTGCGCTTGTTTCAATGTAGACAGCTTCTCGATGCAGAAGAAGGAGGGGGGGGAAAAGATTTTGCCCCAAAGCTAACCTCGCTGTGACCATAAATTATTGTGGTCACAGACACGAGCTACCCTCGCTGTCGCCGTGGTTACAACTCATTTGAGAGCCCCGTCTCGTTACAAGGCAGGCCGAGATGTAGCCCTGACACAACAGGACATCTTGCGTAACATGACAACCGAGCTCGCCGCTTCCGCCCGGGCATGAAATAAGTCGGGGCGTTTTTTTTGGGGGGACCTCAGCTTAACGAATTCTAGAATCCTCACAGTAAAAGATCAGTCATGGTAAATGGAGGAAAAAAAAAAACAAATGCGGCTCATCCACTGTGGAGCTTGCAGAACTTTTGCAAGAGGAGGAACTACACCCTCCTCCACAAATGTTGGAACAATGCGACTAAATGTTTCATTTTTTTTCTCTAGACTGGTGAAAACAGGATCAACAATTCAGCTTTTATTCACCAACACCATAAAATAAGTCTAGCCAGTTAGATTCCCCTTTTAATCTGAAAGATGCAGCATCGAATCCTCTTTTGATGCCACAAAATACACTTTGGAGAATGAGTGAATCAGCGACATGGTGCTCACTTACAAGCCACACATTCATGGACAATTCTGCAATTAAAATTTGCTGCCTTGCACTCATAATCAAAAGATTGCTGCTTTGGTCCGGTGACTCAGCGGCTTAATTTACAAACACGGACTTTTTGGAAATGATGCCGCCAGCGCCGCGAGCAAAGATTTGAGAGGAGGCACAGATCTTCCCACGGGCAGATCAGCTGAGCTCTGACCTCTGGCTTGTGAAAAATACTCGGCACGGCATTGGTTTTTAATGTCACCTGCAGAGCGTGTCCCATCTCAAACTGTAAACTACTCCACCTATTCGTCTCTGTTCACTGCACCTGCGTGCATGCTCGCTTATCCTTTTGCACACTGGGGGCTCAACAAAATTTGCTGAGGTCCTCACCTGATCTGTCATCATTTGAAATTTTTGCTCTTTCCAAAGCTCAAGATAGTCATAAAGGGACCCGTTTTAAAGACATAGCTGCAGAGCTAAGAAGGATCCCGGATGAATCTTTCCCGGAGTGCATGAAGCCATGACAGAGAAGACTGGGATAGTGCAATAGGCTATTGGGCGATTACTTTAGGGGCAAACTTTTACTTTGAATTTCTGGCACACCTCATGTACTTTTTGCTCATGTACACATTTGATGTTGATGTAATCCAGATGTAAATACCTCAGAGTGGGATCTGAATTGTTGATTTATTGTCTCATATCTTTTCATGTGAAACCCAACTTTTTTCAGTCAATCGGAAAAAAAACCTAATCAAAATCCCACACTGTTCCTTTGGGGGGAATGTAATTGTAAGGTGGGGTTATGGAGAAGGGAATGTGGAAGACAAGCAAACTAGAATGCATCCCAAAACATTCAAAAGCGGGACGGCGTTGGTGTTGGAGGGCTTTATTTAAAATCCCCCCCCCCCCAGCCCCCCCAAAAAAAACACTGGAAGAAAAAGTCAGTGGGGAGCTGATTGAAAACACAAAATCTTGGCAAACTCGGGATCACCAGACTACATACAGCACATAGAAAATGTCTAAGACAAGATATAGGACATTTAAAAAAAACAAAAACAAAACCCCAAAAAGTACAGACTAACCACCAGATGGAGAGGACACTCGGAAAAGGAAGTAGTTGTGACGTTAAAATCAAACTGAAGAAAGTTTCCTGGCCACACAAGAACAAAATGGCATCACACCCTGGGTTGGCCACCAGCCAATCGCAGGACACTGGCGATATTCTAATGTCAGCTATGCTGGCTCCCCTTCAAACACGTCTGTGCTGTCTCTCAGTAATCAACCACATTCCCAGAGAGCATTCCTCAGTATCTCTTCTCTAATTTGGAGCTGAGTTGTGAGAATTGATTGGGGCGGGGAGGGGGGGGGGTCATAGAGAGCCAGTTGCATGCAAATGCTGTTGCCTACACATCGGGAGCTGAGAGCAACAGACAATAAATATAAAGCAGTCGCTAGCTTCTGGGAGAGCGATGTGCTGCTATCAAATCTTTCTGCTACTGTCTCAAGCAAGTCATAGTAAGTCGCGGTTCTAAGGTGCAATCCAATATTCCCGTACTGTCTTCCGCTCTTTGTGCAAGTAAGATTAGAGCCCATTGGCGGGTCAGAGACTGTATAAAAAAATAAATACACAAGCAGCAGCGTGCTACTTAATCGCATGCAACAATGTGCTTATAGTGACCTGAGACGAATACAAATGAGCAAAGGGAGTTTGAACATATGCGTGATGCAGCCAATGGAGCCAACCTTGAAAATGCGTCCTTCATTTTTGCACTTGTACCGAGAGGATTTCCCATGACTGACTTAACCCTGCAGGGATGTTCTTTTCATTATTCATGTTTCCAACTGAACATGAATTTAGTCACAAACCTCAACCACAATTCCCATCGCTGCAATTACTTGTCGTCTTAGTGCTTAAATGTAGAAACGCACTTGGAATTTCCCAAGTTGGTTAGTTTGGAAAAGATTTTAAGGGAACTCAACCCTTTCATGCACCGTGTAACCTGATAACACGATAAGCTGTCCACTGTAGTAACCGTTGTCCCTTAACGGGGTGAATTTAAATGAGACTTATACAGATTTGTTTTTACAAATGAAAAGAATTCCTCGGAGTCTCATTAGCATTCTGTGCCATGTTTCTACAAAAATACCTCATGGATGAAGAATTGTAGTTTCAACACATCGAGCCGAAAACGCAAATGAGAAGTATTCAGAAGAAGCTGCGATCCGAATGACGTAATCCCTTTTCATTACTGTAGCGGTCCCAAAGCCATGTGATTAAATCGAGGCAACTCAGAATTGAGTGTAGCACGATCATCATTTGCATCCTTGTTGGGGTGAGATTAAACTCTCTTGCCCTCCTCGGCACTGCAAAACACGCGATGGAATCTTTTTGATTCAGCACCTAAAACACAACGTTAATCATTGATGGCAGCTATTGGATGCTGAGGAATGGATGGATACATGTTGTAATTTCAATTCGCAAGCTCCCTCACTAACAACGCCTCCTCTGTGTGCTGCACCAAAGTCAATGCGCTAAAGGTTGTTAGATCATTCCCACTAAATTATTCAACCACAGATTTGAAGCAAATTCACCGTTTTCCAATGGGCCACCATTTGCATTAACAAATGGAGAAAAGTATCTTCTTGGGAGGGTATGGGAAATATTATTTGTCATTGTCATCATTACTTGGAATTTACATGTAGAAATGCACCATCAATGATTCTGCTGCCATGCCTGAAAAACTGACACGGCTTCAGTTCCCAATCGAAAAATCCAAACGCCAATATACAATTTGTTACACCCCAACAAATGTAAATACATTTGTGAGTTTTTAGTATTTGACAAGATCTTTTTTTCTCACGCTTCCTATTAACGCATCACTTTTGTTATTCCTGTTGAAAAATTCCTTTCATCATCCAACTTAGTGATGTGGCCTAACGTTTCGTGAATTACTTCTCGACAGAGCCGGAAGCAGGACATCCCACGTGAGGAGCAGGGACCATCCATCAAGAACCTGGACTTTTGGCCAAAACTCATCACCCTCATGGTGTCAGTCATCGACGAGGACCGGACAGCCTACACGCCCGTCATCAACCAGTATGTACTATAAAACACTCATTAATTAGGTACGGTCAGACAAATCAATAAATTGTTTATTTTAGTCGACTGTGTAGAAATTATTATTATTTTTTAATTGTCTTGAAACAACTGAAACAAAATGGAGAAGAGTTGAAACAATTAATCGCTAATCACGTTTGATCATCTATTCATGGTTTTGAGACAGAGTTTAATTTTAAATTGTCCAAATCCCTGGAATTTTCAGCTTCTCATCAGTGGTTATCCTCATGATAAGCAGACTTATCTTTTTGTTGATTCACAATACTTTTACTTTGGAAAATAAATCTATTGTGTCGACTATTACTGACATGATCATTATTTATACAAGTAAAGAAACATAATGTGCAAGAAAAACACAATATGAAAACGGGCATGATAATTGAAGATTAGTCTAAATTGTTCCTAGATGTCAATGCGACAATGGAAGTGGTTGTTTGATGATACTGTACGGGCCCTGCAGTTGGTTGGTGTTATTTCACTTCATGCCAAAAGGCAACGGTGATCGGTTCCAGCTCACGCGCAACTCTGAAGAGGAGAAGCACAATAGAATGTGGACGGATGGGTCATTTTTATCCCGGAATCAACCAAGGCAATTTAGTGGTATGGCCATTCCTCCCATCGGTGTCGAGACTTAATTGAATGGCTTCCTAAAAACGCATTGATTGAATAGGAGATTGTCATTGCTGAGCATATGTTGCACATTCCACAAAAAATGGGGACTTCACCAAAGCCAATGATAATTATTGCTGGCCCACTTACACGTTGCAGTATTACATCCCCTCTCGTCCTTTTGTACACATTCATATTTTTAGCTCATTTTCTTTTATTTTGAGCCCTGCTGATTTACGATGCTCATTATGAATGTTTATGCCCTAAGCGTCCTTGCCTACACTCTCCTACATTGTCTAATGATAGCTCTGCAATAATCATATCTATTTCCTCCACTTTTCCTCCTCTGGTCAAATTCCGGGACCAAAACGACCACCATTTTTTTTGGGGGGGGGGGGGTGTAAAATCTTAGTACCTGTAATAGAAAGCTGTTCATTTGTTTTCAGGGTGAAACTAGGAAAAGATCAGTGTTCATTTTGCGACGATACATATAACATAAATATCGAACGTTGCCCACAAAAGATTCGAAGCTTTCAAGATTGTTCCAAACGTAAAAAAGCCATTCCGCAAAGAGCTTGTTTACTTCGCATTGAGGTAGAATGCATCCTCACAGATTTACGTTTTATTGTTTGCTGAAGGTATAAAGCACGATCGACGTGGAAGCAGGAGGAACGATTGTTCTCGGGTTCTGTTTTTTATTTCCTTCATTCGCCGCTCACATCACAAATCCGCCTCCTCGTCTCGCTTTGTGTTTATTCGACACACCGGAGTGATTGTGCTTTCAGCTGGGGGAAAAAAATACTTGAGGCTATTAAAAATCAACAGTAAGAAGAGCTGACCTTCCTCTATGCCAGGGAGCCCTTCGTCTATTAATGTCTCCCCATCATTGTCCGAGAATACGGATAATTAAACCACTGATGTGTCACATGCAACTTCTGACCACCACTCTACTGCATTCCAAGTAGCTGATTGTTTGGCAAACCGGTTGCCTCTGTCAAAGATCTTGATTTTCATATCATATCCTATAATTATTGTATGTTTCCTACCAATTTTAACCACATTTTCAAAATGCATAGTTTGTGTTGACTTTGCAATGGACCATGCACAGGCTGCAACACGTTAAGCATTTTCTGTGGTATGCAGAATAATCATTGAATATTGTCGGACTTATGGCGCTGCAGTTGTGTTGTTTCCAATTTCCTGGGAGGCCTAATGCTCACATACGTAGTGCGATATGACGATTGAATATTGATCCATATATAAGGCGCATCGGATTATAAGGCACACTGTTGGCTTTTGAGAAAATTGAATGCTTTTAGGTGCGCCTTATCGTGCGGAAAATACAATACTTTGAAAATCAATATTTTGCTCAAAGATCGTAAAATAATACTGTATAAATTGAGAACCACTCTTTGAAACTAATGTTACTGTTCAAAGTGGATAATATGATTATGTCTTGCATTCCTTAAAATAATAGTAAATATTGTTTTTAAGAATAAAAAGTTTGATTCATTTCAACACTCAGACCTATTACGGATTAGTATTTTAATGTTGGACTTGGACTGCTGCTAAATGTTTTGGGTGGTACTTGGTGTAAAAATTTGAGAACCACTGCTCTACAGCCATGCTAGATTATAGTCATTCTCTGATTGATTTGGCAGATGAAAAATGTTTAAACCTCCGTGAAGGGCCATGCTCTGGCTGTTCTCGTTACATGGGGCGTCTCGCCAATCGTATCGTCTTGCAAAATAATTAAGATTCTTCTCGGGCCACCTAGCGGAACATATCATTATAGGGAAATGAGTTTGACTGGAATCCATTTCCATTTTCGACAGGTTTCCTCAGGAGCTGAACGTGGGGAAGATTAGTGCCGAGATCACATGGCACCTCTTCGCCCTGGACATGAAGTATGCCATGGAAGGTGTGTTTCATCTCAAATTTGGGCTCCTTTACATTTGAGTCGAAATCCATTTGTTCGCCGAGCACTAATTAAGTCATGTGCTCATCAGGTATAAGGTGACACCAACACTTTCATTCGTTGCCTGTCACAATAGAGCTCATCAGCTGTTCTCATTCACACACTGATTACACACTTCTGATTCACACAATCCGAGTTGAGATCAACTGACAGTGGGTATGGTCCAAATCCTGACAATGGCAACAAGAGATTTTTTTTTTTTTTTTGTCCAAGCATGTGGTGGAGCACATTTGCACATTTGTAAGTGATTAGATACACAAATTGTATGTCAGAGGAAAAGTCAAAGGAAAGGTCCTCTGGTAATGATAGGCAGAGATGTCAAACTCAAACACTGAGGATTGTTTATGCCCTCACAGCCACAGCGTGTACCTGCTGCTGCTTTCCCCGTGCCACAGTGTCCTGCGTTGCTACGACAACCAGATACCAAATGAAATTGCCAATTGCAGATGTACAACACACACACACACACACACACACACACACACACACACACACACACACACACACGCACACACATTATAGATGCCACAAACATTAACAAAGGCGGTCCCGTTCTACATATACAATATAATGTACATAACACCACTGAGCAGCTGGTCTCAGACACCGAATGGAAATCACTCAGAAGGGGGGGACGAGATTATGTAAGAAAGTGAGCCTGAAGGATGCCGCCATGTTTATTTGCGCGCCTATGTTGCGTCACAGAAAAAAAATGAATGGGCACGCGTGCGAGCACATGCGCGTGACTTAATCAGGGCTTTGATGCATCTTCTGCTTCCCGCTAAGAAGTCCTTGGTGGCAGTGCGGCTGTAAAAAAAAAAAACAACAACAAAAAAAGATGATGCTAATATTAGCATCTCTGTGTGAAGCTGAATGTGGGCGAGAGAAGACAAAGAGAGGCAGAAAAAGACAGAAGGGGAGGGTGTGAAATAATGAATGAGCGCACTTCCTTGTGCTTCTTCATGCGTTTGTACACGGGTACTTGACAGAGCCTTATTTTTGGATGTGCGCTTTGTGCGATTTTACTGTGGAAAGTCATCCCCCCGCCCCCCAATAAAAAGAGGCTTGTCAATTGTTTGGACGCTCCCATGCAAGATGTCAGTTGTAACCCATTCGGTAAAATAGTTATGAAATCCTGACAAAGCAGCGTCCCAGAAGAGATTTTGTTCAAGAAATGCGGTATCTGTCAGAAGCATGTTTTATGCCTCTTATTTAGATTGATATCTACATTTGATAGAAGATTTATTTTTTCATATCACCCAGCACCGCTGACCCCACATATAAAGACAAAAAAAAAAAAAAAAAATAGGCTTTCAACAGCGTTGGTCGCACTGTAATCTGTGTGACCACGTCAGACATAAAGATTCTGTTCCAGCACCGATCTTGAAAAAAGGCCTCAATGGCAGACATCTCACATGATCTAGCAATAAACAAACAAGAACTTTCACTACGGAATATGTTGCAACAGTATTCCCCAAGTCTTTCCGAAGGTACCGGAGGCAAAAGTGGTGTGGAATGACAACGTTACCGAAAAAGATTTGGTTTTGAAAAAAAAATACTTCTTGCCGTCTGGGGAACACACGTTTATACAAGTAAAACACATGTTTCGAACCCTATTATCGAGACAAATTCACTTTTAACACACCTCAGACCTACAGAATAATCATGTCGGGCACCTGTGTCAAAATTAAGGCCCGGGGGGCCAGATCCGGCCCTCCATCTAATTTTGTGTGGCCTGTGAAAGCAAATCAAGCATATCAACTTTTCCATGATGCTTGCCAAAGTCTGAACTATAATTTCAAATTGTCATACGTAATCCATCAAAACATAGAGATCTTGTAAGCATTATCCCGTTACTTATTATACTTATTACATTAAAAATAAACAATGGCTGAACAAACCATTATGATTGACTTCTGATTTCAAAACTATTTTCCACCAATTTGTTGTGCATTGTACATGTAATATGTGGAGGTGATTAAACATTTATACCGTTTCACCAAATTCACATTCATAATGGCCCTCTCAGGGCAACCGTAACTACAATGTGGCCAGCGACAAAATTGTGTTTAACACCCCTGATGTAGGGTCATTTTTGAAGACATAAGATAGTCTGCAGTTTGTCATCCTTGGTTGGGACTGGGCAAAAATCAGAGAAACAGCCCAATTGAATTTGTTTTGTGTGCATCATGTATCAATATATCATAGTTTCTTGTTCTTGATAATACTCGTGCAGCCTGTACTACCGAAGACAAATTCCTTGTCCATTAAAGATGATTCTGATTCTGATATAATTCATGTGAAATGAAATTGGAATTATTATGGAGAATGGCAGGCTCACATCAAGAATCAAGGAAAATACTCCGGTTTCTCCATAGAACAAGCACGGACATACACAACATTGTGCAACGACCACGTCGGAGTCTCCTGGAAATTCTTTCTCGTGCTGCTGTTCTGGCTAGCAACAAGTTGAAATGGGCTTATTTTCTAGTTACTCCCCTGTTTTTTTTTTTTTTTCCCTGAAAAAGATATGGGAGATATCGATTTGAGGAAGGCATTTGTTTCTGTTGCTTAATCAGGATGAAACACCCGGTGACTGATTTGGCATCGAGTAGAGGGACTGTCACCATCTCATAAAATATGACTGTGCAGCTGTTGCCAGTATGGCTAATGGCATTGGGAACAAAAGCGTCAATAAAAATGAATTCTTCCCTCTAGCTACATTTTATTCCTATCTGCACAGAACAAATTAACTGATTGTAAATGCCTTCGGTCATTTCCAAAGTTTTGAAATGAGTTGCCAAACAACACCTCTCACCTTTGAGCTCAGCAGAGATTACGAAGCTGCCACTTGTTAATTTCATACACAAGCGGTATTTCATGACAAAAAAATGACATCAATTTTCTTGCCGAATATGTTCAAAATTTCTTTGTGAGAAGAGAAAACCTGTTTGTGGCCATCTTTGGCGCCCATCTTTGAGACCGTTTGCGAACTTGTGCAGACCCTGAAGAATCAACATTCAATACATTCGCAAAAACTCGCAAAAAACCTTGGCCGCTCAGCGGGACAAAGGATTTAAATCAATGACGCTGAAACAAAGAGGGCTCCCGAGTGAATCGCTGCGTCAGATAAAAAGACATCCTCACCAGGGATGCTGAGCCAACTCCTCCCTCAGGATAGTCAACATTGTTTAACCACCGGCGGGGCCACAAAAGAACTTGTTTCACAATCACAGGCTTAGCAACAAACAGAACATTTGCTTTTGTTGACAGGCATGTAGCCAAATGTTTTCTGCAAACACTGTGAAGCAGGATGAAATAGTGTTTCATGCGGTGATTAGTCATGACCGCGTGAAAAAACAGTTAGAATGCCAAGTACAGTACAGGGGGTCCACTCTTGGCCAGTGGTGTCCAAGTATGTTCCTCGAAAGCCCCCATCCGGCCTTTTTACATATTTCCCACCTCCAACGCAACTGATTCAAATGATCAGGATCAGGATCGGGATTTTTAAGGAGGGAGGCATCAAAAACGGGGAGGATAGGGCTCTCGAGGAACATTTTTGGGAACCCTTGGTCGAGACCATCAATTTAAACAATCAATTGAAAATCAGTAAGTACAACAGTCACTGAGCGGGCCGACACGGCTGTGCGGCATGGCCACGCACATCAGTTTATTGCCGTGTTTTTCGTCGCCTACGAATGCCGTATCGTCAGAAAGCATTGCGCGCTGAAGGAACCCGTCAACTATTTCATCGTAAACACGGAAGGGGCAATTCTTGGTCTGCCAATCAACAGAGAGTAACACAATTATTCAGCTCGACGCTACCGCAAGCGAACTGTTCCCCAACAAAAGTGGGCTGAAAAGTGAGATGACAGGAGTGGGAAGCATCTTTGATGGTTTTTGCTTTCTCACAAGAAAGAGGAGAAGTTGGACAGATCAAATGAACAGAACATAGTGAAGCAAGGTCTTGGAAGACATTGCAGCTGCTATCCCACTGGAACGAACTAATTGAGCTAAATCATGAGCACAAGCATACAAAAGTCATGTTCTTCTTCAATAAATCTAAAAATATTATCATACGCTCCTCACAAAAAGTTTGGGATAGTTGGCTCAACATGCTGTTCACATTTTGACAGAGACAAACTCTCATTTTTAGAGTCAGTGTGTGGCTAACATTACTTTCTGTACTTGCATCAATCATTTTAATACAAGAGCAATGAATAGAGACTTGAGAAAAATATCGCTAAAGAGGATGACGTGTGAGGGCAGGAGAAGAACATATTGCGGCTTGTCCTTCTCTTGTCTTTGTTCAACATTCAAACATGCACAAACAGGCGGTTGGTTCGCCGTGTTGCGGCGAGAGAAGACCTCATGAGAATGGATTTACATAAGCGGTAGGAATATACACTGACTGACCTTCACGAGCGAAAGATATGCATTGATGGGCCTCAGAACATCGTGCTGACCAGACGCTTCATTAGGTACCTGCTCATGGGATACACGACACAATCCAGTAAATCAATCAAGTTAAAGCAGGGACCCTTAGTAGCTGTTTTAATTGTTAAATACACACAAAAAAAAAGGCACTTGTCGCTTACAATCCCAGTTGCAATTGTTGGATATGAATCATTGAAAGCTTTTCTAAAAATGACGCCAATGACTCACTCTGAAGAAGTCACGCAGCCCTGCCGCGTTTTATTGCACCGCTCCCGCTGGCCTCGTTTCATTTCCCTTGGATTCTCCCTTCTATTGCAAGGCTCTGGGCTGCGGTGCCAATGAATGGAAGGAGAGGTACAGTTCGCTCAAAGTCAGGGGTGCTTTTTTTTTTTTTTTCGAGCGAAGTTGGGGCTATTAATTTTGCACAGGGGCCACATGGAAAACTGGAACTCTTGCCAAGGGCCATTCTTATTATTTTGAACATATTGAGAAAAAGAATATTGTCTTATTTCAATAGAATGCTACATGTGAAAATGGCAAGGATTGTTGTCAAATGGAAATACACATTTTAAACAAGAGTCGCCGATGGTGTAGTGCAGGCAGCGTGGGATCGGTTCCCACACGGTGACGCTGTGGATGTGAGTGTGAATAGTTGTTCGTCTCTATGTGTTAACTGAATAGACTCCAGCACCCCCAGCGACCATCTTCAGGATAAGCCATGTTGAAAATGGATGGATGGATGGATGGATGGTCATTCTAAACAAACTTATAAGCAGCCATTCAAGTGAAATCTTTACACATTCCAAAACACCCGATACGTGGAGTCCGTGAAACTGTCGATTTGCGTTGAGTATTCCTAAGTTCTCTTAGCCCGCTTTCGTCCACCATGCGGGAAATTAAAATGTTGTTAACATTCTGACCACTCTGGTCGCTTTTGTTCATCTCTTTTAGGGGAAAATATAGTTGCTTGAGGAGTTGGGAAAAGTCACCAAATGTAGCAAAAAGTTTTGCTGAATTGGCAACATTGCAGACAAGTCGTAGCTCCATCGCTTGGACCAACATCCACACGTGTGCGCATAAAGTAAAAGCACAACTTTCAAAATAAAAGCATTGACAATTTTACGTTTGATTTTGACTTCATAGGCTCTATTGAGGGCCAGTCAGAGACTGCAGTTGCAAAATATATAAAATGGAAAAAGACACTTTTTTTTGTCCTTTCGAGTTTTATTTTTCCCTCCAATAAGCAAATGGGATATGGTGTGATTAAAAAGATTCCCGTACAGATGATGCAGGCTGCACAGTAAGTAGCGGTGTGCATGTCTGCTTCACAGTCAAGTGGTTCTGCGTTTGAATCCCACCGTGAGTTTTGTTCAGGTACCTCAGCTTCCTCTTATATTCTAAAACCATTAGTTTGTTGAACACTCTTAACCTAGTTCCTCGATTTAACTACGATGTTTGTGATTTTGTTTTTTAACCATGTCAAGCACTTTGCACGACCTCTCTGTGAGAACAGCTAACACTCTACAAATAAAATATGCTAACTTATAAGATGTTGGAAGGAACTATGAAAAAAAAAAACCTCATGATGACGTTATAATGTATGCAAACACAATCTTACTAAACACCTGCTGACCTTTTCTTTGAAATGACCTCCATCTGCTTCCCAGAGATAGCAGGTGACAAATTTTAATGTGCGTGTTTGGCCAAAACTGGCAGCATGGAGCAATAGTGGGTAGCATATCTGCTTCACAGTTGGAGGTTCTGCGTTCAAATCTCAGTTTACATGTGTGGAGTTTGCGTGCTCTTTGGGTGCTTTGGCTTCCTCGTATATCGCACAAAGGGGGGACATTTTGTTCATTTAATGCCTGGTAGCATAAAAGGAGTATAAATGTGACTAAGAAAAGAAAACATGGTGTGTACTTCAGCACTACAGAAACGATTAAAAAGGCATTGGAATAAACGGTGAATGTGGACTGTGAAGGGATTTGACTTTTTACCTGATGTTTTTGCTGTTTTCCAAACACTTTGTACCATCTCGCTCTTCACTCCTGACATTCCGTTCTTGCACACGGATGACCGATTGCCTTCTTGAAAAACATACTCCGAACGAAGCTGCCACCAAGTGAAACTTGACATTTCTCTGTGTCGTCAAAGCCGATTCACCCATGACGGTCGGGTGTGGATGGGAGCAGCGATCTCAGAGGAAAAGCAACTGGAAAGCGTTGACTGGTTTCATTTCAGGAAGGATACTGCAAGTGCTTTCCAAAAAGTCTTCAACTCGGGCTCCGGGGATCCCTGCCAAACTGTCAAAATGTAAACACTATTTGAACTAACTCAACAGTTAGGAAGTTAAAAGGCAAGCATGGAGCAAAGGGGGAGAGGAAAAAAGGGCTCTACGATACAAACTACAGTGTGAGCTATTTGTTGTGTCAGGAGTCGGGGATCAGTGATAAAATGAGAACCAAAACAAAGATGACATTTGCGGTGCAGCTTTTATTTTGTTATTTTCAGAGCGTGTGAAAATCCCTCATCACCCTCGCAACCTTTGTCTTCTTGAAATCTAGCAACAGCCAGTACTGCTTTGGTTATTTAAATGCAACAAGCATGTGTATGTTAAAAAAAACGGTAATTTAAACACCTGGCAATATTTTCGTTGGGCTAAAAGAAGAGTGTGGGATGGCAGGCTTTAGTTAGCGCTATTCATCAGGCTGAGCACCCGCGGTTCTTATCAGGATTAAGGCGTGACAGCTTGAGTGCAACGAGCTGGATTCCAACCGTCTATTCAGTTAGCGTCAAGGAGGTGTGAGCTAAATGAGAGCAGCCATAGATTAATTCCTTCATATTGTTAGCATCTTAAGCTTTTTTTTTTTTTGACACGATGCTGTGGCCGTACACGTCAGTCCACAATTCACTTGCTATTATCAATCAATATTTTGAACTTCAATATTTTAGATATAATATGGGTTGAGCTGGAAAGATAATGGATTATTTCATGAATGTACGGACGGGCATGTAACTTCCTGTCGACAGACAGCAATTATTTGATTGGGATTTAATTTTTTTTTAATGAAATCTGTCCATTTTTGGCTTTTGAAAAGACATGTTGATGTAAAATGGTTAAAAGTCGCTGTTTGGATTTCACTTCTTTCCTTTGACAGCATCATTCTTGCCATCCCTTGAGTAATCGGTGGTGTCCGACTGCGTTGTGTTTAAGAATAGTGATGGCGCACAGCAGGATTTCGTGTTTTGGTTGCGTTTAAGCGTTTCAATGTCGTCCTCGTCAATTACGATATATAGATACAGCGTGCCCCTCCCCATGGACATCAAAAGAAAAAAGGGCCACACAAACACAACATACCTGACGAAAACAACAGAAAACAATGTCCTCCTCGCCAATTATATTGATACAGCATACTCCGACAGAAATTATATGGCACAGCAATGTGTCGAAATACTTAAAACTTGTAAATGAAAACAACAAGTTTCTCCAACTCGAAAAATGCTTACCTCCCCATGGACATCAAGAGAAAAAAGCGGAGGCAGAGTCAAAGGTGTGTGTTCAACTTAAAAGAGGCAGTGCCACATTTATTAATGAAGTAGGGAAACCCATAAAAAATGTTGTGTAGCCCTTTGATAATGGAGGACACAGTAAAAGGACACGTCAGGTATTTCTCATATTACAGATTTACACTAAGTATTTCCAAGTTTATTTTTCCTCGCCTTGTTACACTTGATTATGACGAGGGTACCCCACAGAAAGGTTTAATTGTTCCAAAATTAGTGAAGTGAGACAAGACTTCATGACTCAGCAGCAACGTCAGGCAAAAACGGATTTATCTGGATTTTCTCTGCAATCATTCAAGGGCTTTCTGTCTTTTCTAAAGGGAGCTGCTGGATGCTTTTTATTTTCTAATACCGTCAATAGCTGCAGGCTGTTGGCACAATCGTGCCTGGGAAGATGTCTGTCTGTGTTAAAGCAAACACGGCAACCTAAGTCTCGTATTTATAATGAACGTGCTTGCACATTTTTGGTCTCTCGAGGTGGAGTGAATTCTAAAACAATGTTACAGGTTGAATGGAACAAGCTTGTTTTTATTTATTTTTGATTTATTTTATTTTTTCTGACCAAGCTTTACGATTTGGCCATGAAGCGTTTTGAGCTAACCATTTTCCCTTTCCTTTGTTTTAATCTGCATTTCAGAGCATGATAAGCACCGCTTATGCAAAAGCACCGAATACATGAATCTTCACTTCAAAGTCAAATGGTTCCATAATGAGTACGTGCGCGAATTGCCAGCCTTCAAGGGGGTTCCGCCAGAGTATTCTCTGTAAGTAATATGCGCTCTTTTCCTCAACGTACGTACACTGAATGGACATACGGTCAAAACGTATCACATGTGAAATTATGCTGCCGTGATATATTGGTGCTAAATAGCCAGATGGAATTCCTTCTTGATCAAACCATGCCAACATTTTTGCATCCGTTAATTAAGAGACCACTTTAAGGCACCGCAGAAAATGAACCGTCCGTTCAAGACGCGTTTCAATGCATTTCCGAGATGACGGCGAGGAGGGGAAAGTCACACGAATACTTTGTCACACCTGATTTATAAGCACAGTTGGACGACTGTCGCAGAGGCAACATTGTCTGAAAGTTAATATTGATGGTGGGCGACGCATACATTAAATTCCGTGTCACTCCAAGAAGGAGCGCGAGTCACACGAACAGATTTCAAAGTTAACCTTGGCGGAGTTCGTAAAAGCGCAGCAGCATTCAATAAAATAAAATAATGACAGCATTTCAACAGCACTTTAGATTTTTTGTTGTTGTTGTTTGGTTGGGTTAAAATGTTTCAGTGCCACCATAAACTCCAGCTTGAAAGATGCATGTCGGCTTAAGACATCTGCCGCGTTATCAGCTATAGTAATAAGAATAAAAGACACCTAGTGATGAGCACATTTGGTGAAGTGGCAAGCACACCAGGTCACTTAGGCCAGCTATTAGAGTGGAGGAAATACGGTCGTCTTGTAAAAAGAATCCTACTTCAAATAAAACCATGTTGAATCTCATGACTTCCTCACTTACCTTAACCCAAGCACAATCATAAGGGATACTGCAAACGCCTTTTTTTCTCCTTCAGGTGGTTTGAGCCGTTTGTCATTCAGTGGCTTGACGAGAATGAGGACGTGGCCATGGATTTCCTCAATGGAGCTTTGGAGAGAGACAAGAAAGACGGCGTGAGTAAAAAAAAAAAAAAAATCAAAATAACATAAAATAAAAATGAAAGTGTTCCTTGCTTTATTTAAATGGGCCAAGGACAGCCCTCGAAGAAAAATTGCGCTTCTCCTCGAAGAGAGAGTCTCTCAGATAAAAAGGAATTTCACACAGACAAGAGGCATTCTTTGCCTCGGGTCGCGCACGAGACAGGAATACGAATGGGACTGAATGAAACAGAAAAAAAACTGATTTCAAGGCAAAAAAAAAAAAAAAAAAGAAAAAAGGGTGGGGTGAGGCTGCCAGTATATTAGAGAATGAGATGAATGAATAAATTAGTTGCCTTCTGGCACCCTTTTTTTCTGTATGGATCAGTGTAATTTAATATAAATACAAATTATTGAAACTGTTTTTTCCCTAGAAAAATTTACAAAACATTGAAATAACCGTTTTTTTATTTTATCTTTCAAAGCTCACAAAAATTAGTTTACAACCATTGTGCCATTCACTATTGCAATTTAAAATTAGAAAATTGTGCATTCTGAATATTTTATATCTGCCTTATGTCTGTTTTATTCACAAATTATTTATTTTTCATTTGTTTAGATTATTGTACGTAATGTAGAATTTTTTGAATGCCACTTGAAGTAAAGATACAACTTTGTTCCCTTCAAGTGTTTAGGACCTGTGCTCAGTGCAGATCTTTCTCTTACAATGAGTGTATCGGAGCATAATTTCACACTTTCGTAATTGCACCTTAAATCTGTGACTTTATGTGAATAATTGATTGATACGTAAAAACGGACCGAGAAATATCTCAAACAGTCAGTGGATTTGAGTCCTGCTTTTCGAGAGAGAAGTTCTAGGATCTTTCCAGTGTTCAAACCGACATTTCACTCATTTCGTGCAATACTACATTTGAATACGCTTTTCTCTCGACAGTTCCAGCAGACGTCCGAGCACGCCCTCTTCTCCTGTTCGGTGGTGGACGTGTTCACGCAGCTGAATCAGAGTTTTGAGATCATCAAGAAGCTCGAGTGTCCGAACCCCCAGGCTCTGGCTCACTTCATGTGCCGCTTTGCCAAGGTCAGGTTTTTGTTCAGCAACAAAATACGGTGGAGCTTTTGAAGTTTATTTGATTTGTTTGGGGGGGGGGGGTCCTTGCTCGTTCCTTTTTTATATGCTTGTGACTCGCCTTCAGAAATTCCATTGAGGAGTGAGGAGAGTGACAGAGAAAGGAGACAAGGAGGAGGTAGAAATATTTTGGTGGGGAAATGAGACGACTGTTCATTAACATTGTCCTTTCATGGACATGTCTAGTAAAGATGACGTCTTGACAATGACGCATCCATGGTCCTTAATATGGCGATATGAGAATAACCTCTGGGTCATTTGGGATGTTTGGAGCAGCGACGAGCTAGGAAATTTGCAATTAAGAGACTTGAGATGAGCCCTGTATGTGGTGAATTTCTATCACACGAGTTTCACTTTTTGAATTGAGCGACTGAAATGAATTACGTTTTTCCACAATATTGAATCGTTGATATTCAAGACAAAGAAAAAGTAAACAATGCTTTGATGGTCGCGGAAAGGCAAAATTGCTTAGGTCTTGCATGATGTCATCTTCAACACTAGTCCATGTTTTAGAACAACTTTTGTGGGAAAAAGCCAAAGAAAAAACAATGCCTAACGTTAATCTTTTTTTCAGGATTACATTCACCTTGAATGTAATTCCACTCACTTTACTATACTTTCACTCTGTGGTCTTCTTGAATTGCCTAGTTCTTCTGTCACAACAAAAGCCAAAGAAATGCAGAATAATTCTTTGATGCTCGCTGACCTGAGGTTCTATGAGATTTGCATAGCAACAGTCCACGCCTTGGGTGGGGTTAAATGTTGAAAAACAAAACAAAACAAAACAAAAAAACACCCCACAAAAAAAGGAAAACACACTAGAAAACCAACAAACTGAAATGAAAATATTCCGAATGACGTGTTAAGAATCATCAACTTTAGAAAAAAAAGTCACAAATGCTTTATTACTGCAGCGTGCAGTGCTATTGTTTTTCCTCAGTTTTTTTTTTTGTTTTTTTTTTCTCAGTAATAACTGACTGTATTGATCTTTCATGCCATCAGGCCGTTGCTTGTATTGTTTTTTTTTCCCTGATATGTTGCTGTGATTCATTAACAGCAAAAGCAAACAATTCTAATTAAAATGCTGACTCCCTCCCTCCCTCCCTCCCTCCATACAGACTATCAACAAGGTTCTTCTGCAGTATGCCGCAATCATTTCCAAGGACTTCCCTTTGTATTTGAACAAGGAGAACGTGGTAAGTGCGCTCAACTATATGCAGATATGTGACACGGGGTTGTTATTTATTTATTTATTTATTTATTTAGATTTGTTCCAAGATAATTATTTCAAGTCCATCCAGCCGATGGTATAACAGCAAATGGAAGTGTTCTTGGTTGAGTCGAGCTCCGTGAGTCGTGATGCACTTTAAAGCATAATTATTTATCTCCCGGCCCAAAGTTTTTTTGCGGGGCCTTTGTGTCGGATGGTTCATGTGACAGATGACCAAACACTTAGCAAGGTCCTTCCCAGCACCCAAATTACGCCCGCCGGTTTTTCTGGTGGTGATGGAATATGAAGCAAAGGGTTCCAAACAAAGCAATGCACATATTACGGTATGTTTTGAGTTGGGGGGAAAAAATAAAAAAATAAAAAAAAACTGTTTTCTTGTTAGACAAATGGATGACAATGTAAAAAAAAAAAAAAAAGTTAAAAGCCATTGGCATGATGCAGTGGCACTCATACATCAAATACAATGCAACAATGCAATCACTATAATGATGTTTGTTTTCCGTGCACTGTGACGCAGAGCTGATAAATGCAGAGATGCAATTAGATGACTCAAAGATCTACTTAGAAGTATTGTAGCAGCGCATTGATAAATTTCATAATCATAAAAAGAAACACAAACACCCCCCCACATAAAATAGAATCAGTCAACCTGTCATGAGCACAGTGTGCAGGATACTCAGTGAAGATTTAGCGATGTTATTTATATAGTAGCCACTGACTTGATATACTTTTTCAACTTGATGCTGTAATATGAACATTCACGAACCACACGTGGTGAAATTTACTGTATGCTACAATGCAGTCATCTGTGTGGGTGTGTTAGGGGAAGATGTTGGCAGAGGTCCAGACTTGGTAAAGGAAATGAGCCTTTTCTCCTTCGCTAGAGTTCCGTGGCATCAATATAACCTGAACTTGGGACATTGTACAGTTGGAACACGGCGTAATCTATCACGAAGCTACCGTAATCATCTGTATAAAATACACCTCGAAGGGCATAAATAGAAATCCATCAAATGGAAAACACTAAGTGTGGCGGTAACTGCTGTGTGATGACATATTTTTACGCCGCTGTGCAAACTGTTCAACTTGTTCCACCTCCTACCCCTCTGGTCACCCTGGGGAGACTTCAGTCGCTCAGCCCCCCAGCTATTAGGAACTCTCTTGAAGCAGGCATATTCTTTATGACTGGTTTAGCGATAAGTTCACAGCAGGTTTGCACTTGAAATAGTACTGATGGTTTTTGCACTACAAGTGCCAAAAAACAAACAAAACAAACAAAAAAAAAGTCTCAAGTAGTTGAACTGGAAGTGTTAGTGGAAGAAAAACATACTCGGTAACAAAAAATAGTTCTATCGCGGCAGTAATTCGGGTGACGCTGCATCAAAGCCAGAAACCTTGTCCTCGACTTTTACTTCTAGCATTATTAATGTTTATGTTTACGACAGGACCGACAATATTTCAAGGTTATGAAAAGTGTTCATAGAAGAATTTTGCAAGACAACTCTAAAAATAAATGAAGGCACGCTCAATAACCACCATGCTAACTGTTTTTATGCTAATGTTTCCTGGAACTATGACCCTACTGCAACATTAGCATAGGTTAGGCTAAGCTAGTGACTACAGATCGTTACTATGTACGACAACTGAGATGGTCAGAGAAGACTTTTCCAATAATGTAGTGGATTTAAAAACTCCTCACATGAAACGGCAAGCGAGATAACACGAATCATAAACATTTTGTTCAATTAATAATATGTACTTTAAGTTAGGGTTGGTGAGTGTACATTACCAGCATTAAAAGCAATGAAAGGAAGTCAATGAATCTGATCTGAAAAAAAAAAAGTCAAGAAAAAAGAAGCAACTTTACAAGCCTTTAAAGGGGCAGTAAAGTCTAACATTTCCCCAGCTTGTGAATGTCACATGACCAAACCCAGCCAAGAGGTGAGCCATGACGGTCGTTACCTGGGCTCTTAGGCACTGTGATGTCATTTTCAGTCGACAAGTGGCAGCACAAAGCAAAATGGGATCCCCATTAGATGGATAAAAATGAGTGGATTCCACAAACATAATATTCATCAGAATAGCGATTTTTTTAAACGTAATTTCCCCTGAAACTCAAAGGGTTAAATCAATTTCATAGCCAAGCTTGTAAATAAAAGCCGTAAGACACATTTCATCTGTCACTGTGATTTTAGGCTCCTGCGTTAATGGCCAGTTCCGCAACATTTTTCAGCCTCCCACAAGTTACAGAAGGTTTCGGAGAAATCTCGTTTCACATTGTTCATTCTCTAAACACCCGATGCAAAAAGATCCCAAAAAAGAAATGCAAAAGGAGGATGGAGTCATTACTGTATGTGCAGTATGTTCTCCCGGTCTGCTTTTAGTGGTTTGAAAGGAAACAATCATGCTCCTGTGTGGTTAACACAATCTCAGCCCTATCCATTAGATCTATCCTCCTTTTTATAAACTGCGGGGCTGAATTTGCTACTATTTGGGGCAGATAATGCACATCACGCTCGACTGACTAAAAGCTGAGAAGAATTACTAGCGGGCTAGCAGAAAAAGTGTTGTAATTAATGTTCGTCATCTGTTAAATTTGTCAGGGAGCTGAAAAATCGATAATGTCCGGTGTATTCAGCGCAGGCATTCCTCTCCCGGTAGCATAATATTCCTCTGCTGACTGACAATGCAGTACAGACGTCTCGCATCACTTGTGTAGATGATGTGACAGGAAAGCCAAACCGATGGATGTTTGCCATTCCTGTTTTTTTTTGGGGGGGGGGGGTTGCTTCTTTTGCTGATGTACTGGCCATGTATTTTCCATTTTATAAGTGAGTCAAACCTTAGGTGCTGCTTCTGCCCTATAGGCGCTGTCATTTATTTTGCGAGACGTGAACATTAAATATGTATCGTGTGCTGACGTCCTATTTGTTTTTAACCCCTTTTGACAGCCCTGCATTCTTCTCAACAACATTCAGCAGCTCAGAGTCCAGTTGGAGAAGATGTTCGAGTCAATGGGAGGGAAACAGGTCTGTCTGCCCCCCCCGCCCTTCCTGATGAAATATATGGACAAGACGCAGTGGTCGCTTGTCATAGATTACGTGTCTTTCTCAAGGACAATTGAACAGACTTGCCATCAGTTAGCAACGGAGGCTGAAACGCCACATCCTCACACTGTTCAGCCCGAGAAATAAGTACCAGGTCATGATTATGTAAATTATAATTTCAGGTGACATTTTTCGGAAGTGAAAAGGCATTGACCCTGACAGTGTTGTGCTGTAATCCTTCCCTCAGTTTCCCGTGTACCAGACTTGTCAACTAATCTGCCCGGTCACTTTGCTAATATCGTATTTCCAACTCTTATCTGTACTTGCAACCTCAAACCTTCAACGTGAAAACATCTCCCCCGGCGCCCCCGCTCCCCCACGATTATCCTACTTGTGACTATGGTAACCTTGCCAAAGAGCCAGGCTCTGTGTCACTGTGGTCATTGTACTGCTTTTCAACATAATAGACTCTGCCTCAAATCTGGGTTGCGGGAACCACTCGTCAGAGGTCCCTGGTGATGGTTGGCCTACTGGGGGGAGAAAAAAGCAATTTTGGAAGGGGAAGCTACTGTGACAGAGCATGCTTTATGCACTCTGGCTACCCTGTCAAAGAATCTACCTCGTGATCAGTTCCCCTAATTTTGCTTGTACCTACCTTGAGGTCTAATTTTCTCTCATTTTGCTGACAGTGAATTTTCCAGTTGGAAACACCATTGGGACAAGCCAGCCCCCTGTTATAGGCAAGGCCCTAGGATGAGCAAATAGTTTTGGAGCTAGTGGGCCCATGCAGAATGCAGGTTTTGGAACTCAGTCAGAGTTCGATTCTCAAAGTTCACCTTTTCTTCTGATCAACCCTTTCAATGTGTGTGAAACACTGTCATCTCACTCCTGACGATGCAGCCCCTGTGGTTTCTTCTTACTTGATTGCATGTTTCTCTGTAAATATCTAACACCTTGTCTCGCCTTGCGTTTTGTCTCCTATGGTCATGCCCTCGTCCCTGATACTCACCCGTCCTGATAACCCCTTCCCCGCCTCCCAATTTCCTTTATGTGCTCTCTCTCTCCAGGAGGAGGGGGTTGTGTCCTTCTGTAAGGTGTGTGTAGTAGAACCCGCCAACAGCCCTTTCTCGCCATTTAGTGAATGATGTCAAAAAGCACGAATTTCTCCCCCCCTCCCCACCCCTCCGCCCTTTTTCGCCACTACTCATGCGCTTTTTTTCACTCCACCACACCCCTCTAGTATGAATACCTTCAGGCAGCATGTGCCACCAAGCATACAGAATCTGAATTGCCCATCATCCCTCAGGACAGGCTGCTCTATCTCACCATCACCGGCACTGTCGGGATAGTGGCTCAAAAAACACGTGTTACCATCTTTTTATTTTTAGCTTGCTTCCTGACCCCCTCTCAGCCAGTCTTTTAACCATGGCAATTTAAGAAACGTGTCATAGCTCGTCGACCACCTCCTCCCCACCCCACACAACCCTTTTGAGTTCAACTGGTTGTGATTTGGATCAGGTCATCCAGGCTGCAGCCACAAATGTTCACCTTATGGATTCGAGAGATATCTAGATTACTTTACGTTCCTGGAGATGGTGCAGCGAACAGAGCGTGGTACCTGGTACCCTCCAGGGCATTTACTGCTGATGTATTAATGACTCCAGAAATCTTTGTTGGGTTCTCCAATGCTGCCAGACACTCGGCTGTGTCTCAGGGAATGCTTTTTGCAGCTTTGGCGCAATGTTGAAAGTTTGGCATAAGGTTTGCCAAAACATCAAACAACACACACATATAGACGCAATCCTGACATCCACAGATTGGTCTCAGTCTTGATTGTTCCCCATTTGGTGGGTTGTGTCGCATTTTAGACAGTGGTTTATCAACCCCTTATTTACTCAGTAACTGCATTCAGAATGGCTCCTCGTGCGCAAGTGTTGAAACAGGCAAATGAAAACAAAGCTTGGCTTCTGGTGATAGGCTCGAAGCCAGAGGAGAGTTTATTCAGTTGGGAGGTGACCCCCATAAGCTGATAACTCAGATTCAAAACTTCTTTTGAATTAACATCGGTTACCAGGATAGGATAGAAAAATCAGATTTAAAGGATTTATGTGAGAATACTTTGTGGTTAAACTACTGTATTTCTCAGACTCTTTTGTCCTAATCACCCTTGTGATTCTCCTCATCAGCCAATTCCAGAAACGTAAAAACTATTTTGAAACCTTTCACAGGACCAAGGCTTACTATTCTTCCTTGAAAAAATTTTTGAAAAAGAAACAAGCTATAGAGAAATGACCCACAGATGATACGGAAAGGTGTGACTACCTCTCAGAAAATGGCATTACTGGCAGGACTCAAACATTTGACCGGAGTGTCAATGACCATTTGAAGTCAGAATTGAATTTTCTGCTCCGGGGTACGACAGTGGCCTTGGATATCAAACTGTGAGGTTGGATGTTCCTCAGTCATATTGCCATTAAAGTGAGAGTTCTCAGACACAGGATGGAAAAAAATATATAAATATATATTTCAGAGACTGCCCGACAACTGATTAGAGGTCAGGCAAATACGTTCGCCAGGTCATTGAGACGGATGCTTAAACCGAGCCTTCGCTACAATGTAAAATGAAAAAGTCCAACATTTGGCCAGTTTTCTCTGTGACACAAAAATATTTTATACCGGAATGTGTTGTGCTGTACTGACAGCAGTATCAATGTGTCCATAAGTGAGCAGCCAAACGCGTAAATCAGCGGTGCTCATGTGCCGACAGAGCCATGTCTGCGGAGCAAGCCAACCAAATCATCGTTAGGTGACATGATTTGAATACCAACTGAAAAGGAGCAGAACACTCGAAATTGTCCCCAAGTGTGAGTGTGAGCGCGGATGGTTGTTCGTCTGTGTGCGATTGGCTGGCGACCAGTTCAGGGTGTACCCCGCCTACTGCCCGAAGACAGCTGGGATAGGCTCCAGGGTAAGCTGATTAGAAAATGGATGGCTGGATGGATGAAAAAGAGCATACCACACACTATACGTAAATTGTATAAAATTAGATTCGAGAAAGAACCCTCTGGAAAAATCTTTCCAAGTTCAGTTCAAGGCCGAAGACCAACATCTGCTACTCGGGACCGTTGACAACCCAGACAGCAGTGCATCAAATCTTTGACTGAGAGTCCGTGGGCATCAAATCAGAAATAGAGAACGATATCATCTGACAATGTAAAGATGTTATTTAATTCTAAATTTAAATTGAATGATCTTGTTTTTGTTGGCCGTGCTCATTATCCTGTTTAGGGGCCAGTGCTGATAGGCCAATGTCTTGTTGCTCCCAAGCAACCGCAGTCACCATTACAATCAATTGAAATCAATGCATCATGAAGTCTTTGATTTTTTTTTCTTGAGAATCCAAAAGTGAAAAAGTAACAATTAAGAAGGATAATTGTATTTATTTACTTATTTTTAATCTCCGTCGTAGTTGTATTTAGGCTTGGATCAAAAGTACAACATTGAATAAGCAAGCCACAGGAGTGAGTCAACTTTATTTGTATTTTTTTAAATTTAGTTTACAAGGCCTAAAAATGGCTCGTTGTTGTTGATCGCCTCGTCTTTTTTTCACTTAAAGATAAAAATGAGCAATATCCTGCCTTGAAAATAAATAATATAAATTGAAATTAAAATAAATAATAAATGTACCTTGGCTATAAAAATGTATAAATATTTTTTTTTGGGGGGTGGGATATTCAAAGTGATTGAAATGTGATTTTTCATATGTTGGTTTAATATTTCTACATATAATAAAAACTGGAGCTGATGACAGATTTGTCACAGATGTCGCAGATATTCTGACAGCCAAGTTTATTTGGGGTTTTTTTTTGCACTATGTTCATATTTTGAAATTATTTGTTCGACATGTTTGTATACAGTATTAATAAACGGGGGTTAACAACTCGTAACGTAACGGCTAACAATGTAATAATTAACATTACTAACTTTGTTGCTCTATACCCAAAATTCAGGTAAATCCGACTCATCATTATTAAAATCAGTTTCGTTCCTGTGGCCTGTTTCTCCATCTCATATTTTTCATTTGAGTCTTATCATCAATTCAAAATGGAAAGAACGAATCCAGAACTACACTTTCCCTTGATATTCGACTCTCCCAGCTGTGACTACTGTATGGTACGCACTAGTGCACGCAGCTTCTTCTAGCTGGCTGATTCTACTCCGCCAACGCCTTGTCTTATAGCCGCGCTCATCTCGGAGCCATCCATTTGTATTCAGAGCGATGCTCGGCACAGATGGCACGTAGAACGAGCGGGAGGCAAACAAGTTACCAAACCCCGTTGAACACCAACACCCCCATCACCACCCCCCCCCCCCCCCCCCCCCTCCACCCCCCCGCTTCATTCCAGCCCAGGCATCCTGCAAAGTTGTAAGGCCGTGTGGGAGCTCTGCGGAGTGCAGCCATGCAGTAACTGTCCGTCTTTTTCCTCTACCACGACAGCTGGATGCGGAGGCCAGTGATCTGCTCAAGGAGCTTCAGAATAAACTAAACACCGTGTTGGATGAGCTCAGCGGTGTCTTGGGCTCCAGGTGAGTATTAGCACAACCCATGTACAAATTTCTCAGACTAATGACACCGCTAATCTGCTTTACAACTAACAGCCACGCGCTCCATTTAGAGACTCTGTCCGAAACATTTCAGGCACAAATAAAAAGCTCCCCGGGATGCACTTTACGGCCCGCATTCATGAATTAACAACTCCTCAACGTTGCTTTATGGCCTTCTGTCCACCAAGTTATCGTCTTCAGTTCGAAACAACTAAGCCAATTTCGATCAGTTCTACTTGGAAAAGGGGAGCGTACTTTTGTTGACGCCGCCATATTCTTTTAGCCCTTATACTCTTTTGGGTCACAGGTGAGCTCAGGCAAGTCGAAACTGATTCAGGCAAGTGGCAAGGGGCATCCTGAACTGGTTCCAGGCAGGGCATATCGAGACCAACGACCATTCACACTCACATTCACAATTAAATCTGTGGACGTTTTCGAGTCTTCAATTATCCGATCAAATACATGTTTTGGAATGTGGGAGGAAGTCAGGGATGGCATGCAAACTCACAGCAAAGCCAGAGCCAAAATTCAAACCGCAGCCCTCAGCACTGTGAGGGAAACATGCTAAACTCCATCATGCTGTTCCATGCTGCCCTGAGGCCCTTGCCTGATATTGGTTATAAAGTTAAGATAGCAAGAGAGCCTGTTCCTGAAAAATAGACCAACTGCCATTCAAACAATACCTCGGGTTCTTGCGTTTTCTAAAAAAAAATGCTCTTCGCTGAACCAAAATGTCATTACACATTCTACGGACACAGGCGGAAGTAAATGCTCCGTTTCTATTCCTCAGTTTCAAACCGGTCATCGAGGATTGTGTGAAGCAGATGAACCAGGAGCTGATCCAGATGAAAGGTTCGGCCAAGGGAAGCAATGCCGCTATGGATGCAGAGACTGTCCTTCGGCCTCTTATGGACCTCCTCGATAAAAAGTGAGTGAGGTCTCTTTTTATTCATCCTGTACAGCCCGCTGATCTTAGGTTGCACAACAATAGTGTACATGCAGTAAAGTGGTTTTTCTAGGGGTGAACCTTGCTTTCTAAAGAGACATGAATACTGATGCTATACCTCTTAGTAACACCCTTCTCAAGACAGAATGAGGGATAAAAGAACAGATTGTGTGAAATACAAGCCATTCCTGAAACAGCCACAGAGATTATAAATGGTTCAGATGAGGTTTAGAAGTCCCTCTCAGCCATTGTCAAAGAAGCATCGAGGTCAGTGGAATTTTACAGGGGGAATCCTCTTTATGGTATGGAAATGCTAATCCTTACTCCCATCTGCACAATATACTGCCACAAAAAGGGGGACTGGAGGAGTTCATTATTGTCCCTCACGGTAGCGTTCATTGAATTCGATGATACATTTTCGGATGACTGTATACCGCCGGCCATTTTGGCGCGATCTTGGTCGAGCCCTGCCATGAATAGCGAAAAACTAGGCCCCTAAATTACATGGATGCGGGTTTGTGATCAAACGTGAATTCCTCAACAAGCTAATTGCTCAGCTCAAACGTATGCAGTGTATAGGTAACCCCCTAAATATTTGCGGCTAGGAATTTATCCTCTGTTACTCACTGAAAAACATACATGTTCACTGTTTTCCTACTCGGGGCAGAGTCATGTATCAAATAATTTGGGTTTGTCACCATCAAGTGGCATATTGGTGCCAAGCATCGAAATGAGGGGGAGAGGTCAAAAACAAAAAGCGCTTTGCCAATTGCTACGATCTTGTAGCGTCTATAGGCAACTGAAAAAGCTTTTTGAGTGGATGTCAGTGTCAATTGCAGATAAATTGGATTACGTATAGAATAACGATATGATATTGTTAGCTCATATCACCCAAAATGCTAATGCTCCATTGATAGGCCTTGTTAAAACCCATGGCGCAGGCGAGCTTAGTCAGCTATGCTTATACAATACAATACCTTTACTCTCAGCTGCAATGTTTGCGCTGGCCTACTGCTTCTGACTAATAGCGAAGAGAGAGCTCCCCACCTTATCAATTTGGTGTCGAAAAATGTACGTTTTAGCATCCATCATTGTGTTTTGCATTATTTCCATGGTAGAGACAAAAGTGAATCCAGCGCACTATTCTGCCTGCAAGTCAAAGGTACTGAGGTAGTTTTCCGGATCCAGCCGTAGTTATAAGTCAGCGTACCTTTCAAGATATATTTTTGCAAGTGTAACAATCGCTCTGCCCGAACTTGGAATCCTTCCACGCCACCCGGTTTGACAGATTGGTCTGTCACGGAGATATTAAGCAGCGGTTTCTTGGCTCGGACAAAATTGATCCATCGAGCATTGTGTGGCGGTAATGGCAAGCGGCCAACAGACAGCAAAGCCCTTTTAACTCTATGTTCTTGTATGTCGTTGCTGCACTCCACACCCTTTTCATATAGATGTTGACTTGTAAAAGGAATTTTTATGGTAATAAGATGAATTGTGAATGGTTTGCAGGGTGGGAAATGCTCAATCCCTCCCATCCTCCGTCGGGAATTACTCAGAGTGAATGTCAGCCTGCAGTTGGAAAACAGCATAACAAGTTGATGATTTACTCTCATACAAGTATTATCAAGCACTCGGCTAATCCTGTTATTTATGAAGATGTCTCTTAAAGCTGTGATTAAAACACATGCTTCTTTTTTTTTTTTTTTTACACCTATTTTGCAGTTTGATGTTATTCGCCAAGATTTGTGAGAAGACAGTGCTGAAACGTGTTCTCAAAGAGCTTTGGAAGATCGTGCTGAACACCATCGAGAGAACCATCGTTTTGCCCCCGCTGAGTGACCAGAGTGTGAGTGTTTTTGTTTGTTTTGTCTTTTGCATGATAACCAATAATGTATTTCATCATTTGCTGTTTAAGAGCCATTAAGTTGCACACTTGGCTGTAACTTATTGTTTGTTTGTTTGTTTTCGATTAACACATTCATTCATGTTTGCCATAATCTGTTCATTTTATTCCATAGTGGGTTCTGGAAGATTTTATTAGGATCAATTAATTTTAATTTTTTTTTTTTGAGCAATACTTGAGAACTCAACATGTGTTTCAAATAGTATTGCTTTTTTTTTTTTTTTAATCCTCAGTTATTTATCATTTTGTGCTCTTTCTATAATGTTTCAAGATGTCACAAAATGGCAGAAAAGCCCTGTCGAAATTGGAATCTGTCTCAAGTAACGGAAAGTAATACATCTCGAAAGAGACAAAAATGTCGGGGGCAGGGGGGAGGTGCTGAAGTTGGTCGTGTAAGGTCTTTACTGCATGTGAATGTACGTAGGGTGCTGTTTTTATTTATTTATTCATTTTTTTTAATCGATTCATCCGTAAATCATTTCTTCTCATGTTAATTTTGAAACTATATGAAACCGTTTCCAAATTATAGTTTGTGGCATATTTATGGATTTAACTATGAATATATGCAATTCTATTCTTCATTTTTATTGGAAACACGCCTGCTGTAGACTGTCAATAACTCTGCTGCTCTCTGTTCATTAATTGCCCTGCAGAGGTAACAGATTTTTTTCCTTAATCTGAATTGTAAATATTTGGGGGTGCGGGGGGGGGGGGGGTACTTGCTCCCTATCCCAATGAATGATGTTAGATTACTGTAGTGTACACTATAATGTTAAACCACTTTTCCTACACACGGTATTTAATGTAATTCCACTGTGAGAATGCCCGATGATGGCACATTGTGGATGTCTACACAACCATGCATTTTTCGTTTTATATGGCACAAAGGTGAATTAATTTTTTTTTTTTTCTTCCAGCAGCAAGGAGCTCAGATGATCTTCAATGCGGCAAAGGACTTGGGACAATTGTCCAAATTGAAGGTAATCCAGTTTCTTCACTCCGCTGCTAATGTGCTGTAGAGTTTGCTTCATAATGCCTTCTGGTGACTCATATCACACTTTATGGTCAGGTCGTATACTCTGCCACTGTAGATATATGCTTGAAATTCACTGGTCTGTTCATTTATTTTTAATGACTATTCTAAGTTTTCCAGTCTTATGAGCCATTATACAGTATATTCAGATGCTATATGGACAAAAACCTCTGCAAGGTCCCACCATTTGCTGCGACAACAGCGTCTACTTTTACAGTAAGACTTACTGGTATGTGACTTTGGCCCACTTCATGCATAAGGATTTTTCAAAATATTGTTCATCTGTTATAGAGCCCACACCTGACGATTAAAAATCAGGCATCTCACAGTTTTGGGCATACTTTGTGTGGTGTGCTCCGATTACTTCAATACGGAAGACCACAAAATAAAGATTCTGTTCCACCACCAATCTTGAAACAAGACCTCAGAGGCAGAAGTCTCACGTGATTATATGGGATCTATCGAATACAAAGACAAAGTTTCACTACTATGTATACGGATATGCGCCAGTGTTTTCAAAGTGACTGAAGCGGCGACGTTGAAAAGGGGCGACGTCATCAAAACAAAAGATTTGCTCAGGAAAGTACTTCATCCCACTTTTATACAAAAAAAAAAGGCTTACCCATTTTTTTTTTAACTGCCGCTTACACTGGTTCCCAGTCAGCTGTTGAATAGATTTAAAAATGATGCTCCTGGTCTATAAATCGCTGAATGACTTAGGTCCCGAATACGAGGGCTGTACACTAATTGGCCGCTAAAAATGAAGGCCCGAATCAGTCCTTTCGGATTCGAGTGAGAATAATTCATAGCATATTGTCACGCGTACGAGTGTCACAGGAATGTTGGAATGCCAACGCGTGTGACGTATAATGGAAAGCTTTTGCGCGTATATGGGAATGTTTAGCCAATTAATGAACATTCAACAAATGAGTTCTCTAAACAGAATCTGAATGGGAAAATTCACAACAGGTGTTTAATCCACGGATGGGCCAATACATTACCTAAATGAATTAGAATGAATGTTGATGAAGTCCTCTTCATCATAATTGTCAGCTGCTTCTTCGTGAACAGCAAGTCGTGCAAAAACTACTGAAACATTTGGAGATATCCATTCAAAGGTTTATAGAAGGTCAAATCCACCTGTAAATGTTGTGGTGCCCTTTAGTTTAAACCAGGAAATGCACCCGAAACCCAAATGTCCTGATTTTTGTTTTTTTTGAGTAGTGTATTTTGGTTAATCTAGATTGTGGCCAGAATAAAAACTTTTTTTCCGCCACATGTCTGCGGCTCTGTAAAATGGTTGTTTTGTGTGTTTGTGGTTGCAGTTTTTTTTTAAACCAGTAATGCAGAAGCTATGCATTTTTAAATACCCATTTGCAAGTCCACTTAGCCTAAGAGAAACAAATCCTAACAGCCTAACACAAATCATGCGGTCCAATTAATATATTAGGTCAAAATTTTTCTGTATGTCCTCAAGGATTTTAAATGCAGCAGTGCAACTTTGTGTGCATGTATAATCTGGTTCACGCTTGCACTCACAGTGTGCAGTGTGATTATACAACAACAAAGAAGGAATGGTAACTGCCAACATCTGTTAAAACCAAAACATTTGTTCGCCACTGCAGTACCTCGGCATCAATCCAGCCGAATCATGTCTATTTACTGATGTCACACGTGGACGAGTAATGCCACAGGCTCCGAGAACTTTTGCTTTGACTAACCACCGTGATATGCCGATACCGGAGGTATTTAACCTGAGAGTGTGATGCAACAGATGCACGCCCAGTATATGATTTTGCCTTTGCATTCCTTGGAGTCGGCAACCATGCCCGTTGCTCGTGGAAACGCTGCCATCCTTCGAGGGGGCGACATCTGGAGAGGAGCGCACAGATGGGCGTGTGTCTGTATCCTTCCTGGAGCGTTAAAGTCGTTTATTATCCTCTTGTTAATGCTGGTCATGAGTCATAATCATCTCGTATGAGGGATTTTCAGAACAAATGATAGCCAAGGGTGTATAGTACTCGGCTGCAAATTGGGTGGTGTGGGGTGGGGGGTTGTCTATGTTGTAGTACAAATGGGGTTTTGGAATCTATTATTATTATTATTGTTGTAGTAGTAGTATTGTATTGAATCTATTATTATTATTATTGATAATAATAGCAATAATAATCATAACAGTTGTCATATTAATAATAATGATTGTGTATAATAATAGCAATCATAATCATAACAGTTGTCATATTAATAATAATTATTGTGCTTGTTATTATTATTATTATTATTATAAGATAAGCAGTTTGGATAATGGATGGACGGGTAATAATATTATCAATGGTAGTGGTATATTATAATTCATGTCAAATGAGTTTTACACCAAAGAAAAATTACTATTATGTTGAATTGCAGAGAAAGTACTGAACCAAGGCATACTGGGCAGAAGGACTGCACATTATGGAGCACATATCAGTGTCAAATGAAATTCTAAACACCAACATCACCGCACAACAAGATGTTTAATACTATGCACGGAATGGGCAGTGTACTATGAATCATTGTATAGGGCTGTCTGTGCTAAATGGAGCGCTGCACTTAGCGTACATACCACTTTATCTACACCTACCATCATGTTAATGGATTTCATAGTGACGTCGCTGGTTGCTCCTTGTCAGCTCGTTCCCATTTATTTGTATGTACTCGGCACGGTAGGTATATTGCTTGCGCACGTTTTGTTGACAGGGACTGCAGGATTCACGATTTCATCCACAGATACTGTGCATATGAATTTATAAATATTGTTACGTATTTTTGTAAAACCCGATTTATGTATGCTTCATTTTCAGTATTTAAATGGCGTGGCGGCAGCGCAGCAGCCGGCTAACTCCTGCTTGCTTAAAACTCAAAATATATAAGTCATACTCCCCAAAAACTGTGAAATTTTTGTTCTGAAATGCTTTGGGGGTTCTCACAAAATTAATCGAAGCAATTTCGACCTCATCTGCTGAAAAAGTGTCGGCACCCCTATTGTAAAATCATCTTTAATATTGTGCATGAAACATTTTTTTCTACTATGACAAAGCTGCTGCCACTGTAGTTGCTGTTGTTTTGGTGAAAGGAATTCACATGCTCAATGTTTTCATGTCAGCACGTGAGTGATCACTGAATTAAATTAATTTCAGCAAAAATTTTTCTTCATCGGAAAGACGACGCATCAATTTAGACTGTGGCGGTTCACCACGTTTATTTTTTGGTTTACCGTGTCTTGTACTGGAACGGAGTCAATGAAAATGAAATGGGCGCAGTTTGGCACTTGCCTTGCATTTTAGCAGAGATGGCGATTTAAGTGCTTGCAGTCTCACATCGGCTCATGGAAATCAATTTAAAGCCATCTCTGATTAAATGAATATGCATAAGAAAGCGAGGCAGGGCTTCGCGTTTCATCTGCAAGTTCTAATTTTAGGGACGGGATGTGCATTTTCTCTGCAATGCACCATAAATATCAGCATGGGGGTGTTAACGGCTTTGTAAAAGCTAATTATAATTGGCATTAGAAGTTGAGCTATTTTACAGTATCCTGATATGTTTTTGACTACACTGCTCATGATTAAGACAGATTCTCTTATCCTGGCACGTTATGGCAATGTTCTTGTTTCCCACGCTGAATTGAAGACTGCACTTGCAAAGCGCGCAAGCCACGGTTCAATTCAGCAAGCTAATTGTACTTTTACGTTGGTCATTATCTTGATGTTTGTGTCCCTCCGCAGGAGCATGTCATCCGCGAGGAAGCCAGGAGTCTGACTCCACGGCAATGTGCGGCCATGGACCTTGTGCTTCCCACTATCAAGGTGAGTTTTATGTTCGAGAGTGAACTGGCCCAACAGACATGAATGGATGGATGGCTTGAAGCCATTGTTTTGTTTTGCTTTGTTGTTTTTTTGGCTCTTGGGTTCCCCATACAGCCACAAAATGCAATTTACTGTTCAGGTGGGACTCATATAAACAGGATTTATGTGGATTTTTTTGTGATGCAACTACAGAAGGTTACTGTTGCTGACAAAGAGGAAAAATGCGATAAGATGGACATATTGTCGCAGTTTGTAGCAGTTTGGACTTCAATGAAGTGTAGTGATGAACACACTTCCCTGTCCTGGCTGGGCAGTTCAATGTGGCAGAAGCAACAATAATGGAATCAACCAAAAAATTGGCCCGGTTTCTTTTTCATGAGAAGCTGTTATTACAAACCGGCTGGCACATTTGTAGTTTCCACAAAATATTGCTCAGTTTCTTTAGACAGTATGCCGACTGCGGTTAGTCTGTTGTTTATTGATATTTGAAGAGTAGGTACACCACTTATTGGTGAAACTATCCTTCTTTTGGAATATAAAGTGACAGTGACAAAGACTCATCTTATTTGTGTCCTGACTGGTTAGACTTTGAGTTATGTACTACTGTACCTGCTGTGTCTAATCTAGTTAAGTGTTGTGTTTATACGAATATGTTCTGCTCCACCTCTAGTGAGGATGCATCGGAGATTCATAGCAGTGCACATCTATATGTTTTCGCTACTTTATATTTCCTGATGGCTCATAAATTTCTGGCAAAGCAAAGCATGCAGTGTGCTCATATTAATTCACTCTTATATGACAGTTGGGAGACCAAAGGCTTGACATCTGAGCAGTTGTGTTGTGTGGGAACAAATTTTGGAGTTCTGGGGAGGAGCGGCGCTGCAAAGAAAACGGATTGATTGCACCGACTTTGAGACGACGACCCGGTGGTTTGGATCAATCGGGTTGCCGGGATTATTGTCATCAGTATTCCAACAAGAACAGTCAATTAGCATCGTTCACTATTGCTTTGGAGCTGTGCGATCGGATCGATCCAACGCGCCTCCTCTTGATAACAATTTCAGAACATTTACATGTGCACACAAAGAAAAAAAACAACAACAGTGACAGGATGCAGAAGCTGGATTTTCCATGCGCAACAATTTAACCAAACCGAACTTTAAACCTGCATATGCAAATGGACAGAAAAATGGATCCATGTGCAGACCCACATAAGAGTCCACATGAGACAGGGATGCTAGCTCCGCAGACACATTTCTAATGATGTAGGTTTACTCTCATCTGAACTCCATCCTGAATAGGATGACAGCAGAGGGGCAGTTGCTCCATTTCGCCAACCAAGTTTGATATGCTGGATATGTATTTTATTAGCATTGCAGCTAATGGAATGCACACAAAATGAGAGATTATGAAAACCTACAATAGTTCTCAGTGCTTCCACCAGTGATAGTGGTAAAGCTCTCCCAATAGTGATGGTCTCTTCATTTCTGGCTCTTAAACAAGCCTTTGTAATTAGAGCTAAATTCAATCACTGTTCCACTCCAGTCCCCAAGATCGCAGTAATGCACAATACAAACTGGCCGTCAATTGCCCAATGGAGAAATGCCATCCATCTGCTGGAAGTTTTGACAGAAAATAAAAACTCCAGTTCCATATCCTTTCCAGGATTCAGAACAAAATCTAATAGTTTGCAGGTCCCATGCCCAATATTTCCCAGACAAAATGTGGAAATCAAGAAAACCATTGCCCATTAAAGTGTAGCTGTAGACAAACATAACCAAAATATGTAAGTTTTTTAAACATACAATGTGGGGGGAAGAAAATCTGTTCAGGGAAGCTTTGCAATTTTCCAGAGGAAATAATGTGTCAAACCTGCCCTGCAATTGACTGGTGATCATTGCAGGACTGAGATAGCCATGACCCTAATTAGGCAAGGGATATTAGAAAAATAAACAAAGTAAAAAGATAGATGCATAAGGGGCTAATATATGGCCATCGTAACACCTTGATCAATGTGTAAACCGTAAGCTAAGAAACATTTTGACAAACAACTGGGAAAATGGTACCTGGAGCTTATTGACAACAATGTGCCCAAAGCTCCACTGGGAGCAGATCTGCATTCAGTGTCTTGCCGAGGACCCTTCAATCACTGGACAAGCCACTCGACCAACCTAAACTTCGCTGCCCTTACATGCATAAAAACACGAGTGAAACAGTTTTTCATACTAAGATATAACAACTATGCAACAGGGTTAACTTGAATTATGTGAGGCTCACAGGCGTTTTGAAGATTGTATTCAAAGTCCAGTCTTTCACAGGGTATTCAACTTGGTTGCAGTGATGCAATACTTTAGGCAAGCACATAAGATGCGCATAGGAATAAGATGTACAGTCCAATTGAGAGTTCACCGTCCCTTGATCTCGTCTCTTTTCTCATTTTACGCCACAAAACACTAAATACATTTGATTTGAATTTCATGAACATTCCAGACAGGGCCTCCACATTTCCATGCATGCTAATTCGCTGAAAATGTGGCTTAATGCATTTGCTCCCACTTCCACTTATCCCTGAACCATTTGCAACATGAATATAACACATTGTCCGATGTAAACGCAAGAAATGTTTGTTTGCCTGTTTACTGCAGCAATATTTCCATGCTGGAGGAAACGGGCTAAAGAAGACATTCCTGGAGAAGAGCCCGGATATGAAGTCCCTCAAATATGCTCTTAGCCTTTACACTCAACCTACAGATGCCTTGATCAAGAAATATATATGCACCCAAACCTCTCAAGGTAAGACACCCCACTAGCTACGAAGTCTAATTTACTTTTTGAGCTGTTGTTTATGTCATATATTTTGTGCTACTGTACATGTGATAACAATTTTTGCTCACCTGGTGACTGCCTTTTGTCTTTGATAGATATATGAACGGAACCTTTCAAACATTCTCTCGCTCTCTCTCTCACAAACCATGATCATCTCTCTCTCTCTGTCTCTCTCTCTCTCTCTCTCTCTCTCTCTCTCTCTTTCTCTCACAGACACACTCTTCTCCCCTCTCCCTCTCTCTCTCTCTCTCTCTCTCTCTCTCTCTCTCTCTCTCTCTCTCTCTCTCTCTCTCACAACCCATTATCATCACTGGCCCATTTTCGGTTTATTTCTTGATACCAACCTCTCCCCCTTCCCTGCTGTAAGACGGATCAAACACCTCCAGGTGCCCAAGTATTTCAAGAGGGAATTCAGCCCAAGTTGCTGAAGCACACGCACACACACACACACACACACACACACACACACACACACACACACACACACACACACACACACACACACACACGCACACGCACATACACACGGGTTGCATATAGGCACCACCTTGCTAACTGACAGCTTGCATTTTTTCTTTCATTCTAGTCACTACACACCTAATAAGGCAAATGCGGGACCTAGAAGTGAAGGTGGTGTGGTGGCCGATGCACATTAGGTCAGCAAACAGGGCAGCGATGTGCTGGCTTTCGAACGTTCATTCATTAATCACCAACCCCCCGTTGCTCATGACAGTGACATATTTAGAGCCCGGCGTGCGTGGACTCGTTTATTCCACAGAAGCCAAAGTATGTCGCACCAGCGGTCAGGCGACAATAGAAAAAGGGATGTTTCTCCCTTCAAAGTGTGCGGTTTATTTTGTGGTCATGTGGGTCATTTGGGTTTTTTGCGCCCAGAATCCCCGTGTGCTTGGGAAACGTGTGATTCCCTTACGTTGCATATAATGCTACATGCTGGGCATAGCCAATAAAGATGCTAATTGGAAGACTCTACTTGAATTTGATTTGGTATTCATGAGAGTGTTTTAGACTTGAACTATATGCTTGGCCATGTCTGGCTTGTTTCCATTTAAAAATTGTTTCCAAGGCAGTGTTTTTTGTGTGTCTGCGTGTGTGGTGTGCACAAAACTGGTATGCTGAGATGCAAAGAGCAGAAGCTACCTCATGAAGCAACTACCTGTATCAGGGAGGGAGTTTAGAAGATTATTATATTTGGATTATTTTTCGAGAATCAGAAAAATACAATCATGCAACCATACATACAAGATTTTCAACACAAAGATAACAACAATGACATCGAACTTGATTTCTTACCACAAAACCCCAAAACACAGGCAAGCTACATTAACCCCCCATTTAGCTAACCGATAGCTAGAACCGGGCAGATATTCTAGCTTTATGTTGAGTCTGCATTTAATTGAAAAGAGAAAATGCTCAGTAGTGCCCCGCCCCCTTGGTATTAAGAAAAAAATAATAATATATCAGTTGACCTTAAATTGGGTGGACATCTATCATGAGTCTCTTGGACCGATACATAAAATTTAACAGAAAGTCTGCCATTTTAGTTTGAAGTTGCCATGTTGGGAGTTGAAAAACTTTGACTTTGATCAACTCGACTGAGGAATTCAAATGAATCCCACCTGGTACCAGCGATCCCAGCACTTGGATTCTAATATTCTAGGACCTGGGCTAACGTTTTAGCCCACACCATCTCATGTCACAGCATAGCCTCAGTGTTTGATCATTTGGAGGATTTAACATGAAAAAAAAAAGTTCAGCAAACTACCAACCAAGAAATAAGGCAATGTAGAGATCAGCAGTTTGGAATCAATAACTTCCATCTCGCAATGACAGTGTCAATCAGATCTTTTCCACTTACACTGCCGTCACTTTAGAAATAGAAGTGGAAATCGCAAAGTTACCCGTAAAATTATATAACAGCAATAATTGGCCAAAGGGGAGCCACAATAGCGAGACAATGCAGACATTCACATCGTATTCAAAGATCAATAGTTGGCTCTGTGTAATATTTTATCTGGAATCTCGTGATCCGACATGATCCAACATCTAAAAAAAAAAAAAAAAGACATTATTGCAAATAAACATTAACTAAACAGCAGCTAAGGAATAGTATCCTGACTGGTCCACTGATACAAAAGGCTAAAGTAGGGTTGCCGGGGCAACGCCAGTCAGCATCCTTCTTCTTCCAAGCCAGTGCACACTATACGTATGTTGATAATGTACAGTCGAGCTTCCGTCCCTGTACGTGATTACAAATACTGTGCTGTATCAGCACATCCGTGAGGTAAAAGTGCTGTGATGTTTCTTTGTTTTACAAAAGTTAGCAGCTTAATTATGCGGCAGGGACTCTCAGCCCTCCCCTCGCGCTGTCATAACAATAAATCACCTGGCTCGTTTCTTCATTTGTGGCATAACATATGCATCGTGTTTGGCACATATCGATCAGCTATCAGCCCAGCACGCTCCATCATCCGTCGTACGAGAGCCCGCTCGCAGCCTTCGGGCGTTCACCGTCCGTCCCCGCTTGGCTGCAGCGCAGACGTGCTCAGCAATCTGATCGAAAGACTACGTTTTGGGTTTTTGGGTTTTTTTTGGTACTTGACTTGGTAGCAGCCCCTGAAATGTGGACTGCAGTCGCTTTCAAGCAACTGCACTAGTACATTCTGCAAATATGCTGAACGTGATGTGGCATTTTTATAAGCGGGTTAATGTTTGGTCACATTAGTATTAAAAAATAATAAAAAAATCTTTTTGTAAAGAAACTCCAACACGACTTCCAAAAGACTCAGGCCACCAATATATATTTTGTTTTTCTACTGTTATAATGAGCATGTACAGCCGTGGGGATTTCTTCTTCTTTTTTTTTTTTTTTGCCAGTACAATTCCAGTACAATCCCAAAGCTACTGATGTAAGAACTTAGGAAGTTATTTTAGTTTAGTATCAAGAAACCCTTTGGCAAACTCTATGACTTTTGCATACTGTAACATTTTATTTGCCTTTTGCTATTCTATGTAAAAGGGTCAAACATTGGAAATGCCCCTCAGCATGTTGCACTGCAACATTTTGTAGACCACTGTGAGCGCCCCTAAAGTGCTGCCAGTATTTCATTGCCATTTTTGTGGATAACTTCACTGTGAAAAAAAAAGATTTAATGTATCCCTCTGCACAATCTGCCTCTCGCTGGCCTTCAAACCAGACAGGATATTTCAGTTTTTCTTGTCTTTTTTTTTTTTTTTGGGTAACTCCTGTTGCGGTTCTTGTTCAGCCTTGGGCTAAAGGAAACATCTTGTGGCCAACATTGTTGAAAGAAGCGTGCATCCCTTCAGCATTTTCTGGGTTTCAGTTGTTTTGTTGATGTTTTTTTTTTTTTTTGTCTTCTTGGCTACATCTCTGAATTTTAACCACGCCTTTTCCTTAATTTTCTTCTGCTGCCGTGTTTTCAGGTCAGTCAAGCAACGGCTCGGTGGGCGAGGTGTCCATACAAGTGAACCTCATCTCTCACCCTGGCACCGGAGAGCACAAAGTCAGCGTGAAGGGTGAGCTTCAGATCAGTCGTCATTTCTATTCAAATGTATTCACGCTCGCTCGCCTGAGGCAACTCCCGAGATGATTGTGCTGCCGGCCGGGATCCCGAAAATGAATGAAGCAGCAGGTGACTGTGCTTGTGGCTCCATTTAGAAACAAATATGGTGTACCTCAGATGGTGGCCAGGGGAGAGTCATTTCATTACTCAACTGCAGACAGGGAAGGCATTATTAGAGAGAGTCATTCATACTTTGCACTAATTATTTTTTGGACAAATAAATGATGCTTGAAGAGCAATGTGAGCAGCTCATGTTCTTGTGTCACCAACTATCTTTTTAACGAATGTATTTGTTAGAGAGGATTTTAGAGGTGTTTGAAGCACTCATTCCATGCGTTTCAGAAAATTCTGCAAAGATGGTGGCTACTGGTCACGTTACTACTGTTAATTCGCGATGGTTAGTTCATGTACTTTAATAGAAAACACCTTTTTGTTGCTCTCAGAAAAAAAAAACCCATACACGAGATGTGTGGTTTTTATCAGACATCAACGAGATATGTCACGCTTGAAAGGAATTGAAATTGTACTTCAGCACTCCTATCGAAAAAGATGCATCGCCTGTGAATGCGAACGTCAAAGTGGATCGACACAACGTTGGGATGCGACCGCTTGTTGTTTAAGAGTGCATTTAATCCATGTTTACAATTGATAAGAAACTATATCTCAGAGACTGTCAACATGCCTCGTTAGGTCCTGCTGTTTTGGTGCGCAACCAAGGCTCAGCAGTTATAGTGGATCGCTGTTTATGATACAGTGAACAAAAGAAAAAAAAAACACTGGCAATATGTGTGTGGGACACTTTGTGTTTAAGAGCCCGTCCTATCAATTATGATGAATTGTCATTCTTACCAACAGGGGGCGTATGACTTTTAAGCATTTTCCCCCCTGCTGTTGCGCTCTGTCTCACTGCGCAGATTCTTTTTAATGGGTGCCATTTTATTTCTTTTTAGCCTCCCTGAATAACACACTTTGTCAGCAACATAAGCGCTATGACGACATGTTCACAGCCTTACATTTATCTTTATTACCAAGACAGTGGGGTGTGCCATTAGCTTGTTATTAGACGGCGCAACACAAGAGGCTGAGTGCTGCTTTTTGCCTTAATCTTCCATCATCAGTCCTTTTTTGTGTTCGTTCTCAGCCACAACATCAAAAGTTACATTGGAAGTGCTGGATGGTCTGGAGCAGCCGACTTACCAATCATTCATGTCTGTCTCCATGGCGCTGAGCAAATCATAAAATAGTCCGGAGTGCTAATAATGTGTTAATAAAAGAAACTTTTTACGTTGAAGTGTAGTTTGGCCAAGTTTGGATTTCCTTTTGAAAATTCAGCCCCCAAAGCCAGTTTCAGAGAGCAACGTACAATTTGGTAGGCATTTTCAATCATGAGGAGACCCTCAAAAATCTCAAGAACCCTCAAGAACACAGGAAATCATGGGGTCATTCTCACAATTTCCAGTGGTCCTTTGCAAAGAGTTCTAAAGATTTCGACTTGTCACAACCTACCTTGTGCACCACCTGTATTTCCCAACATTTAAGTCGAGGCACATATGCATTCAACCAAACAAAAGTATATATGAGAAAGTAAAAATGGCCATTCATTGAAGGTGTGCCTTATACTCCGAAGCGCCGTGTAGTGTGGAAAATACGGTAAATGTTTCTCCTGCCATCTGGCGAAAGAGCATTGGCTGTAATTGCTCACCCTGTCACTACATGTCCTTGGCACAAACTGATCAATACACATGCATTGTTTTGATGTCAGTAACAAGACTTAAGTGAAACTGATCATTTCCTTGGCACCCTTTATGGACAGAGAACACACTTTCTGCGATGCAGTGGTTGGGAATCATGACATTAATCAGACAGGCGACACAAAATTTTGCCGTTTTGTCATTGAATGGCAGCAAAGTTTGATCATTTGTCATGAATGCATGAAACTCCACAAGGTCGGAGCTTGATCAAACACCCTCCTTCTGAGATGAGGTGACAATTTCTGGCAGAAATAGTAGAGGCTACTTGTAGTAACACTGCCTCTTCCAATTTCCTTCAAACTTTTTACTTGCATCTCGTCTGACAATTCAAGGGTAGGTTCATCGCTGCTCAAAGCTTTAACTCAGCCCGACTTTGTGTATCAGTGGTCGGCGTGAACAACCTCCAGTGGCAGACCACCGCCATGTTCCGGCCATTCGTTGAGGTCAACGCCGTCGGGCCACACCTGGCTGACAAGAAGCGCAAATTCAGCACCAAGACCAAGAACAACAACTGGTCACCAAAGTACAACGAAACATTCCAATAGTAAGTCATGACTGGAAAAACAAGACTGAATTAACTCAACAATCCCCAAACAAGTGTGTGGCTTTTCACATGTCACTGTCACAATCGTTATTGTACTTTGACACACTATTATTGATGAAGGGGGGTGGGGGCCGGTTTAAGGTATTGTATTATCTGTGTTTCGGTTGTCGGCATTGGTTTCTTTGCTTTCGGATGAGAATTCTCATTTTGGGGCATCACATATAAAACCTTTATGGATATATAAGTAATATTGTAACATTCACACACTAAGTAAATAAAATACAAAAATACAATTTTAGTCTCATGGCAAAGGCAAAGTAACATTAACTGCCATACCGCAGTACAAATGCATTAAGAAGCTGTTAATAGTAAAAAAAAAAAAAAAAATTCAAAGTATATTCCCGTATTTTCCGAAACTATAAGGCAGACCTAAAAGCGTTCAATTTTCTGAAAAGCCGACAGTGCACCTTATAATCCGGTGCGCCTTATATATAGATCAATATTCAGATTTCTTGGATGTAGTATTTTAAATGTTCTGTAAAGCGGCTTGTTACAGCTGCAGCTCTATATAAATATAGCTATAATGTATTGTATTCCCTTTAGCATAGCTTCATCTAGTTGATGCATAACGCAACCGCAGCCACTCTTGTAGCTTCTATTGTATGCGCCTCACAATGCGATGCACCCTATATATGAAAACAGTTTTAAAATATGCCATTCATTAAAGGTGCGCCTGATACTCAGAAGCGTCTTATACTGCGGAAAATACGGTATCGTTGTATACTGTAAGACATTTATGAAATCTTAACTCTGATGACAAATGACCAAGGCAAACAATTTCATTTCAAATTCTTCTTATCCTTATAAATAAATTGAGGGTGTATAACGTGAAGACAGTGTAAATTCTAACAACTCAAAGTTGTCTGAACAGGGGAATTTTCCAGATAATAGCTGGAGCGGGTTTCACAAAACAAATTCATAGAGACCCACAACCTCGTGGACGATTACTGTAGTTACGTTCAGAAAAAAAATGCTAACCTACTGAAGAAAGGTGAAAGGTGAACTGCTGTTCACTGCATTTGTCAATCATATGAGATTTCAGCTTTGCATTCCCTCTTTCCCATAGCGTCCTGAGCAACGAGCACGGGCCAGAGGCGTACGAGCTGCATGTGTCGGTGAAGGACTACTGCTTCGCCCGCGAGGACCGCATCATCGGCATGACCGTCATCCAGCTGCGCGAGCTGGCTGACTCGGGCAGCTGCGCCGCCTGCTACCCGCTAGTGAAGAGCATCGCCATGGACGAGACAGGCCTCACCATCATGCGGATACTCTCGCAAAGGACCAACGACGAGGTGGCCAAAGAGTTTGTGCGTCTCAAGACGGACACACGCTCGGCCGAGGAAGTGTCGTAATGCGAATTTAGGGTGTGTGGGGTGTGGGGAAAAAAATGCAGTATTTCATTTGAATGGTTTTGTCCTACAGATGAGAATGACTGGAATGGTGTTCTACTTGAGATGATCCAAAGCAGGATGCGAGCAAAGGAGTTGTTTGTTTGTTTGTTTGTTTGTTTTTGTGCATGTGTGTAAGAAAAAAAAAACATCTGTTGGAATGTTCATTTGAATACTACAAGTACGTACAAGTGTTTACTGACCGTATGCTTACTATTAAGTACCATATTCTACCGGTTACGTTCAAGCAGACAAAATATCTTTTGTACACTTGGTCTTTTTTTGAACTGAGATTTGTTCCAATAAAGTGCCAAACCAGTGGAGTTACAACAACAACAACAACATAAAAATGAAATGAAACAAAAAAGAACAAAGCGTACAGGAATTGTGGCAATGAACTAAGTACAGTGTGTTGGAAAATTTGCTCGATGATCCAGTGTAAGTCACTTTATGACTGTGTGGCATTCTGATTGTTGCAGAGTCTCTCGTTTGTCTGTTTGTTTGACATATATTTTGCCACCCAGCGTTGTTGTAAAGTTCCTTGATGTGTTTTTACTTTATATTTTTTTGTTATTTGTTGTTTATTGATTTATTTCTACAACACGTTTGCCACCCAACTTTTTGGCGAGTTGTGTTTTCTTATGGTTTTGTTATGCATTCATTTTACATTCCTCCACCCAGTTCTTGTCACCTTGCACTGTTGCACCCGAGATTTTTTGTCTTTTTTTTAATTATTATCATTTTGCCCTTCCAAAAAAATCGAGTCCCTTTTTGTCATCTGAACCACCCTTCACTGTTACAACATCCCTTATTTTAGAAAGAACAAATATATACCGGTATATTATATTTGGGCCACCAACACTATTGCGGAGTCCCTTATTTTATTGTACTTTTTCCTACCAAGCACTGTTGTGGAGTCTTTTGTATCTTATTTTTTTACTTTTTGCCACCTAGACATATTGTGGAATCCCTGTTATTGTTTGTTTTTCGCACCCAGCACAGTTGTAAAGTTCCTTGTTTTTAATTGACCTTTTTAATTAATTACATTTTGTATTTGTCATACAGCACTGTTGAGGAGTCAGCTGTTTTTGCGTTGCATGATTTTCTTCCAAGTGTATTTTGCTTTGTCACCCAGCACTGTTGCACGTCCTCTCGGTTGCGTCTTTCCCATGTTTCCAAGGTAACCACCAAACAGGGTCCCGATCCCCGAGCCTTTAAACTCTTTGTATTGTAAGTCCACCGCAAGGAATTGGTTTGTTTTTATCTTGTTTAGAAATGGCGATGACTGCTACGTAAACCTTCATAGGTGTTTGTAATTTTATAATCATGACATATCTGACAAAAGACTCCAGAAAGAATGGATTAGTTGTTTATTTTTTTCCTCCTTTTTTTGTTTCTTTTGAATTGGTAGCTTCTGGCCTTTTTGAATGACCACTGTGAACATGAGCTTTGGAAGGCAAGCTTACGCCGCATCATTTCACGTCATATTTTTTTGATTAAGTTCCTGATAAACTGCCAAAGTTGTTTAGAATCTTTGTACAAAAACAAACGAAATCCATTCCATACATGGAGATGTATATGTACATGTGTTCCGATTGTGCATAGGATGGTGCCGACTTTATTTTTTTTATTTGCCGCGGAGCTGGAATGAGAGCAAAATATGAGAGTGGCACATGTTCCTTTAAAAGAGAGAGATGGTGAGAGAAAAAACACTCAGCTTCTGTCATTATTTTTCTTCTTCATAAAAAGGAAAAAGTTTAACATTTTTGGTAAATATGCAACATTCCTATGTATTGCACTGATGGCAAATTGTATGTCATGTAAATATATTTAGTGAGATATTGTACAAAAAGTCTACTTTTCTTCTATGTGCATAAAGTATGTGCAAATGTGCTCGCAAATCTCGATCATTTCGCAAATCAAATATGCACTTGGGCTATCATGGAGGACACATTTTTGGAGTCCATCCATCCAGTTTCAACACCGCTTATCTGAACAAGGTCACAGGCGGGCTGCTGGAGACTATCCCAGCTGACTTGGAGCACAAGGCATACTACACGCTGAACAGTCGCAGGGCACATATAGACACAAAAAACATTCACACACATCCACACCCTCACTGAGTGGGAACCGATCCCACGCTACCCACACACAAATCAGGCAAGTGCAACACTTACACCATCAGCGACCATTTTTGGAGTGTTTACCTGCTTTGGTAGGTGCTGCATATTTTCTTCACAAAGAGATCAAATGAGCTCAACGGTTGATTTGTGTGAACGATTGCATCTATGAAGTGAGATAAATATGGCTAATACTTTAGTTCATACGGTACTCATTGTGGCAAGGACATAATAATATCCGGAATCTACCATAGGTTATGATCTGTGTCACTTTTTGATAAAAAAAAAAGATATATATCAAAATTTTGGGAACAGTTAGGGAACAGACATGTTCATATTTTTAGTCAAATGCAACTGTGAATATACTGAATATTTTGCTAAGCACCTTTACTTTAGAAATTTGGAAATGCATTGTCTATCCAGCCACTGTTGTTTAGATTTTATTTCTTTTTTAATATCCAAGAAGAAGGCGATGCTCTGCATTGTCAGGTTCTTTGCTTTTTTTCCCCCAAGTTAGTATTTTATTATCTGCTGTTCTCTACTTCCTTTCTGATAATTGGCAAAGCGAATGAAGTAATGCTTGTCGGTGGCAAATAAGATCCGGCAATGGTTTAATGCCAGGCTAGTGCTCTTTATCTTCAGTACTTTATTTTGCTATTCTGATTTAATGAGGTGGCACATGTATACACTTGATCGAAACAGATCCAATTAAATGTAAACAGTTGAGCCAGCATCTTCACTTGCAAAGAGAAAAAATTCTGTTTACTGAGAGGGTAAGGCGCAAAGTCCAGAGCGAGATATATGTTAGCCTGTTTGTCTTTGAGAGTTTCTTGTTTGTGTCTCAGTATATGATAATTTTATGTATTAAAGACAAAAATGCAAAAACACCACCATATGCATAACGACAGTATGCCCTTCATCTGATACTTTCAATTCATTTTCAATGAAGTGTCAATTAACATTTGGCAAAGAGAGGACCGATGAAAACTAGCTTGTAGCGAATTCGGGTATATTAACAGTACTTTCCGTAAGAAACAATTAATATACTTTGTCTCTTTTTAAAAATGATGACATTGGAATAAAAATAATGCTCTTTTCTTTCTTTAATGCCCTTAAGATGCCACCATAATGCTCTGCTTCTAGCGGAAGAGTAGCTAGCGACATTGGTTTGCCTGTTGCGAGCTTAACATATGCAAGGTGAAAATCACACTGATAATGCCATTGACCTCCGATGAAAGAGCACAACGCAACAAGAGATTGAATCCAGATCTTCAAGCAATAACATCACTCACATCAAAAAAGCATCACACCCTCTGACATTTTTAGCGACACACTTATTGGGTCATTTGTTAAGCTGTTATCAGAGCGTTCAGTCCTTAGCACTTATCTTGATGGCGGAGGTGGGGTCAACCAGATAATGTCAGTCAGCCTGGAGAGTCGAAATATGTATTTTTCATTCCAGAAAGAACATTCGCGGCCGAATATGAAGATAAGTGCTGGGAGAAAGCAGGAAGCGATAAAATTGCATTCACGGAAGAATGAGTAAGGAAGCAGGGGTCAATTTGTAAGACTTTGGGTTGGAATGTTAGCGTTAAACGAATCGTACTCCGATAGATGCTGTGACTAAACAGTTGTTTCCAAAATTTGGAAACCGATAGCAAACATACTCGATAGGAATCCATCGTCCAGGGAAGGGTAAATAAATTTTCAGACAACACTGATAAACATTCATTATGATTTCCACGAAAAATAGGGGAAATGCAGAAAAAAAGGTAAAGTCCAAAATATAAAAAAAATATGGGGGGGGGTGAATATTTGAATCCTCGGGTGCCAGACTGTGAATATGCAGGGATTGAAGTTTAAGTTGTAATTTCACCATTCACCACGAGATGGCAGACATGGCTTAGTTGCACGAACACCTGGCCTCAAGTGGCTCGTACCTGTCATAGGACAACAAGAAAGACTTTGTACACAAAGAAGCGAACCAAGATCCAGAATCCCTCAAAACCTTTTGTTGTTTGTTGGACGGAAGGACGTAGCAGTATGTTGTAAATTGAGGCCACAGCATGCGTGTGTGTGCGTGCGTGTGCATGCACATATTAGGAATCGTATCGAGCCTGCTGATTTCTTTTACAGTTCAGATGACATGAGTACAATAAAACTAGGAGGGAAAAAAAGAGAGAATAAATTATCCAGAACTTAGGCGAGGGGCCACATGGATCATGCATGTCCATCTGTGAGGAGATAATGGGATGCAGCAAGCTGTTACTGTATGTGTGAGTAGCAGTGTGAGTAGCACCCCATACACATACTGTATATAGCACCCAACCTGGACTTTGCTGTGCCCTTGAAAGAGGAATGCTGTTTATTTTTGAAGGGGAAGATTGATGGGGCTTACCTCCAGGGATGGATTACTCGATCGCAGACGGATTGTATTTCTGACAAGCCTGAAACTGGACCATTTCAAAGAGTCTAGAAACTTCTTTAAAAACTTGCTACACTAAAAAAAAAAAAAAAAACAACAACAAAAACCTAAACTCAATCTCATCAGTTCTTTGTTGGTCTCCTCAAAGTTTTGTAAACATTTGTTCTGCAGTTACTGAACAAGCGACCAAGTCCAACACCCTACATCACACTTGGCATCTTTGAATTTGATATTTTTCCCAGGTAGAAAGCATTTGCTGCAAAATGTACAAATACATCAGAAGCAGAGAGGAATAGAAATCGAAACAAGGCGACGTTTTAGTGAGGCAAAGGCTTGAAGTAAGTCTTTGCAGAAAAGCTCAAAAAGAAGACGAAAAATTGATAGATGAGGGAGTAAAACTGTAAACCAATCAGAAGCTTGAAAAAAGTCGCTCCATGAAATGACCCAACAACTGCAGACAAGGAAGCTCATACTGTACCGTATCTGTTTTCCCACATCCTTCATTGCCCTTGGCTCAAGGTTCACCAAAAAAAGAAAAAAAAGAGTTGTAATTGGAGTTGCAGTTCGCAGTGCTTTAGGACTGCACTGCATCATCCTGCGACCACTTTGAATGGACGAAAGTGCTCAATGAAGGCATACCGAGGGAACGTGTTTTGTTTTGTCATCTAAGTGACACCAAATGGGATCATAAGGCCATTAGACGAGTATCATTGACCTTCTGGTGTTTGGCGCCTTGATGATGGGAGTTGTTGAAGCCGCTGGGGTAACCAGTCATTGTCGCGTCGTGTTGTGTCAGGTCATGTCACGGGCGCAAACTATGCTGTAATTGATTCCGCCGCGTGGCAGCTTTATAGCAAACACACTTGACGACAAGGACGCCTCATTTGTTCAACCCTGCAAAACGCTCTTCTCAACTGAGCGCGCGCACACTCATGTGTGCCCATCTGGTTGGGATGACAACGACAATCGCAATTGTGAGTAGATTACATCTGCTGATGTGAGAAAAAAAAAATCACCTTGTTTCTTTCCCTGTGTTGTGAATCCACTTAATCATCCAGAATTACGCTGCATCGAGTTATATTTAACACTGGCATGCTTTTTCTGACTCCATCTATGAAATATAGAATACTTTCTTAGCCTTCTCAACAACAACCGAGCGATAGTCGTCACTCTCGACCCGGATGATAAAAGAAGGTTATGGCTGCGCGCTAAGCATCTGTATCCTGTGGGAGTGCAGACAAGCAAAATTGTGTACATTGTCTTTTTAGAAGCAGGTAG